AGCCTAAATATATTTCATTTTAACCAAGTCAGTAAATGTTTGTAACAAACTGTTAAATTAGTAAACTTATTGACTGTTTACAATTAACATATGTTCTTCTTCTCACTTTTAATTTCTGACAACAGCTGGAGTTTCATATCAAAGATCGTTTCCCATGTTAATCTTATGGAGAAATACAAAACTTTAAAGGGCTCCAGGGCCTCACTCTCTAATTATTTCCATAAAAAGAAAGTTTCCTGCACAACTTCACGTTACGTTCTTTCCAATGATACCAAAAACATGTCTATCGGTTCAGTAGTTTCGGAGGAGTAATTGTCACAAATAACCTGCTTGCGTATTAAATAAGTACTAGTGTCCCTGTTGTTCGAATTCGAGCAATTGCTAAGTATTACAGGCGTTATTTTAAAACGAATAACAGTAATAATTTCCGATGACTCCTTAGTGGTGTTCTATGACTTCATATGTTTCCATAGTTTGCAAATCGGCTCTTTAAAAAATTACTAAGAAATGCAGCACAGTGTTAATTAAGTTTTCTTTCTAGTATATCAATTAATCCCCAGACTCTTTTGCTTTTTTCCATTGTAATATTTACGCCAACCCAAATTCAAATCTATATCTATAAAAGAGGAACTATGTATGTGTGTGTGTATGTATATACGTTATGGACTCCGAAACCGCTCAACAGATTGTAATGAAACTTTCAGGCATTATTAAGCATCTTTCAAGGATGGTTCGAGTGAAGTTTGGTGCAGATCTATCAAAAGGGCTCTGCCCCAGAGGGTTTTAAGTGGGCCAATGTCAGACTTTTTGATCTACAATGTTTACAAATAAATATAATTTAAAAGCAGATGTTTACTTTTACCAACTGTTTTGTAGGTTTGAATAATTACAACATTCTGTATTAGCATTAGTCATGATTTGAAATAGTGCCACAGTGTTTCTACAGAGTGCAGCACAGAAAACTATTTTACTTTTGAATAAGTCCAAATATATTAAACCCCAATCGCAGCACACCTGTACACTTTACAACGTTTAAATTCTCCAATGTTAAATATTAAAACATAAAAACCTTTATCAAAGTATTATAAACAATAAAAGGGATGACTTTTTAAAATTTATGACAACAGCTAATTTGCAATCAAAAGGTGAGTGAGCGTAGCGAACGAACATCAACCTGGAGGCGAGTTAGAGTAGCGAACGAGCTAACCTGAAAACAAGTGAGCGCAGCGAACGAGCTCCAACCTAAAGGTGAGTGAGCGTAGCGAACGAACTTCAACCGGGACGTGATTGAGCCATGCGAATACTTATGAAGTTAAACGGGGCAAAGCCCGTGGGTACAGCTAGTAGTAAATATTTCATTTCAACCATGTCAGTAAAATGTTTGTAGCTAACTACTGTTAAATTAGCAAATTTATTGACTGTTTACAATTAACATATGTTCTTCTTCTCACTTTTAATTTCTGACAACAGCTGGAGTTTCATAACAATGTTTTTTCCATGTTAATCTTAAGGAGAAATACAAATCTTTAAAGGGCCCCAGGGCTTCACTCTCTAATTATTTCCCTTAAAAGAAAGTTTCCTGCACAACTTCACGTTGCGCTCTTTCCAATGACACCAAAAACATTTCAATCGTTTCAGTAGTTTCAGGGGAGTAATTGTCACAAAAAACCTGCTTGCGTATTAAATAAGTATAGATAGATTTGGATATATATTTAGATAATTTGGATATATATACAATTTAGATATGGTGAGTCGGTGGCTCAGTTGGTAGTGACATGGACTTCGGGCCCAAGACAGCAATGGTCACCCTGAGGTCACAGGTATTGCCCTGAGGTCAGGACAATACAATTTTGTCTTCACAGAATGTAATTTGTGCCAAAGTGTCTGACAAAGTCTAGGACAACAAATTCCAGGAAAATATTGAAACCTTGATCAAGGAAGACTTGAATGCAAAAATGGGGTAAAGTACGGCCAGGCATAAATATCCAGGCAAAAGCAAGCAGCAGATGTACCCCAGTACTGGAGTAGTGAGGGTGAGGGAGACAAACTGGTCAATTAATCAAGGTAGGTTTGACGATGAATTATTTTGTGTCTATTTACTTCACCAATGGTTTGAACTGAGATAAGGAATACATCAAAGTTCCCTGCAATTGTCAGGTAAGCACCTGGTATCAAGCTGGACAGTTTGACTGTTTGGTGATCAGATAAATGGACTTGGGAAGAGAAGATAGTTCAGCACTTCCTGCCCAGAGGTGTCAGCTTCATCCTATTGTCTGATCTTCTATGAATACCCCTACTATTAATTGAATCCAGGCTTTGTTCAATTTACAGTTAAAGGACAAACATAATAACTTAGGAATGTTAATTTTCCAGGCCCTGAAGTGTCGAAATAACAACGTCGAGGGTAGGTCTTCAAGAACACACATCTTCTTAATATTAAAATTCTAGCCGACATCTTCGGAATTCTCATCTATACATTCAAGATAAAATCAAAATTAATCTCAAAACTTCTGAGATCTCACACTACAACACCTCAATAGTGTGTAGAGATCTCAGAAATTTTCTGTTTATGGGGGACAGCGCCAACACATGGGAGTCGCTTCTTCATGAAACAATTCACCACACCAACACAGGAAGACTTCAATGCATTCTTTACTTCGCTTCAGGGACAAAGTAAAATGTGGAACAAGCTAAGAAGAAAGAAAGATAAAGAAAATCTCACTACTCCGAAATACTGTGTTTCTCCTACCTGGCCTACAAAATTGCAATGTTAACTCAATGACGTTTCTGAAGCTACGTGTTGACGTAATTTTTATTTGAGTAAATTTTACCGATTAAATATTAAATATTGTTAAAAAACAATAAAAGTAAATGTCCAATTTTCACTAACACAAGATTAAGTTAATATGCTACATTTTATTTTGAAATGCTTAAACAAATATAGTTATTTCATCACTAGGACCTAAAGTGACTCTTTATGACCCGAGGTCAGGTTTTACTATTGAGGCGAAGCCGAGGTCAGAAAATGAGCGAGGGTTAAAAAGTCACATTTTGCCGGTGTGGTGAACTATATTTTCTTTCTTCTTTATATTGAATCTTGAATTAATTAACAAACAAAGCTAGAAAACGAAATAATGTTTATGTTAAGATAACCTCTCAACACGACTACCAGCTAGCATGTTAACCCTCATGAAATCCCATTCCTATCCCAGTCCCAATAAGGGAGGTTTGCAAGCTTGTTCAAATAAAAATTGGTTTACAAATTTACGTCATCCTATTAAATAGGTAATTTTTTTTTTTTTTTTTTTTTTTTTAGGGAGAGGAGGGAAAATGCTTTTACGCACACAGGTAGCCAGCCTGTAGTGTGAGACTCCTGAAAATTGTCAGACTACTCACTAAAAAACCCCCTCTACTCTGTTGGACACAGACCTGGAATTGTTTGTCACATTACTTCAAGTCAGGCCAACATGTGACCTAAGCCCTCAGGGCTCGCACCGTTTCTGGCATTTCGATTCTTAATGACCTACAACCGCATCCCGGTCAAGGTCGATCTTCTTGGCGCGGAGAATACCCTGGATATAATGTGACACACAGGTCCAATTGTCCTCACCCTCCGTCATAATCGGTGTGACCGTGTCCACCGACAGCAGTCCTATTAATTGTTGAGCCTCCAGGCGGGGCCTTTCCCAGCGCTGGCAGTGGAAAAATGTATGTTCCACGTCATCGAGAATGCCTGGGCAGTATATGCAGTCGGGTGACACGGCTTTGCCCATCCTGAACAGGTACGACCGGAAAAAGCCGTGTCCCGTCAGAAATTGGGTGAGGTAGAAGTCCACCTCTCCGTACCGCCGATCAACCCAAGGTTGGACTTGCTGTATCAGTCGCCTGGTCCAGAGTCCCCGTGTCTCCTGTTCCCAGCCCTCCTGCCACAGCTGGTAGGTGCGGGTGCGTTCCTCTGTTCGTGCCTCGTCCTCCCCACGGCGCCGGTAAATTGCCTTTCTCTCCGCCGCCAAAAGTTTGACGGGGATGACTCCAGCAATCACCAGGACGGCGGGCTCGGACACTGTTCGGTAGGCAGATGCTACCCTCAGTGCTGCTTGACGCTGCACTCGGGCGAGCCGCATCCTGTATGCCTCCTTATTTAGTGCGTCTGCCCACACCTCCGCACCGTACAAGAGTACGGACTGGACCGAAGACATTAACAGCCTTCTACGACTGGACCGAGGCCCTCCGACATTGGCCATCAACCGGCTAAGAGAAGAAACCACCCTAGCGGCCTTGTCCGCTGTACGGAAGATCTGATCCCGCCAGCTAAGCTTGCTGTCTACCATGACCCCAAGATACTTGGCAGAACGAACAGTTTGAACCTCGACGGCTCCCACCCTCAACGGCGATGGTGTCAATCCGTTTTTTTGTCTGAAAAATTAAATAGGTAATAGCGAGCGCTAGGTTTATAGCTTACTGAGAATCGTATTATTAAGCCTACTGTACCGGTAACGTTGTAGGATGAGTAAGTGAAATAACGCAATCCTTTTTGTCCCATTATTTCATTTTGAGCGCTTGGTAATAGTTTACTGAAAATCATATTATTCTTGTATAGCATTAGCATCGTAGGAGGAGCAAGTCCTAGTTAAATTCAATTTCAAAAATTGTTCACCAAATACATTTTAATTTGTTTTACCTCTTATTCTCACTCCTTTGTTCTTCCACTGACTAGCTATTTAAGTTTTAGCTGATTTCCCTATAGGGTATTAGCTATTATCGTAGGTCACATGGTAAGACCTGGGCCCGGGACCGATACTAAGCTATTGATATTCTACAAAAAAAAACTACTTTATTACCCTCCCTGTATATTATTTACCTAAATAGATTTAATTGAAAACCCAATCGGGCGAATAGAAATTTACTTAGTCTGCAGATTTGCTGCGGCTGGGGTTTTGTTAAAACAAAATCTAAGGCAACTTTTCCGACAAGCAAAGCAAGGCAAATCTTTACCTTACCTGAACTCTTTATAGCGTCGATACTGTGGTCAATGACTAGCCAAGGATGTGGGAGGTCCAGAAACACAGCGTCCGCCTTGCCTCTCACCTCGTCTCCGAAGCCATCCTTGCACACGTCACGATGAGCACACGTCACAACCTTGTCTATCCGATGAATGGAAAACTCCTCACGAGCCACGGCCACTCGCTGCTCGTGGAAGTCAAAGGTGTAGACATGCCCTGAAGGCCTCACACTGCGAGCCAGCGCATGGGTTAGGGATCCGCTTCCAGTTCCTGCAAAGAGGTAAAAGGTACACAAACTATTTGTAATGAATTTCACATTTTTATACAAATTGCTCCGGACAGTCACTAGATGTCTGTGGTATTATCACTTAACTTAGATGAAATACATTGGTGATTGGCAGGATTTGAACCAAAAGATTTTGGGGACCGAAGTCCTATACTCTACCACTAGACCAGATCACTCCCCCAGTAACTTATTATCAACCAGCATTATCTGGCTTAAAAAAGTATATAACTGAACTTTAACACTAAAATTGATGTTCTCGGTAGCTAAGTTAGCTTCTACACAATATTTTACCGTAGTACGGCTGGTACCTAGGCCTAGTTTAGAAGAATCTTAACAAAAATTTACCTGATTCAACCACTACGCTCCCAGGTTGAAGTTCAAGCTGCATTATTATCATGCTGATGTCTGGGGTGTAGATTATCTGAGTTCTATGAGGTAAAGTGAGAGTCCAAAGTTCAGGTGTAGGATGTAACACATAAGCCCACCCTTTTGAAAGATTCACTTTTGATCCAAACTTTTTCCCGATCAAATCCTTAACTTTCAACGCGCCATAAGTAGTTTGAAACACATTATCAACAGTTTTTCCAAGTTTATCTACGACCGTTTGCACCACTTTCACAGGGTACATTGAATTTGGATTCAGGTATAAAATCGCCAAATCGTCTTCTTCAATTATTTCTTTGTATCCGTCAAAACTCATTGTAGAAAGCTATAACAGAAAATGGAATTACTAGAGCTACCTATTAGAGAAAGTTTAGTTTACCTTTACCTATGTAAAACTTAGTTTTATCACAGTACAGTAGGCCTAGTGATAAAATTGGTATATTTAAAGTCATGACTTTGCAATTAAAAGTTACACTTATACAGGTGTCTTTTATTACATTAAAGAGGTTCAAATACATTTCAATCCTTATTAAGTTATTTCATATATTGAAATATAGACCTAGCCTAAGAAGTAAGCTATAGACAAATCTGTATAAGCTATAGACAAATCTGTATGCATTCTTGTTGTATAAGTTAAAGCAATGCAATGCATCAGAAGAACGGAGCAAACTAAGTTTATACTAAAATAACACTCTTAAACTTTCTATTTCTTTAGCTGGTTGACAGTAAGCAACCCATTATATGATATATTTTTAGGGAAAAAAAATTTTAATGAAGCCTAAGTAAAAATTTAGCCGGTCGTATTTTTTACAAGAGGATTACTTAGGCCTACTCAAACGCTTTGAGGGAAAGAAGTACAAACCAATGTGGATATGTCAGGAATCAAACCTACCCCTCCTGTGCCTCAACTTTTAAACGTTAAGTTAAAAAAAGATAAATAATATCCCTGCAACAGCAAGAAAACCTGCAGACTAAACCAAATTCCCCTTCCTTGGTTTGATCTTCACTATGATATTTTCTATAACATGATGGATTTACAACCAAACCTAATTTAAATAGCATTACGTTGGTAATTACTTAAACTTGTGTGAACCTGGCAATAACTTGGCAATAAGTAGTGCGCGCGCCACAAAAAATCTATTGCTGGCCGTTTTGCGGCAAAATACGTCCGCGATGCATATTACCGATGATGCCAACAGATAGAGGACACTTTAACGGACACGACAGTATCAACATTATGTACCTGGGGAGTAGTATAAGGGGGGTAAAATCGGCAAAAAGTAGTGCGCGCGCTACAAAAAATCTATTGCTGGCCGTATTGCGGCAAAATACGTCCGCGATGCATATTACCGATGATGCCAACAGATAGAGGACACTTTAACGGACACGACAGTATCAACATTATGTACCTGGGGAGTAGTATAAGGGGGGTAAAATCGGCAAAAAGTAGTGTGCGCGCTACAAAAAATCTATTGCTGGCCGTATTGCGGCAAAATACGTCCGCGATGCATATTACCGATGATGCCAACAGATAGAGGACACTTTAACGGACACGACAGTATCAACATTATGTACCTGGGGAGTAGTATAAGGGGGGTAAAATCAGCAAAAAGTAGTGCGCGCGCTACAAAAAATCTATTGCTGGCCGTATTGCGGCAAAATACGTCCGCGATGCATATTACCGATGATGCCAACAGATAGAGGACACTTTAACGGACACGACAGTATCAACATTATATACCTGGGGAGTAGTATAAGGGGGGTAAAATCGGCAAAAAGTAGTGCGCGCGCTACAAAAAATCTATTGCTGGCCGTATTGCGGCAAAATACGTCCGCGATGCATATTACCGATGATGCCAACAGATAGACGACACTTTAACGGACACGACAGTATCAACATTATGTACCTGGGGAGTAGTATAAGGGGGGTAAAATCGGCAAAAAGTAGTGCGCGCGCTACAAAAAATCTATTGCTGGCCGTATTGCGGCAAAATACGTCCGCGATGCATATTACCGATGATGCCAACAGATAGAGGACACTTTAACGGACACGACAGTATCAACATTATGTACCTGGGGAGTAGTATAAGGGGGGTAAAATCGGCAAAAAGTAGTGCGCGTGGTACAAAAATATATTGCTGGCCGTATTGCGGCAAAATACGTCCGCGATGCATATTACCGATTATGCCAACAGATAGAGGAAACTTTAACGGACACGACAGTATCAACATTATATACCTGGGGAGTAGTATAAGGGGGGTAAAATCGGCAAAAAGTAGTGCGCGCGCTACAAAAAATCTATTGCTGGCCGTATTGCGGCAAAATATGTCCGCGATGCATATTACTGATGATGCCAACAGATAGAGGACACTTTAACGGACACGACAGTATCAACATTATATACCTGGGGAGTAGTATAAGGGGGGTAAAATCGGCAAAAAGTAGTGCGCGCGCTACAAAAAATCTATTGCTGGCCGTATTGCGGCAAAATACGTCCGCGATGCATATTACCGATTATGCCAACAGATAGAGGAAACTTTAACGGACACGACAGTATCAACATTATGTATATGGGGAGTAGTATAAGGGGGGTAAAATCGGCAAAAAGTAGTGCGCGCGCTACAAAAAATCTATTGCTGGCTTTTGCCGTAATACGGCCAGCAATAGATTTTTGGTGGTGCGCGCACTACTTATTGCTCATTTTACCCCCCTTAACCTACTCCCCAGGCACATAATATTGATACTGTCGTGTCCGTTAGAGTGTCCTCTATCTGTTGGCATCATCGGTAATATGCATCGCGGACGTATTTTGCCGCAATACGGCCAGCAATAGATTTTTTGTAGCGCGCGCGCTACTTTTTGCCGATTTTACCCCCCTTATACTACTCCCCAGATACATAATGTTGATACTGTCGTGTCCGTTAAAGTGTCCTCTATCTGTTGGCATCATCGGTAATATGCATCGCGGACGTATTTTGCCGCAATACGGCCAGCAATAGATTTTTTGTAGCGCGCGCACTACTTTTTGCCGATTTTACCCCCCTTATACTACTCCCCAGGTACATAATGTTGATACTGTCGTGTCCGTTAAAGTGTCCTCTATCTGTTGGCATAATCGGTAATATGCATCGCGGACGTATTTTGCCGTAATACGGCCAGCAATAGATTTTTGGTGGTGCGCGCACTACTTATTGCTCATTTTACCCCCCTTAACCTACTCCCCAGGTACATAATGTTGATACTGTCGTGTCCGTTAGAGTGTCCTCTATCTGTTGGCATAATCGGTAATATGCATCGCGGACGTATTTTGCCGCAATACGGCCAGCAATAGATTTTTTGTAGCGCGCGCACTACTTTTTGCCGATTTTACCCCCCTTAACCTACTCCCCAGGTACATAATGTTGATACTGTCGTGTCCGTTAGAGTGTCCTCTATCTGTTGGCATAATCGGTAATATGCATCGCGGACGTATTTTGCCGCAATACGGCCAGCAATAGATTTTTGTAGCGCGCGCACTACTTTTTGCCGATTTTACCCCCCTTATACTACTTCCCAGGTACATAATAATGATACTGCCGTGTCCGTTAAAGTGTCCTCTATCTGTTGGCATAATCGGTAATATGCATCGCGGACGTATTTTGCCGTAATACGGCCAGCAATAGATTTTTGGTGGTGCGCGCACTACTTATTGCTCATTTTACCCCCCTTAACCTACTCCCCAGGTACATAATGTTGATACTGTCGTGTCCGTTAAAGTGTCCTCTATCTGTTGGCATCATCGGTAATACGCATCGCGGACGTATTTTGCCGCAAAGCGGCCAGCAATAGATTTTTTGTAGCGCGCGCACTACTTTTTGCCGATTTTACCCCCCTTATACTACTCCCCAGGTACATAATATTGATACTGTCGTGTCCGTTAAAGTGTCCTCTATCTGTTGGCATAATCGGTAATATGCATCGCGGACGTATTTTGCCGTAATACGGCCAGCAATAGATTTTTTGTAGCGCGCGCACTACTTTTTGCCGATTTTACCCCCCTTATACTACTCCCCAGGTACATAATATTGATACTGTCGTGTCCGTTAAAGTGTCCTCTATCTGTTGGCATAATCGGTAATATGCATCGCGGACGTATTTTGCCGCAAAGCGGCCAGCAATAGATTTTTTCGGGCGCGCGCACTACTTATGGCTGGAGTTATTGCCAGGTTCACACCAATATTACTTAAGTTTGCTGCTACAAGGAAGTGTGTTTTTAGTGGTATTTTAATAGCTTGTGTAGTATAAACAAAATCAGCCTAACTTAATTTGATCAGTAATATTAAGATATGTTTATTTCCTTTATTGTAAAGTGACGTTTCCAATACGCATTTTGGTATGAATTTTGGAAAAAATGACGAATGACTTCCTTTGTGAAATTTGCTAACAGGCAAATAAGCTATAAAACTATTGTATGCACCTATACCTAGTACTGAAAGAGCTCTGTCTTGAAGGTTATGTTTACAGACACAAGTATGTAAACAATTGATAAGAAAAGGCAGATAAATCTATGTAAACTTAGTTTTTATGATTGGTAAAAGTTATTCGTGATATTTCTAGAAAAAAATAGTAAGTAATTAAACCACACAATAAAAGATAACAATAAAAACAATAAGCATAACCTACAATTTAATTTGAGTTACTTTTACTACAGACAGAGACAGAACTCAACTCGGGAACTCCATTCATTGAAGTCTGACTTTTTTTCTTTAAATGACACAATTGTGGTGGCCTTGATTAAAAGTCATGAGGCCCCAATGTTCACTTTTTGTGGTTAACTTATCCGTCTTCTTTTTATGTTTATTTGATATTTATCAGGAATGATATTGACACATTACATTTTTTTTATTTACAGACATAAGGTCTGAATTTGAATTAATCAACTGTACTGTCAACTTCAACCACTACAACTCTCCTCTCAAGTCTCTCACTCACTCTACAGTCTACAATCACTACTAAGGCCCCGTCCTAGCTAAGCGGCGAAAATTCAATCGGCGTTGTTTGAGGGCGGGTGAATCAACCTGTGGACCTGTGGCAAAAATTTCAAACGCACTGCAAGACATGATAGTGTCAAAAATCCTAGCTGACCATCACACTGTACACTGTCACTGTACATCACACGCCAGCAAAGAAAGAAGCAGACGAATTTGATCACGCAAGTCGCGAAAAAAACAATGACGTCATCATCTTCATCCCAAGAGGCTCCCTTCAGCCGCTTTCGATTTCCGGATAGATTTTACGGTACAATTTTCGTACAACAATCCACTACTGTGACGTAGGCTATGTTGCGCTGCAGCATGGCATGTTTTTCTATTGGGACCTTGGTTTTACCATCCTTTTGGGAAAATGGTACAGAAAATGTTTTGAATTTATTTGTGGGATGGCCAATGATCCAGCATCATTTCTTGAAATATTTTACTTCAGTGGCGTTGTCTTCATAAAATGGCACTGTAACTTACACAAGATACCATAACCACGCCAATATTATTATTGATCTTGCACGAATTTGGTTCGTATTCCAGGCCCAGGACTTCTATGAGGGCCACTAAATAATGACGGTTTTGCAGCTCTGTCCTTTTCAAACCGGAGTGAACATTTGCATCTTCGCGAAAATTACAACAAACTTGACTTGAGTCAAACATTTAGGCCCTGAACACAATTTCCTCCATAATTTCTTTCCACAAGTCAACATTTTTACTTAGGGCTACAATATTTAGTTGAAATAAACAAACTCAGCGAAAAGCTAAGTAAAACCATGTAAAACTACTTTATCATGTGGTCGATACAAGCAAGTTCTCTCATATGTTAAGAAGCTGCACACACATGAGGTGTACTAAATATTTTGTGGATTCCTTCTACCTGTTACCTAGGTCCTTTTCACCGTAGTCATTGAGACCAGGGGCCCATTTCATAATAAACTACAAGTTACAAGTTACAACTTGTAACTTGTAATTTCCATTAGATTTGCATTGGGCGATCAGCTGATTTACTAATAATATTAGTTTGTACTTTATTATGAAATGGGCCCCAGGAATCTTCATTCTTCTTTCGTTTGTGTGTGTATTGAGGAGTATGTTTAATCTATGGTATTAGTGTAGGTTGTGAGCAGTTTAATGGTTTGGGTATTTTTTAGATGCTGTGATCTACAAAAGATTCATTTTTCCCTGTTGCAGATTTATTTATTTATTTCCAACGGACATTTCCATTTTACAGCATACAAAACAAAACATTAAACCCAGGATGACTTAATTGATAATAACAAATTTTGTGCTTATATATTAGAAATACAATCAACAATATATAATGATCTAATAACAAACAACAGTAACAATGCCAAACCTAGCCAAACAAAACAAAAACTGACAAAATAACAAAAGGTATACTAATAAATAAATAATTTAAAACAACAACAATAAATAAAAAATATGAAACAATAACAACAAACCCACTAACAACAATAACAAATGAGAAAGATAAATATATAATGCAAATAAGAAAACCTAATAACTTCTTAAGGAAACATAAGAATACCTACAATTAATTATGTGTAGTATCAATTTTGTCCGGTGTTCCATGATCAACGGTTGTATTTTTACATGCTTTGGTAAGTCAGCTGCTATTGACATTTCATAGGTTCTTTGCTAGCTGTTAGCAGAAGCAGAATACATCAATCAAAACAAAACATAAACTCTGAACTGAACTGAAACAGAACAGACAGAACAGAGTTGTAGAACAAAACAACCAAACGAACAAATTTTTTTATTTTTATTGTAGTTCTATATCAGAAGTTTGGGAGTTGGGACTGTTAGAAATTTTTAATTATTAAAAGTGTCATCACATTGGATTATGGAGGAGGATGGCTTTCCGGCAACGATGATCACCTTTAATAATGATCTTACTCCACAAAATACTCTAATCTTTCTTTAAAACTTGAAATCAAAGTAAGTTACTATAGTCAAAGGAGCTAAGTAGGCCCCTACCTAGTAAAATGAATACAGTTTGGTCTTACAATAACTGTACAAACTTATACTATTTAGTCTTAGGCTGTGACATGTACACTAACTACTAACACAAAGGAGCGTAGGCCTAGGCCTATGTTTAATCTATGGCTGTAAATTAGATTATATAAGTTAAGTTAGGCAAAATATTTCTATACTTATTCCTATTAATTAAGTTTCAAAAGTGGCCTAAGTTGATAATGGAGGTTGGCACATATGGAAAGACTCCAAAGGCGGGACTGTAAAAGTAATTTCGTAAATTCTCAGTCAAACTAAGATTTGGACTTAGCCTATGCCTACTTATTCTAAAGAACTCAACTTTTTCATTTCAAAAGCACACCGTGTCTCGCCTTTGCCTAGATAGGCCTACCTTGAAGACCCTTCTTTTAGGGTAAAATATTGGTCATCATTGTGTTGGGATACGTGATGTTTAAATAAAGCTGTTATGGTAATAGTCATCTGACCCTAATTTCATCTCACTAATGTAGCATTAACTTAACAAACCTAAGCTTGGATTTTGAATTAATCTATTCCTCGTTAACTTCATTTTAAGTTACATTGATTAACTTAGTTTTAGTTCTCTTTAATACTATTGCTCTTGGCCTATATTTATTAGGCACTGTAGGCTACATTCCTACGATTATGTAACTTAATAGTTAATTCATTTGTATTATAGGCACATCTCTGAAGATGAGTGCTGAATTAGATTTCAATATATTGACCAACAGCAGGTTTGATGCAAAATGGCTTAAAATAGATCTTCAAGATGCCCTAAAACGCCATCAGTTGGCACAATCCTGGAATGAACTCATTAAAGATGGGGAGATCTACGGTGACTTCAGTGAAACTCTTTTGAATGGTGTTGGTGTTGCAGCTCGAAAAGGTGAGGATGTATTGTATACCCAGTAGGCCTAGCGTTACTGTAAGTTAATTAGGCCTAGTTACTTTTTAAGATCCATTGCCATACCGAAATCGCACTAACTTAGGCCTACCTGATTACACACAGGAATTTATATTTTTAGACTACTTAACTTATTTTAAGTTACTTAGTGACTTACACAAACAACTAGAGGCCTATAGCCAACGGCCTTATTCATTATTATTTTGCCTTAAATTATTAACTTCCTCAGAAAGATTGGAAGACGATTTTGGCAATTATCTATTCACCCTGTATATTTCACTCAATCGTTAAAAAAGACAGGCACGACATTGAACCAAATTGACCCAAAGCCTCAATAAGTTTTTTTTTACCAAAGAGATTCAAGAGATTCAAGATTCAAGAGATTTATTGTACCATTAAGTAATAAATACAATAGGTAACGTCAAACTATTCTAAAATAAACAAACCAATGCATACCAAAGACACTTAGGTACCGGTACCAATAGTTTTGTTTTACAAAACAGGTTAGGCAACCAAAGATACTATACTACTTAAGCAATATCTATCGTAGATAGACAGATAAAAGACAAGTGTTGCCCCCCGGAATAATGAATAAAGTGTTGCCCTTACTTTCTGAACTTAGGTTCAAAAGTGAGTAAAATATATATGTACCATAATGAACATAGCCTAAGTCTATAAATTTAGCCTAGCCTATAGACTATTCATGTCAGGTTGTAAATATTAATTTTGGAACAAATTAGTGGGTTAATGTAGGTACCTATTAGTGTATTTAAGTTAAGGGCAACGAGAGAAAATAACTTTCTATAGGCCTGTTTAATATTTAGGACTGAGTATGTTGTTATTGATGGCAGAATCACGGGTTGAACACTTGAGATGGCAACCAAAGATTTATATTTTAGCTAAAATACTTAGGCTACAAGTAAGTTATGCTTTATTATTGCTTTATATGCCTAGCATAACTTCATCACCATGATGACCAAATAAGTTAATAGATTGCATCTCTCATCAATGGACAAAATTCAAATAAAAATAATTTAAACTAAGTTAGCCTATCTATAAGTTTACCTCTGACTGTGTTTCTTAAGTCCTACATAACCTATCAAATCCTTATTTGGCCTTACATATGTAAACTAATTGGAAACCTTAAGAAAACTGATAAAATAATTTTTGTCAATGTACTAGGTCATAGCGGACACTACTACTGCGGACTGCGAGTGCTGACCTGTGCCTGTTGTGATGGGATCTGTGGTCCCCAACGAGGCTGCAACTGCGGCCCGTGCCAACAACTGGACCAGGAGGAGGTTTGTCGCACACAGCAACACAAGCCGCAGCCTTCGCAATACTTGCTTGACCGATGGGAGTGGGCCAACACACAGTGTGAGTGAGCAATTTTTCATTGCGATAAATGTTTTCACAACATTATGGGATCTAGTATCTGATTTCAGTCTCAGATTTAGCTCACAAACCCAGCCAGAGTTAGAAAATGTCATAAGAAAAATCATACAGAGAACGGTTTAGTACCTGGTCAAAACAAGAATCAATCCAAACTTATTTAGCCTATGTGTACATTACACCAAGGGTCAGTATCAGATTCCAGATGCAAAATGTTGTGAAAACTGGCAAAAGCCAGTTTTTAGCGAATTTCCCTATAGGGAAGTAGCTATTACCGTAGGTGGCACAGTAAGACCGAGACCCGGGACCGATTTACTTTTTCATTTTGATGTCCCCAGAGGCCAAAAACACCATTCGTTCAAATTTTTATATATATATAAAAATGCAAGAAAATAATAGACATATATATATATATTATATATACGTCCGTGAACGCGATAACTTGAGTAATTTTTGTCCGATTTTGATGAAATTTGGTTTAAAGGTGTAAAGCGGGATAAACTTGAATGAGTTCGCGAACCAGCACGATCGGACCATGGGAACGGGGCTATACGGGGGGTTTTATGGGGTCAAAATTGGTTTTTCTCACTTTTGACCCTCAAAACACAAAATTTCCCGATTTCTCTTTAGACCTTTTTAAAGAGCTTAAAAAAACAAATAATTTAGTATATAAAAGTATTTTTGTTTGATTATTAGTAACGGAGAAAATTAAAAAAATTGTAAATTTTAAATTCCCATGTTATTCTTATGGAGAATATTGTCAAATGTTGTAGTTTGCTTGTTTATGGATATATTTTGATCAAACTTGGCAAATTTATTTATTTTGTACTAAGCTATCAATATTTTACTCAAAAACACACTTTATTAGTTTCCTTGTAGCAGCAAACCTAGGTACTCGTTAAACCTAAAATTATTAAAATATATTTAACTGAAAATCAATTCAGACAAATGGAAATTCGCTTAGTCGGCAGGTTTGCTGCGGCAGGGGTATTGAAAACACTTACTGTGATGGCAAATATCTGCGATAATCCAACATAACTGTATAGTTACTAGTTACTATATGTGTGTGTGTGTTTGTGTGTGATACCAGTGTAGAACTTCATAAAGTCGGACATAGAGCAGAATCCAATAAAAATAAAGAATATACTTACAACTAAATGTAGAGAAAAACACATCTAAACAAAAACTAGGACAAAAACTTACTATGCAGGCAGTTTGTGCTGCAGCCAGTAATCAGACTGTTACAGCAAACAAACTTGGTTGAGCAAAAAAACAATGGAAACACAATCACTGTTCAATCATGTGCTTAAGCAATAGAATTACCAAATTGCATAATTTAAATCAGTTAATGTTGTTTATCTATTGAAAACCGGTGCCTATTATCCAGAGTGGTACTTAACGAGGTCCTACTGTACATACTTGCACTGTTTTCCTTCTAATTTGTTAAATCTTTCACACAACAGAAGTTATTCTCTGTAGGCCTACCGGTACCGGTACGTAATTTACAATAACTAATCTCAATTTCTCTTCTAGGCCGCAAGGAGCTGGAGACGTGTGTGGAGTCGTTGGCATATGAGCAAAAACAGCTGTGTGAAAGTGTAGCTGGCAGCACGTTGTCCGTATGTAGACTGAGACAGAGACTGGCCGTGACGTACAGGTACTTCCTGGCTCTCGGACGTCACTCCCCCACCACTGACTCTTCTCGGACTGACTCCAGCAAGCAGCAGCCAAAAAGTGTCACACAGGCCAAGAAGATGTGAGTATGAGTGACAAGCGTCAAGTGTTTAAGATAGCCTAGGTTTTTTATGATCGTTTTTACAATAGCAGGCTTACCTGAATGGGAAAGAGTCACTGACAAAATGACAACTTCTACATTCACAAACAATTAGAATATTTAACTGTCATTGATAGCATTTTCATACTTTTCTATGGATTAACAGATTCATGGATGTATGCGCAAATTGTCCATTTTAATTAAGTTTAAAACTTGTTTCTGAGGAAAATTGAATACAATGCAATACCCTTTTACCTTTCTAAGATTATATTTGTTTAAGACAGTTTGTTGTGGATTACAACCATGTCAAAGTCAAAGTCAAAGTCAAAACATTCTTTATTCATTATAGTTTCACATTACATGAACTTGAATAGAGTCATAAGCTAAATTCAAAATTGCTTACTGCTAATTAAATACATAAAAAGAGTACTAAAATTACTTTACTTGAACTTTTAACAAAACCATGACTTTAAGGAGTATTTGGAATTCAAATTAAGTTAGGCCTAACTGTTTTTTACTAATACTAAAGAATTCTGTTACTGAGTAGCAGGGAGTTCTTAAAAAATATTCCTTTAAGAGCTGCTTGAATTTATTAAATTTTGTTTCTTTTCGGATGTGAGCTGGTATAGACTGGAGAAATTTTAGCCCTATGTAAGATGTCTTTTTAGTGTAAAATTCGAGATTATGCCGAGGTAGGTTAATTTTTAATCTGGTGTTATACACTAATTGTTCTGTTGAGCTGGATGATAGTTGAATCTGTTTTGCATAAATTATTGTTTCATAAATATAAAGACTATAAACTGTTAATATTTGTAATTCACGAAAGATGCTCTTGACTGGCTCTTTCTTTTTAAGATTTTTCATCACCCTGATAGCTTTTTTCTGCTTAATTAGTACTTTATCTAAATTAGTTTTTGTTGTTGCCCCGTATAGAACAATTCCATATGAAATATGTGAATGTATTAATGAGAAATAAACAACTCTTAAAGTGTCTAAACTGCATACTCTGAACATCTGTCGCAGCGCATGGATACCGGAAGATACCTTTTTAACCACATAATTCACATGGCCCTCCCAAGATAGATGTTTATCGATAATTAGACCAAGAAATTTTGTTTGCTTTACTTGGTTTATTCTTTCTGATTTTATGCAAATGTTTGGTTCAAAATTTTGTCTACGTTGTTTAGTGGAAAATGATATAAAATTGGATTTTTCTGTGTTAATAAGCAGATTTTTTCGGTCAAGGAATTCTTTAGTGGATAAAAGACTCTCCTGAGTTGATCTTCCCGGAATCAGCACATTACAATCATCAGCAAACAGACACATAGACCCGCCATTACCAGGAATCGCTCCTGGCATACCTCTAATATAGCAGAGAAAAAGTAGAGGCCCCAGGATCGATCCCTGCGGCACCCCATATTTCAGCGTCTGATGCTGAGATCTATATTTTTCAACGTACTTTGTGCTTGCATGCTCCACAACATAATCCAATTCAACAAATTGTTTTCTGTTTTCTAGATATGATGTAAACCATGCAAGCTCTTTTCCATAGATTCCCATTTCTTTTAGTGAAGTCAACAATATACTATGTGACACGCTGTCAAATGCCCTACTAAGATCCAAAAAGATTCCTACAACATTTTCTCCTCTGTCAACAGTATTTATTATAGATTCTATGAATTCAATACCAGCTGTTATTGTTGATTTGCCCTGCCGAAAGCCATGTTGTTCTTTATCAAATAGTTGATTATTTTCCAGATATTTATAGACCTGAATGTAAACAATGCGTTCAAAAATTTTTGAAAAAACAGGTAAGAGAGAGATAGGGCGGTAACAGGAGGGATCAGTTTTATTACCTTTTGTAAAAATGGGAACTACTTTAGCCAATTTTAATTTTGATGGAAAGATTCCTGAAATAAGAGAAGAGTTTATGATATGTGTTAGTGGTTTCTGGATAATGTGTATTGATTTTTTAACTATGGTGATTGGAATTTCATCAAAACCTGCCGAGTACTTGTTTTCAAAGGAAAGGACCACTTTAGTGAGGTGTTCTTCCGTTATTGTGTGAAACTTAAATGACTTATCTGTAGGTAAAATATTTTTCTGGATATCTGTTTTTTGTGTAAGTGAAGGAGAAATGTGTGGCAATATAAGCTTTTCCACGGCTGATACAAAGAAATTATTAAAGTTGTTACTGACAGCTACTGGATGCTTAAGGAGTTTACCATTTTGCTCTATACATATCGGTATGTTGCTGGTAAAATCACTTTTTGAGTTAAGCTTTATTTCACTTTTAATTATGTTCCACGTTGCTTTAGCTTTATTAGAAGAGTGTTTTATTTTCTCATTATAAAATGTTTGTTTGGCTTGGTGTATTGATTCTTTTAGTTCCTTTTTCTTAACCTTTATCTTTTGATATGTGTCAAAATGTTGTCTTATCCTACCTAGCTTTTCCAGTTCATTTATCTCACTCCTTTTTTTAAATAACTCCTTTGAATTCCATTTACATTTACTATATCCACTATCTGCACTTAAAACTTTGGGAAAATTAACATCAAAAATGTAACTAAAAATAGAAAAAAATGCATCATACTTTTTATCTACAGATGACTGGTAAACATCATACCAAGTCTCATTGCCTAAATCACTGAGAAAGGTTTTTAAGTTATTCTCTGTAAATTTTCTGTGCCTTTTCTTTATTTTCTTTTTATTCTTACTTTTTAAATCCACAATTTCAAGAAGTTGTGCATCGTGATCAGACACATGAATAATGATTCCGGTTACAATTAATTGCACATGATCTATATTAGTGATAATATTGTCTATTGCTGATCTAGTTTTCAGTGTAACCCTAGTAGGAAAATTTACTTTATATGACATATTATACATTCTCAAAATGCTCAAAAATCTATAATACAATGAGTTATGATTTAAAATAATTAGAGGTATGTTACAAATGATCAAAAAATTTCCTTCCATGTGGTGGGAGATTCGATAGTTAAACAAATTTTAAAAGCACACAGCGAATTGTACATGGAAGCTAGAGAGCTGCAAATTGTGTAATTCTGTTTACAAATGATGCCAATGAAGCGAACTCATCACATATGAAGCGAACTACGGATTTATACGCAAAAACAGAGCCCTTACTTTCAAAAAACCACCCTCCATTTAAAAATGCAGAAAAGTCATATTTGAAAACATTTCCCCATTTTGTTCTTCTGAAGACTTACGTTTAGTCTTTTATCCTCTGTTTCAGCATCAGCAAACATTCCTCTGAAAATGCTTCATTGGGATTGGCTCGTGTTGGAACCAGAGCTGCTCTTAATTTCTCTTTTGCTTTCCTTCGGAGAGCTTGGAGATCAGGCGAGTAACTTTTAAAAGTTAGGAAGTGAAGTAGTTGTAGTTTCCTTCTGTTATGTACTTAGTATTGTTTGAGCATTATTGAACATAATAAATGTGTTTCAAAAGTATGTTATAATTGACTTTATAAGTCGACGTGTTTTTCTCTGGTATTTTGGTTGATAACAATGAGATAAACAGAAGAAGAGTACGTGTGTTATAGTGAATGACACTCAATGAAAACAAACATAGATCACTCATAGCCTACATTTTTAAATACTACCTTAACGTTACAGTAGACACCCTCTTATCCAGACACCTTTTAACTGGAGGTTGGTTTAACCGGACTACACTTGGCGGAAATGACATCTCTTTAACCGGACAATATTTATCAGCACATCGGTTTAACCGGACTAGATCGGCAAGAAGTGGGTGGTACTGAAACTACTGTTCTCATGGGAAATATTTGAGACCAGTGATCACGTGTCTTGAAGTTTTCAAACCACCACTCTTTGTTCGGTTACTTCTTTTTCCCTTCCCTTATGTAAATCACAATACTTTATGATGTATTGCAGAGTTGATATTTCTGTTCTTGTTAGTCATTAATTTAATCATTTCAATGTTTTTTGTTGAGCAAGGTTTGAAATTTTTCTGTAGGAGAAGATGCAGATCTGTGCAGTGAGCTATTACAAGAGTCTTTGGCTGCTATGCAATCTCTCCCAGTCGCTACGCTGTTTGATGACTCTGCCGTCTCTCCGGTGTGGATGGAAGTGGTTGATCGATCCGCCAAATTTCTTAAACAAGTTGTACTGGGGTAAGTCACTGTCATTGGGGATGTATGTCATTGACCAATGTTGTCTAATAGTATCCAAAACGTTGGAAAATTTCCAGTTTTGTAATATGATTGACAGGTTTTAAAAATCATGAGTTTAAAAGTATGGATCTTGAATTTTTACTTAATGGACAAATCATCTCCACCTTCACGAGATTTTTACACCTACTGACAGTTTATTTACAATTTCATTGTGATCACGGGAAGTTCCACCTAAGAGGCGGGGGTTGCTCGAATTAATTTGGCCAATGCTTGCTGCACTGTAAGGCCGTTGCTGATTTTAGTGGACAGTTAAAAACTGTTTATGAGCAATAGGAACCTTGAAAATTGAAGGAATTAATTCATGGCTTGAAGTTAACATTTTTAGTAATGATAAGTTTGTGTTAAGAGTACTTCGGCCTCCATCCATACTAATTATTGTTTTCATTAAGATTTTTTGTTTCTTGTTTTGATTAGCCTACTAGTTCTCGGTGTGGTTTGTCTTTCGTGATTTTAGCTTTGGCTAATCTCCTAAGTTTTAGATATTTTCTCATTTTAAGACGAGATCTTGAAATATCATGTGCTGTGTTTTGACTATCGCTATTGAACATGTCCACAATAAACACTGAAAATCATTTTGTGTTCAGGGATGACAACTGGGCAGGCAGTACCCAGGTACCTGTGATGGACCAACATTACGCCCTGTGTCTGTTGTTGGAGTTGGCCACACAGCGGGCGACTCTTAGTCACCTACTGGAAGCTGTGTTGTTACTGTTGAACTTGCATGAGAGCAGGAATCACCGACAGGACAACCGGTAAGTCAATTTGTGTGTCATAAAAGAAAACTCAAATAAATAAAACAAATTGACAATTTGAATAAGTTTCGGGTTCAGATTCGATTGGCGAAGTTTCTATATAAGACTCAAAAGTGTAACTTGTTTCCATCTTATTGTTTTTATGCCCATATCTTGTTAAAATGATGATGATGATACACAAGCTTTTTGTATCAACATAGTTGCCCACAAGGAAAAGACATTGGTCCCCTGATTATTAATATTTAAGGTTGTAGGTAGGTCAAACAACAGGTTTACGAAGTTGAAAGATTCATTAAAAACCTGAAACATAGAATGTTTTGAGTACTAGCTCCTTTTTCGGTTTGTTCTTGTGGAGGCTGTTCTGGTTCCATTTGATATCTAAGTAACTTAGTCCTGGATGATTTTTAGGTCTGACGAAGCTGACATAAATCCTCCACTGGTGCCATTACTACGACGGATAGAGAGCATACCATCTGCTAAAGCGCCCAGTTCAGCAGCTGATGAGTGGAATGACAACACTCCCTATAGGGTATGTATTCATTTTCATACTGTTGTCGATGTACACTGATATTCTTGTTCCAATAGCGTCGTTACATGGGTAAAATTCCCTACAATTTGGAATCAAAATTGTGGTGAAGGGATACCTACATATTCTTCTTTATTCCCATACCCCATATTTGTTAGTAACCGTGTTAAATCCTATTTTGGACATTTTATAGTCATTACGTATTACATAGTTGATTTCTTTGTTTGATGTTCATTGTTGGGTGGTGAGTTAATGTTGTTCAAAGGTTTATTGCGGACATTTTCCATCACGATGGTAAAAAAAAAACAATACACAACGTTTCGGGATCTGGAATCTGACCCCGTCCTCAGGTGAAAAAACTTAACCTACACATTACAACTAACAATACACAAACGCCCAACCTAAGTTGGAATACACTTCAGAGGGTAGCAGTCAAAAAATATGCACTGTATAGCAGTCAAGTCATGATACAACATGCAAATAATAACCAAACACAAAACACTGTAATTTATAATCTATATGAGGTGTAGTGTAAAAAGCTCACACAATGGAACACTAATAGCACCGTTCGCAATGACTCCACCAATGAGACTGAAGCAACATGGCCGACCAATCGGAAATGCGGAGACAACAGAAATGGCTTCCGGTCCCTGGAAAAGTAAAACCAACAAAATGGCAGAGCGATGTACGATGCCGCAAGATGGGTGTTAATTCTGTTTATTCCTACCACGAGTTTTACTACAAGTTAATATAACGTGCAAATTTTGAGGAGAACTCGTTATTTCCCTACTTATTGAACAATTAAGTTCCCTATCCTTTAGTTCCTTGTTCAAAATGGGTAGCCAAAGTGGCCTGATTTAAACTAAAGACTGACTGATTGGTTATTATTTGCATGTTGTATCATGACTTGACTGCTATACAGTGCATATTTTTTACATCTACCTCTGTAGTGTATTCCAACTTAGGTTGGGCGTGTGTGTATTGTTAGTTGTAATGTGTTAGTTAAGTTTTTCACCTGAGGACGGGATCAGATTCCAGATCCCAAAACGTTGTGTATTGTTTTATTTTATTTTTACCATCGTGATGGAAAATGTCCGCAATAAACCTTTGAACAACATAGTTGATTTAATCCACCTCTGGTAAGAAAAATCTGCTGGTCTAGTGGTCGTGTAAAAGTTCTGGTCTGGGTTCAAATCTAGACAATCACCAATCAGCCCAAATGAACGACAAAAAGTCTAGGTTTCTAAAAAAGATTATTACAACTTTTATGTTGAGAACTCTCTACGCTAAAAACAACACAATACAAATTTAATTAGGCTATAGGCTATATGATTCACTTTGATCGTCATTGTCTTTCTAATGCTTAATACTTACCTTACCACCTATGTAATGGCTGCAGGTGAGCCCTACGGCATGTTTCCTGCAATACCTGGAGCTCCCGGAAGATGATTGCATTGACTTGCAGCTAGCGGCTATTGTCATCATGGCTCATCTTGATAGACTGGCGACTCCATATCTACCACCTGCTACTTTTCTCCAGGTAAATCAGCAGCAATTATTTTACTTGAGACTATATTTAAATTATTTTACTAGTTTGGTTTGATGATGATGGTTCAATTTCTCTTATAAAAACCCTTATAAAACAGAATCATAAGTATCATAGTATCAACAAGACCTCAAACAATGGTTGAAGGGTATGAAGATTAGTGTTCTGTAAAGAAAGTCTAACTTTAGTAAACTTGCACGAACTATAAAATTAGTGTTTTTTTGAAATTGCAATGAAACGTCAAAGTGTCTGCACTAAATGCAAAAATTCAGCAGAAAATTTTGATTTTTGGATTCTTATAAATACATAACAAGTTGAAAATGTTAAACAAAAACAGTCACATCAATATTATAGCAAGGTTTATTGTTTTGCTTGATGTTTTGATTGGGAAATCGGAAAATCACAATAGGCATTCATAGGTTAAGCATTCTGGTTAATTAGTAATTAGTTATAAGTTAATTAGTAATGTAACTTATGTTGGCAGAACACAAAGCTGTTCCAAGAGGTTCAGGCGTGGGGTTGGCTACCGTGGGACCTGGGCGACACTCCGCACAGCTGTGAACAGATCGGAGAACTCGGTGTGAACAAGATGGCCTGCGGGGAGCTGGGCGTACTGCTGCTCTCACACTGCGGCAAACTGTACTTCATGCCTTACACTTGCGAATCTCAGGTAGTGAGTTGGCAACTCGATCTATGATCATGTGTAGGCCTAGTTTTGTTTGTTAAAAGTAAATTTTTGTTACGGGACACATATAGGAATTTGTTGATAATAGCAGAAGTAAGTTTTCTGCAGGAATCGCACAAGTCAAAACAGGATGGGACAAAAGACAAAAGTAATGTCGGACCTAATTTTAGAACAAAGGTGGGAGGTTGGAAACGACAGGGATGCACAATTTCCAAATTTTGCCATAATGCAGAAGATGTTCGGGGTTTTGCCACAATCACAGGAGATAATCATGATGTTTTCTCTGTGATCGCTGATGTTCATGATCTAACTTTGTGTTACTTGTGCCAGATTAGACTCTTTACCATTTAGGTACTATAAATTGTAGGTCAGTTGTCATTGGCTGTATGGGCTATTAATTAACAGCAGTGTCTAAGGAACATGTCAGCCTTAGTCACTTACTAGACTACAAGATCACACCACTCATCCTACTCTCATCTCTATTCATACTTGGCTTAAAATACCTACATTTGTATGGTCGCCATTTCAGAATAAAGTAAAGTAAAGGTAAGCCTGCCATACTGAAAAAAATCTTTAAAATCTATTAAGAGTGGTTCACTCAATATTAATATGTGACCTACGTTTTGGTGAGATTATATTTTAAATTCAAAATCGCTCCATTTTCAGATTCCAGAGAAGGTTGAAGCTCTGGCCAACAAGGAGGTGGTGGAGATTGCCGCACATCCAGATGCTAAGCACTACCTAGCTCTAACAGCGGAGGGAGAGGTTTACGCATGGGGTTGCGGTGACGGAGGCAGACTGGGTCTAGGAGACTGTAGCAACAAAGAGGAGCCTACACTGGTATCTACATTGTCTGGGCTCAGAGTCACCAAGGTGGCTGTTGGCAACACTTACAGGTTGGTGAATTAGAAGAAGGATCTGGGTGCATTGCCATTGTCGGTAACAGTCTATACTTTGTTCACAAAGTTTAGGCGGTTTTAGAAGAAGTTGTATATCCCCTCTTGATTGATTCTACGTTTAAAATAATAGCTTAACAGTTGAGGTTTGCCAAAACGTTAATCAGCTGTGACATATATATATATATATATATATATATATATATATATATATATATATATATATATATATATATATATATATATATATATTAAGCAAAAAAAAGTAGTGGGGGAACTTCCCCTCAAACCGCCAAAATTTTTATGAACGGACTATAGTAATGAAATCTTTGTAAACTGGTTGGTGGTGTTGAAAAGTATAGATAGGTGTTATATAGTGATGCGTCAAAACCGAATCTCATATCTCAAAACCATCAAAACTTAGGAAAAGTTTCGGTTTCGAGATTCAAAAGTTTCGAAATTGAAGATTTTGGCAGTTTTATTTTTTTAAACTGCTGACATTTTTTGTGCCATTTTTATTGTTTTCAATGCTGTTTCCAAACAAGCTGGTAGAAACAGAGCAAACATCACCATTAACAGTAATGAAACAAGTAAATTTTATTCTGAACTTCAAAAGATATCTTAAATATTGTAACTGGTACAATTCAGTTTACTGTTAATATTTCAGTTTAATATTTCTGTTCAGTTAATATTTACTAAACACAAAGATATATTGACCACTAAATGTTCTAATTAATCTAAGATTCATGTTTATGTTGGTGTTAGAAGTTTAATTTTTGTTGTTGGTTGTTTATGAAAAATTATGTTGTATTGGGTTTTAAGATTATCAGTCACATTCACATATTTATGTTATGTCACGGTCAGGAGTCAATCTCTTTCAGTTTTGTTTGCATACTTAACATTTTATGATTATGTGTATTTTTTTGTAACCTTGACCTTAAGGTCAAGGTCGCACAAAAACGTTATTTTCACATGAAAAAAACATTTTTCATTTTACATTTTCACGTTATTTTGATGTATAAAAATGGAGAAAATCACGTTATTATCGTGCAAAAATAACGTGAAAATTTCACAACTTTTCACGTAAAAATAACGCGAAAATTAAACGTGAAATTTTTCGTTTTTACAATACAATATTTTCACATTTTTCACTTAATATTTACGTTTTTAAAATGATCCTGCTTTTACATTTTTTACATTTTTCACCTAATGAAAACGTTTTTAAAACATTTATCTTTTGATTTTTTAACCATAGTCATGCAACTTTCATGTTTTGTAAACACTAATATTAGGAATTTGTTTACATTTTCAGCAAATTTAAACTGTGAAACTCAATTAGTCTAGAAAACAAAATCAATCAATCACAATATCACACATAATCAATAAAAATTTAAGTTGGCCCAAAGGTGTATTGATACTTTTATATTACATTATTTTTCACTTTTTACATTTTCACCTTTTTTCACGTGAAAATAACGTTATTTTTACATTATGTGCTGACTGGGATATTATTAATTCATCAATAAATTGTATGAAACTTGGCAAAAAAAAATAAAAATAAAAAGATGAAAATAAATTAGCGTAAATTAATAAATAAATAAATTAGCATGAAAATAAAGGATGACAAAATTTAACAAAGTTCAATTTTAAATTTTGAAGGGGCACCGATTACACTTTTCAAATTCATGCGAATTTCGTGGGGAAACAACAATAGGAACATTTTCTTTTTCTTATTGCAATGGAACAAGTTCAAATACAAGTAAAATATAAAATGTAAAAATAATGTGAAAATGGTTATTATATTTTAACTTTTTTACATTTTTCACGTTATTTTTACGTGAAAAAATATGATATTTTTCACTTTTTACATTTTCACCTTTTTTCACGTAAAAATAACGTTATTTTTACATTATGTAGTGCTGAATGGGATATTATTAATTCATCATTAAATTTTATGAAACTTGGCAAAAAAAATAAATAAAAAATAATGAAAATAAATTAGCGTAAATTAATAAATAAATAAATTAGCATGAAAATAAAGGATGACAAAATTTAACAAAGTTCAATTTTAAATTTTGGAGGGGCACCGATCACAATTTTTAAATTCATGCGAATTTCGTGGGGAAACAACAATAGGAACAGTTTTTCTTTTCTTATTGCAATGGAACAAGTTCAAATACAAGTAAAATATAAAATGTAAAAATAATGTGAAAATGGTTATTATATTTTAACTTTTTTACATTTTTCACGTTATTTTTACGTGAAAAAATATGATATTTTTCACTTTTTACATTTTCACCTTTTTTCACGTAAAAATAACGTTATTTTTACATTATGTGCTGACTGGGTATATTATTAATTCATCAATAAATTTTATGAAACTTGGCAAAAAAATAAAAAAAAATAATGAAAATAAATTAGCGTAAATTAATAAATAAATAAATTAGCATGAAAATAAAGGATGACAAAATTTAACAAAGTTCAATTTTAAATTTTGGAGGGGCACCGATTACACTTTTCAAATTCATGCGAATTCGTGGGGAAACAACAATAGGAACAGTTTTTTTTTATTGCTATGGAACAAGTTCAAATACTAGTAAAATATAAAATGTAAAAATAATGTGAAAATGGTTATTATATTTTAACTTTTTTACATTTTTCACGTTATTTTTACGTAAAAAAATATGATATTTTTCACTTTTTACATTTTCACATTTTTTTCACGTGAAAATAACGTTATTTTTACATTATGTGCTGACTGGGTTTGTAGCCAGCTAAGTAAAAATGTTTCGCGTTTAGGTTTTGAGATTCGAGATTCGGGATTCGATTTTTTAAAGTAAGGTTTCGGTTTTGAGATTCGAAATTTCTGGTTTTGACCATCACTAGTGTTATATAATTTTCTAGTTTTTTGAGAAAGAAATATTTTATTTTACATTTTTCCGGAGGTCATAGAAGTAGTGAGTGTAACGTGGAGAGAATCGGTTTTAGCTTAGGGCAACATTACAAAAGATCTTTTACTAAATTGCAATGGTGCAGAAAATTTACAAGGGAATCAGTGAAAGTTTGTAGGTTATGTTTATATAAAGGAGTTGTTAATTCCTAAATTATTACCATTTTTTTAAATCCCAAATGTTGTTTGTAATATCCTCTCATGTGGATTGCTATGTTTTACTGTAGTCTCTCTGTTTCATGCCACAGTGCTGCGATAACTGCCAGAGGAGAGCTGTACACCTGGGGTAGAGGCAACTATGGCAGACTCGGCCACGGCAGCAGTGAAGACGTCAATCTGCCTACTCTCGTTGTTGGTCTTAAAGGTATTTTCTTCAGACCATCTTCAAGTACCAGTAATAAAGTTGTTTTAAAATATTGTCAGGATATTTTTTTTTTAGTTTATCACAGATAGCTGGTTCCCTTAAAGATTTTTTTTATTATCTGGTAATCGTGTGTTTAGCAGTACTGTGAAAACTTATAACTTTTTATCTAGTTGAGATAGCTGGATTACCTGGATAGGAAATAGTTTGTCCAGGTACAAAATACTCAAATTTGTACACTGCAAAAATACTCTTAACAAAATTTTTCACTATTACATACCACATTTTCAACTTACTAAGGAAATTCCTGGCCACCAGTTGACTAGCAGACATCTTCCCAACTCTAATCTTCTTTAGTTGGAAAATCCCTCAGTGACGGACTGTCGGTCAAATTTTCTAATTTTTTTATATGTAGCCCACAGATTTGTTCTTATGCCAGGGTGAATTATTTCCCATTTTGATTATCTAGTCAGTTAACTCTATGTTAAATAAATTTTCTAATTCTAAATTCCTTTAACCTCACAGATGTGTTCCAGCGGGTTAGTCAATATTTAATGGTGTTTACAGGACAGTACATAGTTGACGTGGCTTGTGGTAGCGGAGACGCACAGACGTTAGCCGTCACTGACTCTGGTCTGGTGTTCTCTTGGGGTGACGGTGACTATGGGAAACTTGGTAAGATGTTAAACCAACAATAATCGCACATTGTATGCCAAACTTTAGTCATTTTTTGCTTGTTAATATTTTTATAGATTCATTAGATTTTATATGAGCATACAAAGTGCACAGTTTTAAAAAAATTTTTAAATTTTTTTACAACAAATATTCTTTTTTCTTCCGAAAATCATAGTTCCCATTATTTTCTATTAACATTACTTACTATTGGTTGTTTTGATAATATTGTGGCACTGACCTAATGACACATTTGATTTGCAAGGCAAACTTTAATTGTTAATTTTTATAGGCAGAGGAGGAAGTGACGGATCAAAACTACCAAAACTCATTGACTGTTTACAAGGTGTAGAGGTGAGTTTATGCTAATCCCTATAACGATCAGTATTTATTTGAACAACAACAAACTATTTTGTTGTGACCCTTGTTCAAACTAAAAAGCCTTTACCATAAAAAATTTGTATTAAATGGATATTTAAACCTTACATTATGAGCCAAATATTAGTAAAACTACAGTCATATACTTAACAATAAATGTATACATACTTCTTTATACTTTTAATACTTTTCATTGAAATTACGACTATACAGTTATTGAGTAGGTATTTTGCCAAGTATGAATGGAGATGAGTGAAAGATGAGTGGTGCGATCTTATAGTCTTGTTACTGACCACGGCATATTCCTTAGACACAGCTGTTAATCAAGCCCATACAGCTAATGGCAACTAAGGCACCTACAGTTTTTATAGTGGAATCCGAACGAAATTTTTGCCTTGGTATTACCAAATTGGTCTAATTATCAGGATAGTACTGCGGATAGTCATAGTACTCACAAGTGCGGACGTTAATCCACACCAGGGAGCATCGCGTCCACAGTGCAAGCCTATAAATATTACTGTATCCACAATTCATGACCTCCTAGTAGCTGGATTACAGGACAACGCCACCACCCCAGTCTTATATACTTATATATAGCATAAATACTTGAAAGTGTTATTGTTTGTTTCATTGGTATGGTCAAACCATATGGGCGAACGCATGAGTCATACGTTGGTGGCCATCTAAACCTTTAGAAGCCATAACCAAAAATATTTGGACGAGAGAGCGTTCATAGTAAATTGTTAATTCCTTATAAAAACATAGGGTTAAGTTTCTTTTAGTTTTACAACAAATGTCCGTTTCTAGATCAGCCGAGTTTACTGCGGTGCTCAGTTCAGTCTGGCGCTGAGCAGCTCAGGTGATATCTACGCTTGGGGCAAGGGTGACAACTTCCGTCTCGGCCATCCCTCTGAGGAGCATGTCCGCTTTCCCAAGATTGTACAAGCCATGAAGGGTACGTCTGTGTAATAAACTGTGATTAATGTCAAGTTCTGATTTCTGTAAATATCTGACTAACCTCAACATAAAGACAGAAGATCTTAAATTAACACTAGCAGTTTTCCAATGCAACTTTCAGTGAACACTTAAACCACAGTTATCAAGAAAAATGTTTCGCAATATCATTGAGAGAGGGTGCCACCAATGACAATGTGTTAAAGTAGATTTGAACTTTGAAGAAAATGTAAGAACATAAGAAAGTGGTGTTTGTTATTCTCATTGATCAATTTATATCACTTCAAGCCATAGGGGATTAAAATTAACGGTCTGCTACAAAATGAGATTCCTTCTTGCATTATGTATACTAATTATGGAAAATCAAAGTGAAAGGCAATTCCCAACAATCAGAAGATTCTAGAGTCACTTTTACTCTCAAAGTAAGAAGGTGTGTCATGTTTTAACTATTGTAGACCACAACAATTCTTCTGTAACAATTCTAACAAATTATCAAAACTACCATATTTAAGACATTTTCTACTCAAGATTTCAAAGCCTCTTTTGATTTAATATGAGAGATCTAAACATAAATACAGAAGATCTTAAATTAACACTAGCAGTTTTCCAATGCAACTTTCAGTGAACACTTAAACCACAGTTATCAAGAAAAATGTTTCGCAATATCATTGAGAGAGGGTGCTACAAAATGAGATTCCTTCTTGCATTATGTATACTAATTATGGAAAATCAAAGTGAAAGGCAATTCCCAACAATCAGAAGATTCTAGAGTCACTTTTACTCTCAAAGTAAGAAGGTGTGTCATGTTTTAACTATTGTAGACCACAACAATTCTTCTGTAACAATTCTAACAAATTATCAAAACTACCATATTTAAGACATTTTCTACTCAAGATTTCAAAGCCTCTTTTGATTTAATATGAGGGATCCATTTTTGTTATGGTTGTTAAAAAACAATTGTCTTCAATCTCTTCAAGTTCATTTAACTGAACAACCAAAAAAATATAACTGCTCTTTTCCAACACAGGGATGGAAACTAGAAACAAACTGATTGCTAGATAATGATGGCCTACTTATTAACTTTACATACTAAAGTTCTACATACATAGGCCTATATACATACATATCGTCTTCCGTTCCGGTTATTTCTGGGTCTGGGTGTTCACTAGACTTCTCGATCTTCTTTCTCTCCACAATTCATGTTCCTCAACATACTGTCACTGCACTCCTCTTGCTTCCACATCTCATCTCACCTCGTCAATCAAACTTCTTCTAGGTCTTCCTCTTTGTCTCCTTCCGTTCATGTAATGCTCACTCATTTCATTTTTTGGGGGATTCTATTATTTTATATTCTTAAGTGGCCTAACCATTTCAATCTTCATTTCTACTCGTTCTCTCAAACTTTCTTGAACTATTCCTCTTCTCAACTTTTTATTACTAATTCTATCCAATTTTTCCCCCTACCTCTTACAAACTTCATCTCCCGCCTGAACCCTATACTCCATTCCCTCTCTGTTATATTCCAAACTTCTGTACCTTGGGTAACTATCGGTTAGTAAATTTATACATGATAACTTTAACAGTTTTTGGTATATCTGTATCTTTAAAAGTTCTACAAACAATTGAAAACACTAGCAAACAAAGTTCAAGGCATTGTTCATTTTGGAAATTTAGTTTGATAATTTCAGGCAAGAGGGTGAAGCAGCTAGCAGTAGGGTTGGTGCATGTGTTAGCACTGACGGAGAGTGGGGAGGTGTACGGGTGGGGAAAACAAGAGTACGCTCAATGTGGGGACCAAGCTTCATCAGATGAACCTCACCTTCTGACCCTTCTGAGAGGAAAAAACATCGTTGGATTATCCTGCGGACCGACTCAGGTAAAGTAGAATGTAATGTAATGCTGAAGTGGTGAAAAATTTGAATTTTTTTAACATAAGTCTGTAGCCTGAAGATCTGGCCAATTGTTACTTAGATTTTCCAATTGCTCCTGAAGACGGCTGATCACTCCTGACACCCCGAGGAAATTTTTTTTATGTTAATTATTGGGTTGCATTAGCAGGCAAGCTCCTATTTTAAATTTAATAATAGATATTGTGACTAGGACTACTTTCATAACATTTGAAAACACTCAATAGACTAAGTACTTTTTTTGTACTCTTTATAATGCATCGTCTTTGAATGAATAATAATCGTCTTTGAATGAATTATCTCTTTTAATAAACTTTGGTGTTTTGTGAATTCGTAAATACAATTTATCAAGTAAGTGATGTGAAACCAATTAAAAAGTATTTTTTTGTTAATTTTGTTGTTTTTTAACCCTCAGAGTTTTGCTTGGAGCACGAGCGACAGCTGGAAGATCGGCCTACATGTCATGTTTGTGGTGGACGTTTGTGAGGAAACACTTCTGAGACTAGAGGAGCTGCTGACCAGTGTGTGTGAGGACATCTTGGTCAACACCGACTGGCCACCTCCTCAACACAAAGGTAGGAGTGGCACTGACAGTGGCAAAACATGCTTAAGTCTACTAACTAAACAAGAGTCTCTTGTGTCAATCACTAATAAAAGCTGTTTGGCAAGTCTAAATTGAGATGAAATTAATTTTCCTACATGAAATGTTCTACAGTAGAAACCCTCACATACGATCTCGGAATAACCGACTCCTGGGAATATCCAACCTAGGGTTCGACCGTCTACTTTTTTCCTGTCTGGTGCAATAACGCCGAGCACAATCAGGGCCCTGTTTCATAAAAATACTAGTCTAGTAATTACTAGTCTAGTAAATACTAGTCCCGTATTTACCTGTCCTACTAATTTCTGTTTCATAAACGTTTTTATACCACTAGTAAATACTAGTGAATTTTACTAGTCACGTGGCCAAAACTACTAGTCACGTGACCAACTTTACAAGGTAAACTTTCAAAACAAATTTCTAACCTCAATCACGGGTTTTCAAACCCTTTATAAAGGGTTTTAATTTTGTTTTCATTTGATACAAAAAGTAAATAGTTGTAGAAACGCAGTGTTTTCTTTTAATTAATAACTATATAGACACATAAGTAAAACAATCACACATTATTTATCAAACCGCTATTATTTATGTTCATCAATGAACCCGCCGGAGCGCCGGCGCGGCGCGGCGTCGCGTCGCTGCAATCAACACGGTGATTGTAGTAGCAGTAGCCGGTTGTAGGCCTAGTTGCGGCGCTCAACAGTTGGGTGGAAGTTGATCTGTTGCTGCCGCATTCACTGTGATTTGTATAGTTTTTGTTTTACTCTGACATATAAAATTAAGCTTGCTATGAGTAAAGAAAAGAAATCTCAAATTTTGAATGTAATTAAATCATCTAAGGACATTTTGTTTATTGGAACGGTTTCAAGTACCCTTACCTATGTTTTCAAATATTCTAATGCATAAGGATATTTGGGTTAAAAACCATTTGGTGATATTCTAATTTTGAGTCTACAAACCATGAATAATAAGCCTAAACGTTTATTGATGCAACAAAAAATTGCAACGCCGTTACAAGCAATGGAGAAGAAGGTTTTCAAGTACTGGATAGTAAAACATGGCATAGTCGTTACGGCAGGGCTTAGCTCAGAGGCAGGTAGAGTTCTCGCTAGTCATGTGGCGGGTCCCTGGTTCAAATCGTGCCACTCATTATACTTTTTATTCCATTAATTAAACTTTTACATGTTTTTACATTAAAAAAACATGATCAACATCTATTTTTTTTATTACTTTTAATAACAAATTCAGAATACCAAAATAGATTAAAAGTAATGTTTTTATGATAAGCAGTTCAGTTCAACGCCCAAAAATCAAATATAGGCCTACAAAATTGTTAGTACATCACAGGGTTTTAGCTATTAAGGGAAGCAAATAATAAGCCCCTCAAAAAATACAATGCAACTCCTCTTTAAAAGTGTCTTACTATTATTTCCTATTCAAATGTCTTTAAATAAAACCGAGAGCCTTGGGTGTAAAATTATCTGATTAATGTTGCAATGTTGGATACATTTGTTACATTTTTGTATGCAATACGGTATGCGGTTTTAATTTGGTTTCTCTCAAAGCTTAAAATTCTTTTCTCTGTGATAGCTAATAGTTGATATAACCATGAAATTTAACTAAAGTAAAATTAGACTAAAATTTCACAGAAATTGATAACTTATAATTATAATTAATTCTAATAGGGTGATTGTACATACATTATACAATTTTATTTCTCTCATTTTGTACTACGCCACATTTATTAATTGTAATTTATATAAAATAATTATCATTTTAGCAAACACAGATCTATTTTTATCTTAAATTGCAAACGTGAGCCAATTTGCACTTGCAAAAAGAACTTAATAATTAATTTTTTTTATGATGTGAGTAATGAAATAACTCTCTTTCCAAAAAATACTAGTCTACTTCAAATAATACGGGTGTAGAGAGGTTGTTAGAAAATGGCAAGTATTTACCAGTGTAATTTACAAGAGTAAAACTTTATGAAACACATTGCTGTCTACACTAGTAAAAACCACTAGTAATACTAGTCCCTACACTAGTAACTAGTATTTTACACTAGTAGGTTTTTGAAACGTAGACTTGTAAAATACACTAGTATTACTAGTCTGTGGACTAGTAAATACTAGACTAGTAGTTTTATGAAACAGGGCCCAGTAAACTGAAAGGCTGATCGCGGATGTTGCCGTAATCGCAGCAGACGATCCCCACTGTCGCTGATAACGGGTGTTGCTGCCGTTGCGGCAGCAGATTACTGAAGTTGGGGAGACTGCAAGTTACGCTCACAGGAGTTGCCGCTGTCGCGGGAGACGATAACCGAAGAGACGATTACCCATGTCGCGGGAACTGCTCCTCCCGATATCCGACCTTTTGGCTGTTTCGACTACGGCTCGGTCCTGTCATGGTCGGAAATGAAGGGTTCTACTGTAATTTTACTACATAGCACTTAATATCATCTAAACATCAAAGAAAATGTTATCAAACTAAAGTTTGAAAAATCATTATGTGACTGGAAATAGTGCATTGTAGGAATCTCTAGAATTACTATATCAATATTTCCAAGTGTGTAGGCAGTTAAAATCAAAATCTAAACTTTTTTCCGCTGGCTGTTTTGAATTTGTTTGAATATATTACCAGCGACATTTAAAACCCTCCCTGAAAGACTATTTATGAAGAAAATCAAGATTTACTTGTTGGATAACCATTGCAGCTACTCAGTGAAGAATTTTGATTCCTTGGTTAAAGACTTCTAGCATACATATGCTCATTTGACTCCTGTCACTTCTATAGAAGAAGCCATAATTTGTGCCTATAGTAAACTGGTAGGTTTAGTTTTGTATCTAAAATGTAGAATTGTATAAAATACTATAGGGGTTTTAGACTTGACCTATTACATATTGCTCTTAATTCCTTAACAAATGATTTTTATATTTACTTGTGTTGCGTTTACAGAGTGCCTGATAGTCTCCACACTGAACATCCTGCGGCTGCAGCTGCACGCCATGACCAAACACCAGGTGGACAGTGGCAGTGTGGGCATGTCCGGCGGCTCACGACTACACTCGTCACTCAAGCGGCTTGTGGTCGAGCTGGCCAGCAGTGCTTGTGTGATAGACAGTATACAAGCAGCGGCTCAGGCGACACTGCAGGCTGGTTGGAGCATATTGCTGCCCACGGCTGACGAGCGCGCTAGGACATTGTCCTCACTGTTGAGCGGTTCTGGTAAGTCATACGGTGAATCCGTCAAACCTCGAAAGATAAAATTTTGAATGAGGTAAAGGAAAGCACTCTTGTAACAATAAGGGGCAGACAACTTCCTCAGGAGGAGCTCATAGAAAGGATGCTACAGTTTATCAAGCAACTCAGGTTTGACAGGCTCTGATGTCACCAAGTGTGGAGCACAAAAAGCCATACTTTGGCTGACGTGCACCAGGATAAGGCCCGACCCAATCAAATTAATCAATCAATCAATACTATGCCTAAATTAACACCTGCATGTAACTGTATGCAACAAACATAGTTTTCAAAATCTATCGGCTCGTAATGTGGTTGATGTGTCAATGCCATCGAGACAAGTTTGATTCTATAAACACTTTTGACTGTAAGGACTTTGACTGCCTTTTCATAAATTAGGCCTACTTATTTAAAAACTGCATACACATTTGTCCTTCTTACGTTTTAAAATATAAATTCTACATAATCTTATGTGATTTCAGAGTGGGAAACCAACAACTTGAGTCAAGGCCATCACTTCATGACTGACTTGCTTGTGTCAAGTTTGATGGCGGATGGAGGTTTGGAAACATCTTTGGAAGCAGCAATCAAAGGTAACATTTGTTCGTTTTCATTCTCGAGGAACATATGATCAGGTTGTGGGTAGCTTTTAGACAAAAAATAAGGACAAAAGTTCTCACCATAGCACCAAATTTGGCTCAGATATTGCATTATTTTAAAATCCATTAATTTACCTACTTGTGCCTCAAACGTTTTTTTTTCAAGAGGTTGGTAGCCTCTTTTAACTTGCATTTGCCTGTCGACATGGGCACTGAGGCCTGTGCTTGGAACATGTCCAGCGATACAAGGGGTGAGCCAGTACAGTACAACCTTGGTGAAGTGTAGTGATAAAAAGTAGTGGCAGGTACCAGGATCTGAACCCACAACTTAGCTGCTTTGGGCCCAAAGTCTGTGGGGCTATCGACTCGGCCACCAACTCACCAAGCGAGTTATTTAGTTTGGACAAGGATCTCGTACTTAGGTGTCTAAGCAAGACAATTTATTTTGTATTTAAAAAAATTGTTTATCATAAGTAGGGGTGTGCGAGTACTCGAACCTTCGAGATTTTTGGTCGAGCTTTTCATTATTCGGCTCGGCTCGAGGCATTTTGAAAAAGCTCGAAGTTCGAGCCGAGCTTTTAATACTAAGTCAAAACTAAAAAAAAAAACACTTAATTTGGGTCGTAATTGGAAACAATGTTATCACAATTCTACGTTGTTCAAGCATTCGAGGTTTGATAAGCACGACCCTCAGCTCAGTCAAGACGCAATGATTATCGATCGTAATTTTGAGGAGATAGTAAAGAGACAAACTACCACCTATCGCGTTGTCTTTCTAACACAGCTATTCGTATCGTATTTCGTAATATACAACGCAGTGCGAGTGCGTGATTGGCTCGTTGCTATGACGACACACGGTTGCCGTGACAACCTACAGTGCGCACTGAGCACTGCGCCTTGTGTGGGAGGGGAGATTATACCAACAAACAATTTCAGGAATTCTATTTTGGGACGGATGAAAGATAAGGAAGAAACAAAAAGTGGTCACGTGTGCAAATATAGTGGGCGACACAATAAGGCTGTAAACAAGTATCAATCGTCGTGTCGTGTTGTTGTTCCTTGTTTGTTTACTTTTTCAGATTCCTTATCAAACGCCCCTATCTGCTATCTCTCTTTCTCTCTCCGCTCTCTCTAACAATGTACTGATTAAACAGATTGTGGTTGACGACTTTTCTACTTATAAGTTTCCCTGCGGTTATTTTAGTTCAATCAATCCCATAACCTTTCTAATGTTTATCAAAATAATTAATTATCTGTTTTGTATTTTATTTCCTTTAAACCAACCCCTATTTACCATCTGTATTTTATAGAATAAAATGTTTGTTTATAAAGTTTGACTGGCCACACAATTTTGTATAAAGTAACAGTTACTTTGATGATTATTTAAATATCAATAAGTGGTGCGTGCTGTAATGAATGCTTTTTATTATCAAAATAAGTAATGGATTATTAATTTTTGATAATACATGGGTCATTGAATACCATAATGTGATGTAGTTTCCTATTTGTAACTTGCAAGTAATAATAATTGATAGTTAATCCTGGAAAATGAAAAATAGTGAATGCATTCATAACCCTGTTGTCAAAACAGCAACGCGGGTGTAAGGGTTTTTTGTTTAGAGGCTAGGGTGTTTCAAGGACAAAGTGCTGGGCCTCCCAGCTCAGGGGGGGAGGGGTGGTGGTGAGACTGAGAGAGAAATGGGGGAGGAAACTGGTTTTGGCTATTTATTGATTAGTTCACCGACCCTTCTTGATAACAGAATTTAGTGACAGTGTTAAATCATCGTGTTCATTATTTCATTTCTTGTTTACTTTGTGTGTTATTCTATTAATTTTAGTGTTTTGGTCTATTTCCTCTATATGTCAATTATATATTTTTTAATATATAATTTTACTTTTTACTTTGTCTCTTCACCTTCTTGGATCCAAACCAATCATGTTCTTTTTTGATTAATACGATTCATAAAACAAAAATATTTTGTGCATGGAAAACAACAAGAATAATCACGTGTTTTTATATTTATTTATTTATACAAAATAGAATAAAATATTCATAGTAGTTACAATATACATATTTAATCGACTTGCTAGTTGTTTTGTTGTCATTCAAGATAGCACTGTTCTGTTATGAAAGACAATCTGATTGGCTCAGTCTGCACTGCATATCTCGTCAGGCCTTCAATCATATCCTTTTATTTCTTGCATCTTAATTTAGTTCAGTTCAGTTCTTATCGTGATTATCTACTATTTGATGTCTTGACAATTCTCAATGTTTTTAGACATATTAAAATAATATTGTGTTTATTTAAAAATTGACTGAACATTATTAGTATTATGCACTTTTTGAAGAAAAATGTTTAATAATTTATTTTTTTGATAATGTTCAGAATTCAGAATTATGTTTGAAATTCCAGATAGGGTTAGTTGCAAAACATTTTTTGCTGAAAATAAAATCATGACACTCTCTAATATTTTCATTTTTTACAATTTAGTTTCCATTAAAGAGAATCTGAATAAATTTGTTCCTTGCAACTCAATCCATGGGTATATCACCAGACAATCAAAAGATTTATATATTCCTCAGGCCAGGCTATCAAAATTAATCAAAAGTTATAAATATTTGCAAATAAAACTATTTAATAAACTTCCAATACATTTTAGAAATCAGGAAAGTACAATATACATATTTAATCGACTTGCTAGTTGTTTTGTTGTCATTACCATCACATTATGGTATTCAATGACCCATGTATTATCAAAAATTAATAATCCATTACTTATATTATTCATTTGTATAGGTCAAAATTATCAGATTGGCTTACAAGTCGTGCTTTTTATTCAGTTGATGAGTTTTTGCAGAATGAAGATTTTTTAACGCTTAAATGTGAGGCCAAGCAGTCTTGATGATTCTTTGTACTTGTTATGGTCTTTTCCCTGTTAATTTAAAGTTTTTATTATTACTGATGCTTTATCCTTTTAAGATTCTGTTAACTTTATTTTAACATTTTCTGTAGAATATTTAATATTTTATTTAACATATGTAACAAAACATGTTGACCTTGTCAATTGTAATGTTTATATTACCAAACGACAATAAAGATTTATTATTATTATTATTATAAGGTGACGCTAGGAAAAGCTCGGCTCGAAAAAGCTCGAGCTCGAAAATATTTTAAAAAGCTCGGCTCGGCTCGGCTCGAGGTTGAAAATCACTATTCGCACACCCCTAATCATAAGGTTTATAATTTTCTTTGTGTAATACTTTTTTGTATGTTTAGGGGAGTTAGCTGAAATGAAAGATTACGATTCAGATTTGCTTCTCGACTCTGAAAATCACGACAGATACTCTTCTGCTGTTCCTTTGCTTCACCTTGTCAAACAACTGCTGAGGTAATTTTGAACTCTTACACTTCTCTCGTGTTCCTTACCTAATTTTAAAATTTTATTCTAACTACCTGGATATATTAAGGCTGTAACATAGAGCACACAGGCCTAGGTTTTAAGGATTTTTGTGAGGTTAGCAGGCTTACCTAAATGGGAAAGAATCCAAAGTCTAGACTCTTTCCTATTCAGGTAAGCCTGCTATCCTCACAAAAAATTCTAAATACCTGGATATATTGTAAACATTCTCTGTCAAGATTTGCATGTTAATTTCCTGTGTTTCTTTAAGGTATTACCTCTTCACAACATAGATGAGTTGCAAAAACAGTATTGCATGGAAACCCTTAAATTCGCTAAAATATAAAGTCAGCTTTTTAATAATTTTTTATATTCAATATGTTCCATGATTTTTTTTGTGTTTACTTCGCAAGTAGCATTTTTTGTCAGGGCATGACCCCCACATCTTTAATTAAGAGCCCAATAACAAATGGCATATGGCAACAGGATCAGGCTCTTCCTGAGAACAAACTAGCAAACTTCTGCTTTGAAAATAGAATTAGTTTGATATTTTTAAGATTGCTGTTATTATGTGTCCTTTGACGGTTTAAATACTGTGTGCATTTTTGATTCATTATCATAACTTTTTGTCTGTTGATAAAAATTTACTGTTATTTCTATGTGAAAATGTTTTAATACTAAGTAAGTATTATTTGTCTAACACTAAATTAATGTGACAGGAACTGTCTCGTCCAGAGTGAGATGGCTTTGCAGACACTGAGACACAGACCAGGCCAACCTCGCTCTCCTAGCCTCAACCTGCTGCTGAGGTTCCAGAGACTCCTTGTGTCACAAATCTTCCCTCAGAGTCAGCAGAACAAGCCGTATGAAGGTTAGTGAGAACCAGTACATTGGATCAGCCACTGTGAATTTTGCTACTGGAGCAAATATTATTCTCATATTTTCTCAACTGATATTTTGATTGCTTTACACACTCCAGTATGTTGCGCCATAAGGTACGAGGGCCATCCAGAAAGTAACAGACGTTTTGCATCAGTGCCACTAGCATCAGAGCATTCCTACACTCATTACGCATCCGGCTACTCTATCATTATCAGCAAGCTCATCATATCTCTTGTACTTGTTTGCAGTGGAGTGATAAAATGAAATGAGCTCTACAATTGCACTGTCCCTTCAGTTGTGAGTTGTGCTCTGTTATTAGATTTTTGTTGATAAAAATCACAAGCCAATCAAAATTTATTTGATTTGTTATATTTACAAACAAAGGGGTGAAAAGTGATGGCCAAGTGAGATAGTATTGAGGACAGAAGTTTTAAGTCCTTAATGTTTCCTAACATCCCTGATACATCCCTTCAGTCCCGGGTTCCCCGCCAAGTCACCAATGGATTTTATCCAAGTGATATTGCCGCAACCCCGAGGTCTAGCTTGAAGTAATGTGAAAAACAATCCCAGGCTCGTACCCAGCGTCCTAGGAAAAAAAACCCTGATACAGTAATGCTCGTTATCAGTAGTTTTTCATTACACTTGTGTTGCAGATGAAAACAGCCATGGAGCACAGTCTCTGCTGTACAAGTACATCCTGCTGTTGACTAAGCCTCTCACTAGAGTTATCAACTTGGCAGCTGGTCTGGCGGCCCACAGCCCTCGCCACTTCTACGTCGTAACAGCCATCTTGAAGCAAGACGCTGTTGGTGAGTGTTCAAGACGAAAGTTTGGTGCAGTTTATGGACGTTGTGATGTAGTTTGGCTTTATTTTAAACTAAATTCAAACAAAATATCAGCTGGGCACCTTTTTAACTGTGATCAGCTGATTCATCAGCGATGGATATTTTGAAGCTAGACATATTTCGGGCGAATGAGTAGAGTGGAATAATAGGTGTTGTAACAGATTACTTATCAAGGGCCATTTATGTAATGTTCTACTTAAAAATATGAAAAGTGCTTAAGTGAAATATTATTTTAAAATATACATAGAAACTTGGTTGGACTGACCGTCCTGCCTAGGAGTTTCAACATACCCAGGCTAATTGTTTCTGATGAGCCGGGTCAAAAGACACATGCTCTCTCTACTGTTGCTCGATTACCTCAACAATAGGCTCACGGCCTTAACCACAGAAATCAACACAAAAAAAGCTAAACGCTAAAGTATTGTGATCTGGTGGTTTCCCTGGTAAACAGCCCATTAGAATTTTGCCTGCCAAATCATTTATTTACTTGATTTATAATTCACTCACTTTTGTCCAATCAGGCATTTGGCTGCATTTGTTTCCTCCTCTTGTGTAGTCTGAGAATCCTTCAACAGACTCACTCAAAAACTGAATCACTAATTTGATTATACCACTCACAGCGAAGTAAGATACAGAGGAAACATTCAATGGTACACTTAAGTCGTGTCTAGCACCAGTCGCTTGTGTCTAGTTCAAATGGTGGCTCCCTTCTGCTCTTCTTTCCCCCCTCTCCATCAGGTACTACAGCGCTCTCGCTGTAGGAAGAGCCTGTATGTTACAACACAACTGCTGTGGAAAACAATAGCCGTTTGTGCTCTTCCTTGCTCGCTATTAGTATATTTCGCACCATTCCAGAGCTAAAAGCGCACGGTTATTATATAAGCATGTTTCCTCTGTATCTTACTTCTCTGTGACACACCATAAAATGGTTGTACTGGTTCACTCCTTTAGCAGAATATAAGATTGCTCAATGGACTCAGTAGTTGAAGAACAGTTTCTAAACAATGTTTTACAACTGTACGAGATGTGTCCTGTTGTAGAGATGCTACTGCCGGAGTTGCTGGTGTCACTGGTGATGTTACAACAAGAGGTTCCTCTGCTGTTACACTCTGTTGACTGGCTGCAGTTGTTCACTCCTCTACTGGAGTCTCTGGAAGCCTTCAACAGACTCACTCCAGGACTGGATAAGGAAGATGATGAGGACCTTTCATGGCCTGGAGTCAACAGTGAGTATGCATCCGAATATAGATTACATAGATTTCTAACTAAAAGTAGGTAATGAAAGATTCCCAGAAATTACATAGGTTTGCTGTAGGATCTTAAATCAATATATGTTTCAATGCCAAATAACTTTACCTTATGGTAAGGAATCTTTTACAAACATTGTGGATTGTTGTCTTCCACAATTGCCAATTTTACCTGTTTGCCCCAAAGCAGAACTACGAGCAAGAGTACGTAATTGAAGCAGAAAGAGGAGGAGGGCTGCAGAAAGCCCAGCCTGCCCGACAGTTTTTTAATTTAATTTCTTTTATGTTATTTTTTATTTATATTTTCATTTATTTATTATTTTTTATTTTATTTATTATTAAGTTTTTAAGGGAAATTAAGGGCCACATAGCCCTTTCTTAAACTTAAAATTTATAAGTTTCTGCAGGAAAATGCTACATAACAAGTTAATATATAGTTGTTTTTTGCAGAAAATATTTCTGCAGGAAGTTGACAACTTTATTTTCTGCAGAAAGATTATCTGTTCTACAAACAGTAACGCTACAAAACGACAAGCATTGCGTAAACGAAAGCTGCAAAGTGAATATTCGGGTCATTGATCGTGAGGAAGAACGCATAGAATAATTGAATTAGAATTACCAAAGCGATTCAAGGTAATAACAGAAGGTGTTTTCAAACCGATATGAGCGCTTGAAAACTGATTGACTTCCAAATAATCATTAAAAACTATCAAAACCTGATTACTGTAAATTAAACACAATTTGACCCCGTAAGACGATTTTTGGATTTTTCCAAGTCCGTTGCCGAAAGTTTAAAAACATTCTGCTTTGGGACCTGTTTGGAGTTACAAGCCTGATGTGTTTGCAGTAACCAGCAGTAACTACAAGAGTCCAGACGACATGACGTTGATACGCAAGGCTGACATTGAGAATCATAACAGAGACGGAGGCTTGTGGGTGCTCATCAACAACAAAGTGTATGACATTCAGGACCTCAGGTAACTCAGGACTCTGTTGTAGCCACTCGATCGTAGGGAATCAGAATAGTTACATATTTTTGTTTGTAAAATCTTTGAAGCCCATTGACCGATACAGTTGAGTCTTTTTAGTTAATGTCTCTTCTTGCACAAAGTTGTCGTTTTTAAAGTTAATAATAATTTGGCGCTCTAGTAATGTGTAGCAATTTTGACTGTTGGAGACTGCAGTAGACCCATATGAACCAGCTGTAGCCAATTTCTTGTTCAGAGGAACAGTGTTGATTGAGCTACTCACAGAGTTCGCTATTGTCTGAAATAATTTTCTTCCTTAGTTTTTGTTACCTTAATAAAACCCATGTTTTACAATAAGCAGTCCTTGTAGCTTTGTCAAAAAGTGTGTGTGTACTGTTTAACAGAGATCAGTTCTATAGGATAAATACCTTGTTGCCAATTTAATCCTTGGTCGTCTTGATGGCCACCAGTTTCGTCACTCCTAAGGTGACATTGTCAAGCCCAAGATGTGTGGTTGTCTCTCCTAGGAGGTTGTCGAAAAGTCTTCAAAACACACAAACGATACACAAACTTAAACAAAATATTTATGAATAAATACTGTATGGGCATACAATTAATAATCATGGTGTTGCTACGGGTTCAGGGAAAAGGTCTAGACTATTTTCATCTGCCCAGCCGGTGTCTAAATTAAACTACATTAATTGTAATTCTTAAACTATATGCAGCTTAAGCATGGAAATGGAATATCTATATACATCCATAGTCAAAGGTAATAGGAGAAAAAAAATTATTGATACATTCATCAGCCTTATGTCTAATTATTTGTCATATCTTGCAGGTGTGGAGGTAAGGAAGGGATGTGCCTAGCCCAGGAGGACCTGGCTCAAGCTCCTCATGACATCCTGGCCAGCTGCTGTGTCGGAAACTACCTGGATCCTGAGGAGGAAGTCTTGCAGGTACAACCATTGACTGATACTGAAGTAGACAACCCATCTATAGGACTATTGAACAGATGAGCTTATTTTATGAGATTTGATTCAGTGATGCTTGGGTGATTAGTTGTGGTTAATTTATTGTTATTTTTCATAGTTTACAATTATTTGATTTGTTGCTAAATGTTATTTGTTATGTTATATTTATATTATGCTATATTTTTTTTATATTAGGCAGGGGTGAAGAGGGGTGGGGGTCTCAGGGAGGGTGGGACGTTTATAGCCCGCAGGTGCACTTAAACCACATTTACGACCGGTCGTAAAACCTAACATTATTATGCCTTACACTCTTGAAAAAAGGCAGAGAACCATCGGAGCCATGTCTGAGGACGGCTAATGGTATAATTGTAGACATTTTCATTTTAGAAAGTTGCGGTCACAGAGTTTCTTATACCTGTTAGCCTGACAAGTGCATTGCACTTTTTCCTTTATACTGCATATTACTGTATTTCTTGCGTTCTCTGACATTGTCTATAGCAATGTAGACAAATTACAATAAATTATATTTTAATTCAGATTAAGATGTAGCCATTTTTTACTTCAAATAGAACATAGTTATCGAGTGTGCTGGTGTAAAAATATGATTTTCATTTTGAACGTAAAAGATGCGACAGCGTCTGATAAATAATCCTTTCTATTTGGCTCGGTTAAAATTTAAAAAAATGATACATTGGACATAAATCATTAAATTACATAAGTTCACTCTATTAGTAGCTTAATTAAACCACACTGTTTCCACTTTAACATGCGAACGGAATTTCTAGATGTAAACATGGTCAAAGGTTTTACTCATCACTAACGCTCCATATTGTGCGGTAGTCCGTAGAGCCAGCTGTAGCAGGGTCGCCATTACTGGATGCTGAGCGTGTGTTGGGCTACCTGCTGGGCCTCCACGCCCACTGGCTGGCACAGTCTACGCCCCAACAGCTGCCGGAGACCGAGGTGGTCTCCTGGCTCACCTCGGAGTTCCTGCAGGGAGGACTGCACGTCACCACGCCTCCCAGCCCGTACGAGGAGAAGAGCGAGGCGAGAAGTACAGGCAGCACGCCTACAGACCCCACCACGCCTCAGGCGCCCCAGGTCGACTCTAGCCCCATGGATAACATCAGACTGTCGGTGAGTTAGGGGTGGTAGAATGGTTTTGGGTGGGTATAGGAGTGTGGGTTTGGACACAGCTATACTTAAATAAGAAATGTGTAATATCTAACAGTTAAATTACCTGTTGACGTTCTGTTGTAAGTCTGCAACACGTTTCATCAACACAGTGTCATCTTGAAACATTCATTTTTATTTTGTCAATAATAATTGTATCAAAGAAAACAATACACGTACAGTAGGTTCCCACTTATTTAGACACCTTTTAACCGGACTACACTTGCCAGGAGTGATATAACTGATTTAACTTGACAATTTTTATCAGCACAGTTTAACCGGACTGGACTGGCAGAAAGTGGGTGGTATTGAAATGACTTTTCTTGTGGGAAAGATTTGTCTAACTAAATACAAGGCTCTCCCAAATTAAAGGGAAATATTTAGGTTTGTTTTGGAGTGATTCCTGTGGAGTGCCCTTGTATTGGACGTTGGTTTAACGGGAAAACCCATTATCCGCTTGGTCCTGAGGAGTCCGAATAAGAGGGAGCCTACTGTATAAGCATAAATCAAAGTCAACTGGTGGCACCTCATGCAGGTTTAGACTAAATATTTTTTCCCCAATACCTTTGTTTAGACTACAAGTGTCGGATTCTTACAGGATAATCTGATGTAATAATTTTTATAAATTGAAGTTTTGTGTAGGCAGAAGAAGAAGTACTTAACGTTTATTACGTCAAACATACATTACTTTATAATCTGCTTTGTATTTTGGATTGTTTATTGTTATACAATCCAACTACTTTAATACTTTAATACTTTTCAATGAAATGGCGACCATACAAAGTAGGTATTTTAAGCCAAAGTATGAATGGAGATGAGAGTAGGATAAGTGGTGCGATCTAAGGGGCATAGGTACTTTTAAAGCTTTACTTTTTTAAGTTGAAGATTACTAGAAGTTTCTTGAATGGTCCTGACATTGTATAGAGTACATACATATTTAGGCTTGGTCTTGACTATTTAAACTAATTACTGCACAAAGATACCGTACTTCAAATATTTTACTTTATAAAGTTCAAAGTTTGCAAGAAGCTTTATCTTCGCTAGGAAATACATCCGTCTTGTTACTCACGTTAGATGAATGCTTATAAAAACTGAATGTCAAATTTTTAACCAGAATCAAAGTTTTTATTTAAACTCTAGAATAAATTTGCCACTTAGGAACACTGGATGCACAACTTGATGGGTCTCCTGGATCACCACTTCAAGCAGCAGAACACGTACCACTTCATGCGACACATAGCCTTCACACCTGACCATCCGGTGGAGGAAGTGGCCAGACTGTTACTGGCCGTGCTGGTGAAACATCTGGCTCTGGGGCACCACGCTGTCAGTATCACGGAGAAAGGTATCACTATATCACAATTTTAAAAATTTTTATAAAGGAACAGTTAAATTGCTGGTCTTGTTACTATCTATCATTGAGCTTTTGTTGGATAGCATCATAAATTGATACCCAATCCCAATGACAAATAAGTGGTATTTGTGTCCAGAATCAATCTTTGCTTAGAATCAAACCAGCGACAGCGACCTTCAGATCTAAAGACGAGCATCTATAACCACTTGTCTACCCAGATAGTTTTTTAGACTATTAGTAGATGGGGACAGAATTAAGGCTTGGAAGATGAGACAAATCCATATACATCTATTTGCAGGTTTTGTAGGGAGCAATGCCAAGCACTTTGCCAACGTCGCCAAAGTCGTTCATCAGACCAAGTGGAAACTCATCAAGATGAGACAGGAACAGAACCGGTCCTACAAGGAGGTGTGTGCTCCCATCCTGGACAAATGCAGGTATAGTAGTGCAAAGTTCTACATAGTACTTATCTTTGTATTAATACTTCTGATACAAGAAGTATACTTTATTACACATAAAAACATCACATGTTAGAAAAAAGTTCTACATGAAAACTAACGTTTAAAAAGAAAACAAAAAGGACATAAGAAAAATACCATGTAGGCCTATAGTTGAGGTGTAGTCTTCAAGATAGGTCCAGGTCTTAAAATGAATACAGGGGCTTCATGAGTCAAATAGTTTTTAACTTTTATTTGATTATGATCTCTGAAGGGAGTAAACCCTTCGACGAAGTTAGAGGAATAATTTGGAGGGAAAAAATTGAAGTTGGTCAAAATTTAGTTACTTTTTCCGATTTTTTTCATAATTTATGTGTAACATTAAGAAATTATTTAGTGGTGAAGTACTGAATAATCGCAGTAAAACATGAAACATTTGCCTGCTACCAGGTAATAGCCTTTTAACCGTTTTACTTCTCTTTTATATACGCTACAATAATAGTTGTATCTATTAAGTGATGCTCAGTAACCTAGTTTTTTTTTTTTTAATGTTGCTCTTCATAAGTCCCAATGAGCTGGATTGGACGTGGGATTTATCTGATCAACAACACTAACATTTCACAGGTTTCTGCTGTACGAAGTGCGGCCTGCGACCAGCCACGAGTGTAATGCTCTGAAGCATCTGAGGCTGCTGTCAACAGAGTCAAGATGGCGAAGAGTAATAAGAACTGTTATAAAACAACAAAGAGGCTTCAAGGCAGCTGATATACAGGTAGCTTACTGTTGTACGTAACCAATTAGTGATTATCAAGGACTTTGTTTTTTGCCTTTTTGTGTTGTCTGTGTTTTAGACGAAGAGGCGAAATTTGTTTCCTGACGATCGATTGTAGCTTCTCTCCCTTTTGGATTATGTATACTGTATTTGCTTTGGAGGTCTTCTCTTACACATAAATCAAATGATGACATTAATCTGTATCAACGTTTTTGTTAACTTCAGCTACAAAAAGGTTTTGAAGATAACATGGGCACTTTCAAGGGCTGTAGGACGGAAACTGGATTTTTCCCAACCTTGTAACCAACTCCAATCGATTTCTCATGGCCAAATACCCATTATTCAAGAAAAAAATCAAAAATCCTCGGACGTTTGCCTGTACATGCGGTTGTTTTAAATTATAGGATTTTATTCAACATCTCACTAAGTAAAAGTATTTATTTAATGTTAATACAGAATCAAGACATCAAAGCCAAGAAGATGAGAGAAGAAGCTGGTGATAAGACACCTCAGACTTCTAAAAGATCTCCTAGTCCAGGTGAATATTTTGTTGAATTATCATCTTTTAAAAGTATCACAAATGTTTTGAAATGTGATCAGAAAGTTAATGCAGCCATTGTTGTGGCAGTAATTTGATGCACATATTAGTTATCAGTTAAAGTTTAGAAGTGAGAATTTTTAGGATACAAAATCTTTAGATCTACAACTACTGATAGTACATAGTGCTCTGCCACTGACGGCTCTGAAGATGGCTAACAGAAACTGAAGTAATGTGACATGGTTTTGCACCGCAGATCAAAATGGCGTTAAATACAACCGAGGAAGCCATGCTTCTGTTTTACTGTACTTTAAAAAAGCTATTTTTTGATTCCAGACAAACACTCAAGAGACGCAGAGATTCCAGCGAGTTGTGAGAGTGAAGCCAGTCTGATCCAAGCCATCGCAGACTTTGTGACTATGAGTGGAGACGTGGAGGCCTTACGTAAGGCGATGTACTGTCAGGTAAAACAACACTTCTTTGCTTCTGTATGGTTTTGCTATCAATTGGAAAATCTGGTAAATTTTACGATAGTATGGATATATTATACCAAGAGCTGTCTCTAGGCAGAACGATTGGTTAAGCTTAGTATTCAAAGGCAGGGGTATTCAGATTTGAATCAACTACTGGCAACCTTTAAATTAAAATATCCCCGATCAATTTTATGCAGAAAATTGTACAATCTAATTTTACAGTTTCAAGAGTTGAGGTTATCATCATAAACACCTTATTTGGATCAAACATAAAAATTAAAGTGTCAAATTATCAACGGATTCTTTTATATAATGGTATTTGTTTGGATTAAAAAGTAAACCTACGACTCCTTCAAGTTATCAAACTCAATTAAACGTTGATGGAATGATTTAAAAGGATGCCACCAAAAGTAGCTTCAACCTCCCTTCACCAAAAAGGTGGGATTTTCAGTAAAGATCTGTAGAATTCTGATATTTTCGGGTCTGTTGGGAAATAATGTTTGAGCCAATAAGCTCAGATTGAGTCATTTTTATTAGAGATGTATGCACAACTTGATTTTAAAAGCTAGCTAAAGAGAGCTTTTATTCATGTAGACAGAAAACTTCTGTAAAGATGCGGGATCAAAAATTCATTCTTTTAAAGCGATCACAAGAGTCGTTTATAGGTTTATGATCGCACAAACTGTCTTGGGGAGTCTAGAATATCTTCACAATTTTTGCAGTAATTGCAGGAGACGTTTGAGATTTCTTAGCAATCACAGGATAAGTCCACAATTTTTTCACTACACCACAGGAGACTTTTATGATTTCACTGTGATTGCGGAATATAATATTAATCAAATCAAATCAAAAATTCTTTATTTATTAATGCACATAGGTACACATAAATAGTGTCAAACAATTACATTAAAAATACATCAGTCTCTGAACCTTAACTATTAACATAATTTGTCCTGAAATATACTTTTTTTTTCAAACAAAGGTGGAAAAACTCATCTAAAGAATAAATTGGTTTGTTGAATTCTTTGAGTTTCTTCTTAAATTTTTCAATATTATTATCAGACTTTATATTTTTTGGTAAATACATAAAGAATTTCTTTCCCGGATATGTTGGTTTTTTCTCGTAAAATTTTAATCTATGATGATTTGGGATTATTTCATTTCTATGTCTTGTATGGTACTTGTGGCATATGGAAGATTTAGAACTTACTGCCTCATTTTTAGACTAATTTCTAAAAAAACAAGATGACAGACATTTTCCTAAGAGCATATATACCAGAGTTAACTTTTGATAACACCCTACCTACATGTCATTCCAATTTAAATTTGCATCCACTGTTAAACCAAGGAAGCTTGTTGTGTGTTGGATCCCTTGTCTTCTCATCAATCATCTGTGAATCTGACAGTAAAATTCTCACTTTTTTTATTTTGGGTAGTTTTAAATTGCATGAAGTTAGTTTTTAGTGTGTTTAGTAACAAATTATGATTTTTAAGTAATCATTTAAATTTTATAGCTCTATAAAAGATTGTATTTTCATTTGTTCTATTGAGTTTGATGTTATTTTTAAATTTGAATCATCAGCAATTAATGTAGTATTAATGTACATTGTCTCAATATTTTATTGATGTACAATATTGTATGACCATTAACATTTTAGAAAAACCCCATTTTCACCCAAACCAGAATTTAAAAATCAGGCCTGCAGACCCCTAGTTTTTATATTTATGTTTTTTTTTTTTTTTTAATGGCAACCAAACAAAAGATAATTAATATTTATTTTATTTTTTACAGATTGAGAGAGCAAATTTGCGTAAATCAGGCCTCAACATGATGCTGCAACTGGTGAAGAAAGAACATTTAATACCTTCGGTGAAGTACTACCTGTTGAACGGTTGGCTAGGCCCTGCTACGCCTCGTCACCCCCAGCAAGCGAGGGGCAGAGTCTCTCACTGCCTCACTGACATACACTTGGTCACCACATATCAGAAGGTGTGTCAGAAATATCTAATGAGGAAGTGTTTGGATACTTCTTGGCTGTTAAGGTTTTGCAATATGTTATAGAGGGATTGTTGCACTTTTTTTTCTTAAATAATTAGGCCTACCGGTACCCAAAAAACACTGATGGTGGTTCATTCTGCTATTTGTTGGAAGGACTTGTGACCACAGTCTTGTTTTAGACCTCATATTGAGCAGACATGTCCAAACGAGACCTCAGTCTTGCTTGAGCAACTTGTGGTGATGTATACATTGTGTTCGCTTCCCCTCTATAAGTTCTAACTGTTGTTTCCTTTCAGGTTTTTTTCTGTTTCTAGTTTTGACTATCATACTCCGTATGGTTTTTTTCAGCTTTGGCTGGGTTTGTACTAAACTTGTTGTGTTTTAGGTACTCTATTACTTGGGGATGGAATCAGATTCCAGTTCAAAAACATTGTAAAACTTGTCCGTTATTTATCATGATGGAAATGTCTACGATAATCTGTCATAACCTAAACTTACTATTACAAAAGATGAACTTCAAAAATAGTTTTGTTGTAATTACTGAACTGACATATTTTCTAACGCTTCAACAAATGGAATTATGAGTATGATAATACTCAGAGTTGTAACTCTCCTATGATGGTTGCTGTTGGCCGCAGGTGGAAGTGTTGCTGGCTCAAGCAGAGTTGCTTCAATGGACACTACAGAGCCTGAAGGATTTGGTGCTGCAGTCGGAACATTGGGCCAAGTGGCACAGTCACGGTCTTCGGACAAGCTTCAACTCCCTGCGGAAACTCGCTTGGACCAGGTATGTTACTCCAGTTGTTGTACAGTAGAGTTTTGATCATCTGACCTATGTAGGCCAACAACTGAGTTCTCCCTCTACAAGCCATGGGAACTGTGTTACTCTCTTCTGTATTCTTGACCCTTTGCGTAGCACAGGCAGGGTAACTAGTGATACACATTATTTTACAGTAGTTTAAATCATTTTAAATGGACATTTACAGTAACTCTTGTTTCAGGTTTGTAATTGTACTGGTCGGACTACTAACACAAGCTCACCAAGGAAACGAGCTCAGTCTGATCATCAACTCAGGCTTGTTTCCGCTCACTCATTACATTCTTAAAGAGACGGGTAAGTTTAGTACTGCAATCAAACCAAATTAAATTATGATTTCATAATTAATTGTGTCAGCTCTTTCAAAATCCATAAAAAAAAGTTGGGCAACGATCTTTTTAAGGACCTTGTAAAAAAAAGGAGTTTCCTAACGTTCTTTTTGTTTGTGATCCAGGTTTCTGTCCCCTAAAGTTGTTTGAGTCAAATAACTCAATAACTGTTTGTAGTCTTATTCTTGAAGATTGTGAGAAAAGTCTTAGTGCTTAGCTCAAAGCTTAGCCTGTTACAGCTGTTACTTAACAGCTTTTACTGACATTTAGTATACAATTTCAAATTTTATTGTACACAGCTGTTTTTACAACGTAGAGTGTATATGTCTGTATTGATCACAGAGGTGGAGCAGACGACGCAACAGCTGGTGGTGGAGAGGAAGGAGACGTATGTTATCCTGGAGGAGCAGAGTGGCAGCTGCCGCCCAGACCTCACAGCGCTGTCGGGTCCGGAGATGTCTCGCCTGCTCAAGATAGGCACTAGAGTCGTTCGTGGCATTGACTGGAAGTGGGGAGATCAGGTACTGCATATTGTTTAGTATCTTTTTTAAGGATAAGAAGTTTTGCCCTTTAAATTATTAGGCTGTAATTGTGAAAATACAAAATTATTTTAAACTTTTTTGGGGGGAGATAGCTTCCCCTGGCTGCTTTGATTCTCTGGTATTTTGTAGCACCCCTAAAATTAGTCCATTTATCTAAGGCTCTTGGCCAATCTTCACTGTAGGACACTTATTTATTTTATTTCTCTTGGCCTCGAGGACGCTTTTCTTAGGAATATTAACTTTCTCTGGGTCGGAAGCAGATAAATCTACAAGTATTCAGAAGATTTGGCCTCAGTTGCACAAAATCTGCAAGGGTCTATTTGACCAAACCCTATGGTACTTAGTTGTTTCCTTATTGGTCCATAGCCAGTTACAGCTCTGCCATCATACTGATATTAGTTAAAAGACCTTAGAATGTTGTGACACAGTGAGTATGCTAAAGTAGGCTATGTTTGGTGGTTAAGAAAAAACTGCCAGTCTTAGTATAGGTATATCGAAGGAGTGATTGAATCATATAAATAAATTGCCGTAATCCAAGAAGAGTGTAGGTCCTGGACAAATATTTAGAAATCTTAAAACCAATCTAAAAATGTTCATGTTTTCCAACCAAACTACAAGACATGTAAAACACCAATGGTTAACGTGTTACGCATGCCACAGGACGGGCCTCCACCGGGTGAGGGCCGGGTGATAGGAGAGTTGGGTGAGGACGGGTGGATCCGAGTGCAATGGGACAACGGAGCCACCAACAGCTACCGCATGGGCAAAGAGGGCAAGTTTGACTTGAAACTGGCAGAGCCTCCCTCTGCTGATAACAATGACGACTCTGAATCTGTCGTCGAGAACAAACTTGGTGAGTCTAGTTTGATTGCAAGTTTAAACATATTGATGAGAGGGTTGAAATTCTTTGTGGCTATATAAGGTTAGAGTCACGTCATTTTGAATTTGTGGTTGTAACTACATCCATTCTAATAAGAATGACAAAAATGATTGACAAAAACCCCAAAAGTTCTTATGAAAACATCAAAACATCAGAAAAATCTCATGGTATTTGGGCAAAGACCATATCAAAATCAAGAATCAATTCTATTCCGCTGACTTCTACATCGCCACAGAGGGTGTGTGCGTGCGTACAACTCACTCTATACATGTTACTTTACATGTTTGAATAAACAAAGTTTTATTGCATTTCATTAAATATCTGTTTAATAAAGGCAAGGTCCCTGTACTCAATTAAGTAATACTTCACAGAGGAAAACAGTGAATGGACCTTGTAAGTACAGCCATGTAAACCCCTATAAATATCCAAAGTATTAAAACTTAAACTTTTTCTTGTGACAAAATCTATCCAGTCATTACTGGTCAACGATGGATACATGATCTCAGTTTTAGTTTTTTACTCACTTGCGGTTTTCCTGCAGCTTCACAAAATAACGGAGATGAAGTACCACCAGCAGACCGGCTGAGGCAGGCCGTGATCAACTTGCTGAGGACAGTGGCTATCAGTAGTGGACTAGATGCTGATCACATGCAGCCTTCTGCTATACAGGCTCTCACGTCTTTGCTGAGGAGCATTGTACAGGTATTTGTCACTCTGCATACCTTTTGCATTATGGTAGCAATACATCTACAAATTGCGGCGTATTTATAATTGAGGAATTATCGCAGCTCAAGGTATGTAGAAAATCCATTCCTCCTTTGTTGACTTCTCTGTTATGAATTACCGGTAACTATTTGTTAATTTACTAAATCTTTTGTCATCTCTAATCCAATCTGTCGTTCTTTTTTTGTTTGTTCTGTCTCTGTTACATATGAACTAACTACATTACAGCCTTGATACCCCAAAATTAATATTACAGTAGAACCCCTTATATCCGACCTTGGCATAACCGACTCCTCGGGATATCCTACCTAGTTTGGGCGATCACGGGTGTTGCCATGATCATGGCAGATGACCACCACTGTCGCTGAGACAGCAAGAAAAGCTCATGGATGTTGCCGCGGTTGCAGATCACGATTACCGATATTGCCGTGACTGTAAGATATCCTCACAAGTGTTGCCGCGATTGCGGAGTAACACTTGTCTCAGTAACCAGTGTTACTGAAACCGCAAGATATGCTCCTCCCGATATCCGACCTTTTGGGGTTGTTCTTTTCTGTTTGTTATGTATGTTACAGATGAAGTGTTTAACAGTCAGGGAAGACCAGTAACACCAGATTCATCCCTTCAACTTAGTTGTTCAGATTCAGTTGATCTGATCAGTTTGTTCTGCCTCTGTTACAGATGAACCATCTGACAGGCAAGTCCCAGAGAGGCTGGGCCAGTCTGGGGTTTATCAGGGCAATTTGTGTGTCGAGTCCTCTGTGTCATGCACTGAGCTCACCACCGTGGCTGGACTTGTTGTTCAATATAGCTTCCTCCTTCGATTCTCCCCTTGTCAAACTACCTATTCAGGTACAATAAGTGTAATAAATATCACTATTTTAAAGGTGATCATCCACTACCTTAAAATTACTAACATTTTAAAAGTCTATGTCAATTGTACCTCTGAATTGTCAGAATTGTAGTTGCAAATGAAAGCTTAAACTAGTCTGTTTTACTCGGAAAAATCCATAGTAGATACACGTAACAATTAGCTTGCAATTAGCTTGGCAATTAGCTGGTTAACACTGGAAAGTTGACCACACCTTCAGGTCAAAATGTCTGACTGATTACAAATCCCTTTTGTTTGACAAGTTAAAATTGTATTTAAAACACAACAAACAATCATGAGACATAAAAAATTATGCAGGTTGACTAGACGTTAATTAGACACGACCTACAAGAGTGTACCTGCCACTGTAGTACCTTCCTGAAGATCTGCTCTGTTTCTCAAAGCACAATACCGGTCTAGAACCAGTCAAATCCTGTTAAAACAAACTGAATTAAACTCGCTGGTTCGTTGTAAACACACCTTGGAACAGTTTTTGTCCATCAAATTCTTTTTACAAATTTTCATTGACGTTTTCCTGGTGAAGTTGAATGTGTTTATCTATCGTTGTAGCTCCAAGCGTTCAGGTTGATGAAAGCAGTGTTGCCAACTGGCATCAGCAACCAGGAGCAGCGCTACACTGTGCTGCAGAGGTTGTTTCACCTGCTCGGAGTCACAGCACTTATGTGTCAGCATGATGTTGGTTATTACACAGGTCAGTGGACTCAACATTCATGATCGGAAACTAACAAACAATCTGTTGTTGAGGGTCAGACCTTCAAATTCTGGGGAGTTTGTAATAATTGCATATATCCTATGGGTGAGTGTCCATTGGTTGACACCATTTTTTTTTGTTCTCCTTAAATGTTGTAAAGTGTAGAAAATCGTAATCACTGGAAGACGATCATGGTGTCACCGAGACTGGACAGATGGATATGAGTGTTGTTGCAATTGTGGGAGATAGTGGCTGCAATGAAGTACACAGTTAAATGCAATTATAAATATAGAAAATAACTTTTGTATGAATAATTTTATTGAGTTTTTTATGGCAAGATTTGACCTGAAAATTTTGAATTTTGAACCTCAAAACCTCAGAACTATTTTCATTTTCTGCCGGACACCCTAAGATTGTACAAATTTGAACTATCATTGAGGAAATTGGCTGTGCTGGGTAATTTATATTCTATCACAAACAGCAACTTTGGTAACCAATTGACTGACTTGCAGGCAACATGAGGCCAGTGTTCCTGACGGCCAGTCAGACGACGACTATCGTAGAGGAGTGCATCTCCCTGCTGCGCACACTGTACACTGAGTGGACCCAGGTGTTCAACATTGTACTCAGCTCTAAGCTGGCCACGGCTAGCGACCTCCTGTCCCATCCACTGCTCAACCTGCAGGTGAATATGTTGAACGTTGATGAATTTATGAGAATATTTGTGTATGTTTTGTAGTTGTTTTCACTGTAAAACCTTGAGTAAACGTCACATGTAGAGCCATGACTGAGATGACCAAAAAGACCGATGACATATGACCATCGACCATCTATGGTCTATCATTATCTAAGGTTTTTTGTATACTATCCACTAAATAAGATTCCTGAAACTGCTGTTTTGTAACCTCTCCAATAGCTTTAAGGCTCTTAATATTATCAGAAACTATAATGTCAAGACTTGAAATTCAGTTTTAATCTTCACATTTCTAATTAAAATGTACCCCTCTGACTTAGTTAGCTTGCTTTAAAATTATTAAATATTCCTCAAGAAGCCATACATCATATTATACTTTTTTGGCAACAACTAGAGATAATTGTTATTCAATGGTATGAATTGTCAATCACTGGTGAAATCTGTGTTGCCAACAGAACGAAGCAGAGTTGGACACAGTGACTCTCCAGGCTGGAGCCATGGCTTCCCTCCTCGTCATTGGAGGAGTCGATGACCGGCCAAGGCTGGGTGGTGTGGTCACCGTTGACGGCAGCGGAGAAGGTAATACACTTACGCCTCGTAATAATCAACTTGTTTCAGATTTTAACTATTAAAATTTGTATCCTACTACCCAGAACAAAAAATATTATACAGTTACATTCCATCGTTCTGCTCTAGTAGCAAATATGTTTTGTGTTCATCATGTGTGTTAAGTGATGAAATGTCTATTTTCACTTACTTTGACAATCTTTATGCAAATATTAAAAAACAAGCGTTAAAATTGGTCCTCGTTCTGCCTGATGATGGCTCTCTAAGAACTGAAACTAGTTGTGTCATTTGTAATATTTCAGATTGTCTGCTAGTGGGTATTGGAAACATTTTCAATATTATTTGAAAATCCAAAGTCTACTGTTAACAATGAAATTTGTTGTGTTGTTCTTATTGTTTATCAAATATTTTCTCCCCATACATTTATTTTATTCCACAGGAACGATTTGCCGGTTCAACCAACATGCCAAACTGAACGTCCAGATGCACGATAGCAGTGCGACCAAGAAACTGACACTGCACAATCTAACAGTTGTACCAACTGCACCATTCAATCTGGACAAAATATCCCTGACTGAAAACATGCTGGACACATGGGCTACACTGTTGTCAGTCACAACACTCAGTCACACATTCAAAACTTCCCCAGGTAACTGAAGTTAGTAGAAACTCATTGAGGTACAATTTTTGATAGCTTATCACTCGAATAATGCAATGGGTCTCTTTGATCTTCGAATATCGTTTTGCTGTGTATTAATCTTAGTAAATTAACCATGCTGGCTTTACAAAACTAGTACATAATTTATTTTCTGATGCTCTAGGTCTCCACTGACTGAACAATTTCATCCATTATGCTTCCTGTTCCAGGTACCATCAACATACCGCTGTTGCGCAACCAGCAGCAGTTGCTGGTAGGCATCAAAGCAGGTCGTGTGTTGTTGAGGCACCAACGAGTGCTGCGTAGAGTCTTACGCCGTCCGACACTTGCCCCCACCACCTCTCTTGAAGCACTCAATGAAGTAGACGACCTTGAGAGTGACAGCACTTCTCTGTTGTTGCACCATTTGGTGTCCAACGCTGTGCAGCCTTCGCCGGTCAAGTCTGAGTACAGCCGGCAAGAGCTTGAGGTAAAACTATTGTTCTTAGTTTTTATTTCAGTCTGCTCGTTTCACTATTGGATTTTCATCTACAGAGCCCTGCGAAAAACTTGTATTTCAAAAGGTTATTAAAAATACACAAAGGAAGATAGAGCAAAATATACTTTTATTTAAGAGCAAATACCATGCCGTTAAAAAAAATTAGATTTATAAAATTATGTCTGGTAAACGGTGTAAATGTTGACACATTGGTAAATATTTTCCTGGAAGTTAACTTTATAGTTTGTTGTGCAATTTCCGATGGAATGACAGTCACTGCATGGGTGTTTGCGCCCACAAGTGCTTTACCTTGTCCTTAAGTGATTACAGAGGAGTTTTCTACACTTGTACTATGTGTCTTGAAATATTAAAAAGACACTGTAATAAATTGGGTGACCTAGTGAACCAGGTGATGTCCTCTCAAAGGTACTCTTATTGATATATACTGAGGAATCTCTAAAGATTCATCGAGAGATTTCTTTATGTGTAGGAGGCAGCAATCTGCGTGAGTCAGTACCTGGCAGTCCAGGTGAAGGTGAAGCCGGCCGATGTGTCCAACAGAGCCACGCGGGGCCGGCGAGGCGTGGCGGCTGCAGCTGTAGCCTCCCCCTCCGCACTACCCCTGGTCACACAACTCACCGAGATGGGGTTCTCCCGCCGCACTGTCGACACAGCCGTCAAAGTGTTAAGTGAGTATGAGACAAGAGTATATTTTGGGCACAATTGAAAAATCGTCGCTTGCAAGACAACAGCGTACATAGGCTTATCATATGTATTTATACGCGTCGTCTTGCTAGTGTAGAAATATTTGGATCATAAGGTAGGCTATTTGTGATCTATCCAATCATGGAATTTAAAAATAATTACCTATAAAGCTCCTTTAAAGTTTTTGATTTGTTCCTTTATTTGCTACAACATTCATTATATAGTATGGTTTAAATTTTACTTTTTAGTTAGATTTGTCTGAATTTTTTACTCATATAGAAACAATAATAAAATAAATGTGAACACTAGGTAATTATTTTTTAAATCAATAAAAGTCAAACTCATTTCTCCAATCCACCTATTTATATAGGAGCAACACTGCACCTTTAGACATTTTTTTATTTACATACTAATATAATTCAACTGTCGCATATGGAGGCAATGACGAAATATTACGTGATACATTCCCCTTCAACTGACACTTGGTGACCTCCCTAGGCGAGAACAGTGACAACCCTATGACAGTGGAGAGACTTGTGGCCTGGTTGTTGGAACACCCTGAGGATTGTCTGTCCGATTCTCCTTCTCTGTCTTCATTCGATGCTCTCTCAGATAAGGACTCTCTGTCTGACGAAGTCACCTCGTGCACGGAGGAGGTTTGTTATTTCGTTTGTCTTCTAATTTACTCGATCGAGTTGTTAACGACTTTAGATCTCATGAAGATTCCAATGAGATCTAAAGTTGTACAGTTGAACTTAAATTAATGGAACACAGAGGGACCATTAAAAAAACACTTTAGTAAAATTCTAATTTATTAGATCATTTTAGTGGTAAAGAGTTTGAAAATAGAAAAATCACGCTTTAATTTGCACAAAATTACAGTATGTATTGCACATGTATTCAGTAAATAAAGGTTTTTTTTTCATTTGTGCTATTTTCTTTAGCAAGAGTAAATTATTTTTTATCGGTTTGGCTTTGATGAGGAAATCACTTTCTAAATCACATTCACTATTAAATTATATTTTTTGCAGCATTTCATTCAATTATTCCTTGAATTGTATGGTGTGGCAGATTTAATTTCACCTGGGGTCTTCTTGTTGGGCTATTTTTGTTTCCCTGTTTATTACAGTAAAGTTGCAAAGTCAATTACTGAAGTTCAAGGAAACAACTTTTGGTTAGCTACTTGTAATTAAAGATTCATGAATTGAAACACGTGTTTTAGTAATCGATAGTAAATGATTTGCTGCTTAATGCTAATGTTTTGTTTTTAGCGAATTTCCCTATAGGGAAGTAGCTATTACCGTAGGTCTCATGGTAAGACTTAGGCCCGGGACCGATTTACTTTTTCATTTTGATGTCCCCAGAGGCCAAAAACACCACTCGTTCAAATTTTTATATGTATATATATATATATATATATATATATGATAACTTGAGTAATTTTTATCCGATTTTGATGAAATTTGGTTTGAAGGTGTAAGGCGGGATAAACTTGAATGAGTTCGCGATCCAGCATGATCGGACCATGGGAACAGGGTTTTATGGGGGGTTTTATGGGGTAAAAATTGGTTATTTTCACTTTTGACCCTCAAAACACAAAATTTCCCAATTTTTCTCTAAACCTTCTTAAAAAGCTTAAAAAAACAAACAATTCAGTATATCAAAGTGTTTTTGTACGGTTATTGGTTACGGAGAAAACTAAAAAAATTGTAAATTTAAAATTCCCATGTTATTCTTATGGAGTATATTGTAAAATGTTGTAGTTTGCTTGTTTATGGATATCTTTTGATCAAACTTGGCAAATATATTCATTTTATACTAAGCAATAATTATTTTACTTAAAACACACACTTTATTAGTTTCCTTGTAGCAGCAAACCTAGGTACTCGTTAAACCTAATGTTATTTAAATAGATCAATTGAAAATCAATTCAGCCAAATGGAAATTCGCTTAGGCGTCAGGTTTGCTGCGGCGGGGGTATTTAGTTTTGTTATTTTTATTAATCTCTAAGACACAGTTGCAACTCCACAATTTTGTAGTTAAAGTAGAAAAGAGCTGTTAGGATCAGATTGATTGTTAGTCAACATTCAGTTTTAGACGTTGTAAATGTGCTTCCAATAAGTTGTAGGTGTAAATCTAATAAAAATGTTTTGTTTGCAGCAACATTTATTGATAAACACTATTGTAGAAACAAATTGATGTAATCATGTTGTCAAAATAGAACACATTCTGTTTGTCAGCAGTCGAGTTCGACCACGCACTACCACAAGCGGTCGGATTTCTTCAGTCATGACGAGTACGCGATGTACGTGAGAGACTACGTGGCGCCTGGCATGCTCGTGAGGTGTTGCAAGACTATAGACGAGGTCCAGCAGGGTGAGGTCGGCAGAGTGCTGGCCATCGACCATGAGGGGCTTCATGATCTCAACCTTCAGGTAAGCTGGTAATATTGTGGTCGTAGTGCTTGCTAATAAACCACAACGTTACGGATGTGATCCTGAGAAAAGTAGGAGTTTGATGGTTTGATGCTGGTTTTTACCATTGATAAATGGTCCTGATTAATTAAATAGGGCTTAGTGACAAATTCACAGGTATATCCATCTCACGCTCATATTTCATTCATATAATGTATGGATGAATAATGCTGTAGTAGGCCTATCCATACTATGGGTTCGGGTATTACTTGCATCCCTATAAATGAATCAATTGATTCAAACCAATCTTATAACTAATTTCTCAATAATACATTTATATATTTTGACTATGTCATTGGTTCAGCAAAATGTTGAGTCTAGTAGAGGAAGATTACAGAAATACTGATAAAGTCTACATAACATTGAAAATCAAAAATTTTAATTTTAAAGTTATTTATTCTTATTTTTAACATTGTGCTACATTTCAGAGACTATTGAATCAAACTTTCTGTCTAGGTTCTGTGGCAGGAGCGACCAGGCCGGGAACAGAACACAGTCTGGGTGAGGTTCATCAACGTAGAGCTGCTCGGTTTCTCAGCCCCCACCACAGTAGGCCCCGCTATCAAGGTGGGGGACAGAGTGAGGGTGAAGGCATCCGTAGCCACTCCACGGTTCAAGTGGGGCTCCATCGATCACAACAGCATCGGCGTGGTCACCAGTGAGTGGAAAAATTGACATACCCAAGGATAAGCTGTAGCAAATTTTTTAAACCAAGTATTGCTTTTGGGAAAATGAATGCAGAATGTAAACATGACAGGCGTGTACATTTTGAAGATTAAAATGGAGGTAGGTGCTGTATAAAAGGGGTAGTCAAATTAATTTCGCTAATATGAACTGAGCGATACCAGACGCTTCGATGCAGTTGTTGATTTCAAATGAGTTTTTTTATCCATTATTGTGCATTGCATATTGACCCGGGCAACGCCGGGTATATTCATTTCACATTTTATGGCAAGTTATTAGGGCTTTTAAAATTCATACAAAATAATTAGATTACCTCTACCTATTTTGTAATGATTTTTGAAGCCCAACTACGATTAATCTTCTAAACCGAGCCTTTCATACAGAACCCGTTTTACCAAAATGTATTCTGTTATCATGTATATCTTTGAACATATCAGCAAACAATTCAAACATTTGTACCGTTTCATGACTATATAATATTGCAGGTGTGAGCAGCCATGGCAAGGGAGTGACCGTAGACTTTCCGCAGCAGAGCAACTGGACAGGCGTTGTGTGTGAGATGGAGGTGGTTCCTTCTTGCCACCTCAACATCAGCTGTAACGGCTGCCGCATGTTTCCCCTGGTCGGTCCCAGATTCAGGTGCAAAGCTTGCGACAACTTCAACTACTGCGAGAACTGTTTCTACACCCAGAAAAACCACCGGCACAGCTTCAGTCGGATATTTGAGCCTGGTATGTTTTATTTATGATTAGCTTCGAGTCAATGAGAGTACTGAGGAGTGCTAATGGTTCTAGCAAGAGTGTATGTTGTGTTCATTGATAAAAGTTTGTATGGATGTTGGATGTACGTGTCACTGTATGCTTTTCAAAGACTTCTTTCACAAAGTAGATTTAGAAAAATGAGAATGGTTATACTTATCACATTTGGATGAATATCAACCACGTCATTCAGTCTATAAATGCAATGAAGAAGGTCCAAATGAAGGATAAACCCCAGAGGAAGCAAAGACGTATTGCAATCCCTCATTCCCTAAATCAACTATTCTTGCAGAGTAAGAAATGCTAGACCTTTCGTGTTCTTCAAGTTTCGTGAATTGTTTGACAGGCAGTGCTGCAGTGTTTGCTGGTAGACCTGGTAGATTCAACAGACAAGACATGCAGCCAGAGACAGACAACATTGAGGACTGGTCACAGTGTATCAAGAGTTTTTCCGTGTCGAGTAGAGAGAGCTCAGCTCACCATCTGATTGATCCCTTCTCAGACATGTATTGGCAGAGTGCCGGCTCCCAGGGAAAGGTTGGTGCATGCATAATATACATGTTGAACTAGGGATGAACAGAACTTTGATTTGCTTCTTAATTTTCAGAACAGTAACGAGACAACATTTTTGTTCATGTGCAACAATAGTCTCCCACAATAGTGGCAAAATTTTTAACTGTTCCCGCTATTGCGGTGTAACATGCGGTAACCTCGCTACTGACCAGTTTACCCACTGTTACTTTGGGTGACGTAGATCAGGAATAAAACTCAGTACTCGCTTACAAAACCCAACTTTAATATTACTCAAAATAATACAAAGAACACAAAGATAAGTAACGAACAAAAGGGTACAGTAGATGATACTGTATAAATCATTTAGTTAGAAATCGAAACCCCAATTTGGAAAAAGGCTCTTAACTCCAATTTTGAAAACCCTTAACATTGACCAGCTCCCCCAGCAGGACCCTGTCCTCCAGTACACCACGCCCAACACTACACTACACGCAAAACTGTCCCCCAGATCAAGTGCACTGGCCTACTTAAAGCAACAGCCTTCTGTAGATCAGAACAAGTTATTGTTTAACAACACTCCCAGCCTGCTCGCCAAAATCGTCAAACACTTCCTCATTACAATATTTGACCCTCGTATTACAGTGGCGAATTTGTAATCATCTTCCTCGATCGTGAAGACGTCATCACTTTCTCCTGAAATAGGGGTCTACTTGTGGCCATCCACGGTGATCGCGGGGACATCATTGTCTGTTGCAATTACTGTGAAATTGTGAGTACCGTCAGTAATCGCGAAGACATCATCATCGTCACTTGCAATCGTAGTAAAATCAGAGACTGAAAGTTTCCAAAATTTTTAAAATTAACTCATCCTAACACTTATTTGTTGAAAGCTGGATCTGAGTTACATCACAGTTTTGGGCTTGATAAGTTTTAAATTCGTGCCAAGCTTTTAACCAGTTGCATGTGTATTAATTACTGACATTAATTGTAAAGGCAGCTTTGACCATGTCAATAAAAAAAACCAGCATTAGAGATCAATAATGGAAATAAATTGTTGGTAAAAGGCAACAGTATTCATTTTATTCAAGTGTAACCACATTGTCTAATTGTTTCCAGCATTGGATCAGACTGGAGATGCAACCAGACATTGTTGTTCAGTCGCTCCGTATGAAGGTGGACCCGTGTGACAGCAGCTACATGCCTTCATTGGTGGTGGTGAGTGGAGGCAACTCCTTCACCGGACTACAGGAGCTGGCGACTGTCCACGTACGCAACACCAACACCATCGTCACGCTGCTCTCTGATGTCAAGAAGGTCTGAGAACTATGCTCCATCCCATGATCATTGTGCCAGTTAACAGAAAAGCCTATAGCCATGTTTTTAGTTTTGTTGTTACTAGCTGTCCTACAACCATCAGGACCTTTTTAACACTTCTTTATGTTTTTATAATTAAATTCCCATGAGTAAAAATGTACAAGTTAACACTAATAAAGTGTACAAAGGGAAAATTGAGTTTCAAAAATTATGACATTGCCCTCTGAACTCCTTGGATACTATTCAATGATTTTAATAAAGCTTATGTTTATCAAATTTTTCTTTCATCATATGAATATAAAAATCCAAATTATTTAGAACATGTTTTCAGTAGACTCATACTCATTAATGGTAAGTAAAAGTGTTACATGCTTCATTTGAGGTGCCGTTCACAAAAACTCCACCCATCATGTCAACTTTCCCCGAGGCGCCCATAATTTATTTTAGGTAGATCTCCCACCATTCTTTTTCAGAGATATGTGAACTCCTTGTCAGTTTCACACTTTATATCTCAACACAATCTTTGTCTTTCCACACTGCAACACCTTTTTTGTGTTTTACAGTACTACCCTTTCATCGAGATAGCCATCAAGCAGTGCCGCAACGGAGGTATTGACTGCAAGATCCACGGTTTGTACATCAGCGGACGACGCAGATCTCCCTTCAGCGACCTTCCAGCCTCCGTGTCCTTCCTCGCCTCAGACTGTCCTGATCTGCAGGTAGTGGTTACAGTTTGTGACAGAGATATCCATGAAGTAAATGTTAATCTTAGCTAATGTTGTGAAACACATACATATAATCATACAAGACAAAGGCAAAACTTTGGATAGCATACTCCACAACTAGCCGTAAGCTCATTGAAAAAAAAATAAAATAACACCCATAAAGTAAACAAAATTAAACTTAAACTTTCAAAGTCTATTTGGCCATCTAAAATTATAACCAAACTTAAAAGTCACACCACACCTCCAAAATTATGACTCTAATTTCAATTGCTTGGAAATGCCTTGCCTTGAAAGTATTTTTTTTTTTCAAATTATATTTTTGAGTGTTTAAACCATATTGGCCTGTACATGTACAATGACTTACTGCTACAGTAGTATGATTAAAAACTGTTAGCCTATAAGTGAACAGTTCCTTTTTTCAACCCCCTACATTTTTAGTCATCAAGACTATTTTGGTTTTAAGTTTTAATAAAGAATTTTGATTTGATATTTGTCTTGACTTTTTTTCCGCAGTCGTACAACTACATGTCAGAGCTGGAGAACAATGCTGCCAACAACCCCAGCAAGGTGTTTGTATGGGGACTGAATGACAAGGACCAGCTGGCTGGTTTAAAGGGCTCCAAGGTCAAGTTCCCCTTTTACTCCGAGGTGCTCACGTCTCTGCGACCCACTTATATCGCCGGTGGCTCCAAGTCTCTCTTCATCGTCTCACATGACGGCAAGGTTTGTGTCTATTTAAATTTTTCTGGTAATGATAGTAATTGTTTTTTTCTTGTGGTATGCAAGTGTATCATTGACAATGCAGTTAACTTCCAGGTAAAATGAGTTATTTAAAGAAATATCTAGATTTTAAAAATAAACATACTTAGATACAGGTAAGAACGTAATTTTTCACCACACTATGATGTTACAATAGACAATAGACAACAGACAAAGCTTTATTGTACATCACGCCTGATACAATAATTACAAAAGTAATTCCCAAGCTGGTACATGGTCAATTTATATCTAGGTTCCTTAATCTAATTATACCCTGACAAGAGTAAAAACTATTACAATTTATCTTTAAAAAACGTCTGAATTTTGTAATACGCTTTTTGGCTCAAAGTCTCTTTCAGTTTATATGTAAAATTTGGTTTTGATAAAGTTCTATATGAATTAGGTAAATGATTGTAGATTTTTAATCCCATGTAAAGAGGCCCAGTTTCAAATTTTGTGTGCGAATGTTTGGGATATTGAAAAGTTTTGTTATTATTTCTCGTTTGATAGTTATGATTTATTTTATATTTTTCAAAAAAGAAGGAATTTGCATGAACATACTTTGCTATTTCAAATATATAAAGAGAAGGTAATGTTAAAATGGAATGTTTTTTGAAAAAAGGTTTACAGCTGTTTTTAGACTTCTGGTGAAAAATAGTTCTGAGAATTGACTTTTGGCAAGTGAACACTTTCTTGGCCTCTGCAGAGTTACCCCATAGAGTGACGCCATAAGCCAGCAAAGAATGAACATACGCATGATATACTGTCAAGCAGACTTCTAGCGGCGTGACCTTGGATAATACACTTAGTGAATACCTTGTTGACCTTAATTTTTTATTTAGATGATGAATGTGATCAGACCAACTTAATTTTGAGTCTAAATTTAGACCTAAAAACTTAACAATTTTTGTATTACTGATTGTGGTGTCTGTAACTCTGTTTCTGAGTTTAAATTGAAGAATGTTAGTTTTACATTCATTTAATTTCAGGCCATGGCTCTCAAACCATTCATTGATTTTTTTAATTGTGCTGTCAAAAGTTAATTTAAGTTCACTTAGTGTTTTTCTTTTTAAAAGAGCAGTTGTGTCATCAGCATACAAAGTGAAAGCACAGGAATTTGTGGAAAGGCAATTAGGCAAGTCATTAATAAATATAATAATATTATTATATTAGCTCTTATTAGCTCTTTTACATACGTTAATTAGAGGCTGAAAGTTATGTTTTGCTGGCCATGCCAGCTGTCATTGTCATTTGGGGACCGAGCAGGTTTTTACATCCCTAGGGCCGCAAAATCAGCTGCCCGCTTGCATATTAAATACACAAACAGTACCATAGCATTGCAATAGAATTGTTTTATTTTCACCGTTGCCTAGCAACTGTTTATTATTATTTTTGCTGATTACTGAAATTACTTCTTCACATAACCTTACAGTTGCGTTGACTATCAGTGTGCATTAATTATTATTGTGAATAGTAGTAGTGTGGTGAAAAACAGTGTTCGTACCACGGACCAAAAATGGTTTTGCCGTCTCGAGATAGTTTTTAAACTTAACTTAACTTAAAATGATCAAGAGCAATCTTCGAGAGCAAAGATCGAGAGCAGAGCCTCATTTTCGGCCCTAGGTACAAAATATACTATTATTGCAACAGAAAATCTATATAAATAAAATTAGAGTTTTGTCTGTACATTGCTCAGAATTATATATTTTTAGGTTATTTTTACGTTTTATACATTAAAGAAGCAGAAACAAGTCTTATCTCCATTTCTGTCTGTCTGTAACACTCAAGATGGCATTTTACGCAATCTTCTCCATGAAAACGAGAGTACCTATCAAGATCCAAGTCATTTTAATAGATTCACTGGATTGGCAAGAGTGTCTTTAGCCATTAAAACATGGCCTCACTACTTTGTAAATAAAATTGTGGACATTCAAAAATGCAGTTTTGTGCGATTTTTGTCAAGTTTTCATTCAATTTTTATCACATAATCATCTATGAAACAACGAACAGCTGTTCGGATCAAGATTATTTTTTCTAGCTGTCACTGATATGTTTACAAATGTTGTTTACAAATACCGCAATCATTTCTGATCAAGTTTTAAAAGCAAATACCAAACAAAGTGAGATTAAAAACGTTTTTCTTACATAATAGATTTAATTAATCGCAAGTGTAATATTATAGTGTAACCGTAAATGAAATTAAATAACTAGGCATCATTCAGGTCAGGAACCAGAGATTCTTTGTGTATAAAATTTTGTTCTTAAGTTTTGATAACCAGAAAGAAGTCCTTGAATCAGTGTTGTATAGGGCTGGGACACTTAATGGTCGTCGCCAATAGCTTACAAACAAGGTTTCCACTCATTGACGGCACTTCAATGGCGATTGTGTAAAGTGTAAAGTAAAAAAATCACAACTGCAGTGGGTGATTGTTATAGAGGTATACGGATTATGCTAAACTCGCTTTTCCAATGTGTCACTTTCTGTTTCTACTCACAGTGTGATGCAATCGCTGGACCATACAGCCAATAGGCACATAGCCCATCTCTTGAGTACGTACGCCTACCTATTTATTCATAACAACCTTTTCGATGACGATCCTTGATACCGGTACTTTTCCATAGAATACATGGCCTACCTACTTAAGAAACAAAGTTACAAATGTCCAAAAACCCAACATTGTGTGATTTTTGTCACATTCAACTGACTACTATAAGATCCCCGTGCGTAGAACGGGCACACAGCTAGTACAAGCTAAAACTATAACTATTACAAATCAATAAAACTCCTTAAACTAAGCTTTTACACAGCTGCAAAAATCAGCAAGTTTATAAAAGGGATATCCCAAAAAAATTGCGTTTCAGATAAGATGATGTTGCTGTTTGAAGCTTTAGTGAAAACGTATTTTCCATCCTTACACTTTATGATAGAATTTAATCTTGGACTCTAGCATTTTCAAGCATTTTGTTTTCACAAAAGAGTCAATTGCAAGTTCCATATTATTTTCTATTGGACTTTTTTTACAATTGTGCTTAGTATTTTTTGTACTATGGGCTAAGTCAATCACATTTCGTTTTTCCTGCCATTGCAAGAGTTGTCAGAAATACATTCTCTTTATCTGTAAAAATTCAAGAGGACTAGTCAGTGTGAGTTGTTAACTGTTGTTTACAATTTTAAAGCTGTACGCGTGTGGAGAGAGCACCAACGGCAGACTGGGTCTCGGCCACAGCAACAACGTTTCACTACCCAGACAGCTGACGTCTCTCAGTCAGTACGTGGTCAAGAAGGTGGCTGTACACTCGGGAGGCAAACATGCCATGGCGCTCACACTGGACGGCAAGGTGACCACTTTCATCAGCTTCATCACCATACTTACTTGACATTGGTGATCGTTTGGATTTGAACCCGAACCTGGACAGAATTCCTGTGCACTAACCACTAGACCAGATGTTCCCCACTGTCACAGTAACTGTCTAAGAAGGACATAATTTAATCATATGGTCTTTCCTGAAGACCTATGTTTGAATTTCCCTAACCACCCTTGGCACATTATTAAGTAGATAATAATGTGAGTTATTGGTTCAGAACTCAACTTAAGTGAGCGTCTACTCTTATCCGGACTCTTCGGGACCGAGGCTAGTCCAGATAACAAGTTTTCTGGTTAAACCGACGCCCCTTAAAACTCGTTTTGCTACGTTCCATTTTAAAACCAATCGATATATTTTACTTAAATTATGGAGATCATTGTAATTAGACTTGATCACTGGTCTAAAATATTTCTGACAAGAAAAGTTGTTTCATTACCGCCAACCTAGTCGGTTGAAGCTGATGTACTGGTAAAAATTGTCCGTTTAAAGAGATGTCACTTCGGTAGAACTAGAAATATAATACAAGAACTCTGATTATAGTTTATTGATCTCTTTGATCAGTAGAGTGTAGTTCGGCTTAATCATGCCCAGTTAAAAGGTGTCCGGATTCTACTGTATGGTAAAACAAACAAATTATATGTCTTTCAGACTAGGAGAACTTTCTCTGTATTAGAGTACTTCTTTCACTGAAAGCCATACTCACCGCTGACTTCTGGTATCCAAGGTGGTACTTTACCTTGCCTCCGCACTTCCCGACCTGCTGTCTCCCCTTCTCATTTTCCCAGTCTTCTCACGTCTTTGTGATCTGGCCCCACCTTTTAATTTAGACCTTCCTACTAGTCTTCTTCCTATGGCATTATTTTATGATATTGTCTTGATTATAGTGACGTCCTCTTAGTACATACCCACCTTATCTCATCTGAAAGCCATATTTAATTTAATTTACTGTAACTGATTGCAAGTAAAGGCTTTCTGTAAAGATTTTCAGTTTGTTTTATGATTCTTTATTGAGTTAATCTATTTAAATTATTTTGTTTAGGTATTTTCGTGGGGGGAGGGGGACGACGGCAAGCTGGGTCATGGAAACCGTTTGACCTTGGAGAAGCCTCGGCTGATTGAAGCGCTCAAGTCAAAGCGTGTGAGAGACATTGCGTGCGGCAGCTCACACAGTGCAGCCATCACGAGCAACGGAGAACTGTACACTTGGGGCCTCGGAGAATACGGCAGACTGGGCCACGGTGACACCGTCACACAGCTCAAGCCTAAACTGGTAATGCTGGGGTTGATCATGTTGCACTTCTGGTCAGATTCTTGGTTCAAATATAAATATATCCAAGTGATGTTTTTGGATCCATGTGTCAAAAGTAATGTTGATTTTTAACAAGAATTCAATCTGTTAATGCTTAAACTTCAATCATTGGGAAAAGTAATTAATTGTTGATGTTGTGAAAGATTGAAAAATAAAATATACGAATGTGATATAAATTATTTGTTCACTGAGGGTTAATTTGTCCATCAGTAACATTGTGTACACCTAGTAATTTAAAAATTGTAAAAAATCTGTCGAAGGAAATTAGTCAGCAGTCAGTAACTTGTGTGTTACAAGGTCGGAGAAAATACCAATTAGATTTTTGCTTAGATTATCAAGTTGGCAAAATGTTTTTCAAGTGTAGTAAAGATAATTTTGTAACAGATTTACATGTTTTTATAAAAATTAAAAGATTTTAAATATTAGCAAATGATCTATTGGAAAGATTCAGAAGATACTTGATGGGTAAATTTATGTTATAACTTATTAGATCGCCTCATTACTCATTGTGACGATAGCTACTGAATTCAATAATGCTTAGTTTCAGTCATAACAAAACTAACTGTACCTGTTCCCTTGCATAGTCTTACTTCCGATAGCACGAATTCCAATATGACATTGTTTGGTAGGTCAAGGCGTTGCTGGGTAACCACATAGTGAAGGTGGCGTGTGGGTCGCGCGATGCCCAGACCCTGGCATTGTCTACGGACGGCATGGTGTTCTCGTGGGGCGACGGAGACTTTGGCAAGCTGGGCCGCGGCGGCAGCGAAGGCTGTGACAAACCTCACAATGTGGAGCGACTCAACGGCCTCGGTGTCACTCATATTGAGTGTGGCGCTCAGTTCAGCCTTGCGCTCACCAAGAGTGGACAGGTTGGTACAATGGATTGTAATATTTTCACTGGTTTTGATGGATTCAAATAATGCGTTCGTTCTTTACGGATGAGTTTATTAGATGGGTAGAATTTATTAAGGCCAGACTTGTGTTAAATTCAAACCTTACCCAAACAGTCTTATCTGATTCTTACACAGTTCAAATTTACCGCTAAACCTCACCCCAACTCGATAGGACCAGATACTTTGATACTTTATTTATCCTACCCTGGCTTAGACCGAAGGTCCACACTTCCACCAGGACAGGCTCTACAATTTTTCACAAAATTAAAAAGTGTTTTGGTTTAACACATAAATAACCAGAGAGAAACCAGCAAGTCATTCTACTCCCTGTTTCCCCAAGATGGTACTTGAAGGCACTTGGGTATTGAGATATCCTTAGTGTTGTTAATTCCTTACGTATCACTATCTATTTTTAATGGCAGGTTAAGTGTAAGAAAGGGCCATGTGGCCCTAACTTTGCCTGAAAAAATAAAGGATTTTTCATTTCATTTCATTTTTATCTCTAGAAAATTTTTACTTTACCGGCTTACCAATTTTTCACCTTTCATTCGTGGTAGGGATGGACGAGATTGGATTTTTAGTTCGAGACGAGACGAGACGAGATTTTTTATTTCTCATAAAATTTCGAGACGAGATCGAGACGGGATTTCCCTTCTCATACACAACGGGAAATGCACGTTCAAAATTTTTACCTGATTTTGTAACATTGTTAGATGACTGTTTAAATACAAAAATAATGATAATAGGCAAGAATATTTACAATCTTTTATTAAAAAACATCAGCATAACATTTTTTTATTAATCATGCCTAACTTATTAAAAATGCCTACGATTAGGAAACATAGTGATATCAGTTAGGATAGAGTTCAACTTATCCTAAAATAAAATAAATCATAAAATAAAAGCAATATTAATTTTTATAAAATAGTTACTTGTTTTGACTTTTTATAGTAATAAAACATTCCTCACACTGCTTACACTTAACAAAACTTCTCAAATGTTATTAAAGTAATATTTACATTTAAAGAATTAATTAAATAAGAACGCCTTCGCAAAGGAAACGCAACTACAACACGCTCCTGTATTGCGGGTATTGCATTGACTTTCTGCAGGCGTTTTTAATTTTTATTTTTTTTTTATTCTCGTCTCGATAAAAATCTCGGCCAAAAAAAAAACTCGTCTCGTGTAACGAGATCTAAAATTTCCCGAAAATTTCCCGGAATTTCGAGACTTGACCATCCCTAATTCTTGGTTATTCTTTCATGATTTCTCTTAGTTATTTCAGTTGCTATAATCAATATCGTTAAAAAAAATATTTTTAACTACATTTTTTGTTGCTTACTCTCTTCTAACAGTGGTGTTTACACCTCATCACAAAGAAGTAAAGTACAGGGTAAACATTCAATAGTACACTTAAGTGGGGTCTAGCACTAGTCGCCATGATGTCTAGGGCTAGGTCCAACACCACACCCGTCGCCCTCATGTACTACAACGCTCACGATGGAGGAAGACCTTGTTGCCTGTAAGGAATTTCCAAACTGCTCGCCACCTGGGCTAGGCTCTTTCTTGTTGACCTTGTTTCTCACAAGATTATTTCCAGCACAACCTACTAGAGCTGAAAGCGCACTGTTGTTCCATTAGCGTGTTTCCTCTGTACCTTACTTCTCTGTGACCTCACCTAATATTGATGTAAAGAAACATATATACGTAACAACATCTGTGTGACAATTAACTGACACATTGTACTACTCGCTGCAGGTGTGGACGTGGGGCAAGGGAGATTACTTCCGCCTGGGGCTAGGTACAGACCAGCATGTGAGGAAGCCCACCCTAGTAGAGGCTCTGAGAGGGGAGAAGGTGGTGCATGTAGCAGTGGGAGCGTTGCACTGTCTGGCCGTCACTGACATGGGAGTGGTGAGTTACATATTATCTGTAAAACAAACAGTGTAACTTTAAAATGCCTTATAACAAAAATGTACCTTTTGATCAAAATGTCAAAAATACAATCATAAATCATTACTTATTGCAATTTGGTAACAAACTTACTCTTTGTCATCTCCTACATTTGTAAACATTTTACAAAGAAATTAAATGTAGTATTGTTTGTCTTTGGTTTAACTAAAACAATTGTTTTCCCTATAACAAATCCTTTAAAAAATTGAACACAGTTTAGGTTTGATCTATTACTTAGTATAGTATTAAACAAACTATTTTTTTCCAAGGAGGTAACAGTACAGTTAAAAAAATGAATCATACCATACCTGTCATGTGCAGGAACCTAGGAGACAATCGCATAACTACTATCTCTCGTAAGCCTAGAAAGAGCCCTATGGATCAGGGTTTTAAATCCCTTCTCAGACAGAAGAATTGTTTCATATTTAAAATGTGCTTAGTTATACTACTAAAACCCCTAGGGGTTGAAATGGTTAAAAATAATAAATTTTACCTAACATTACTAAACTGTTCGCTTGATCTTGTTGATCAGGTGTATGCGTGGGGAGACAATGATCACGGACAGCAGGGTAACGGCACGACTCTGGTCAACCGCAAGCCTTCGCCCATCCAAGGGTTTGGAGACGTCCACATCAACCGCGTGGCGTGCGGCTCGTCTCACAGCGTGGCGTGGTGCGCTGTAGACCGCAAGGCCAAGTTTGTGGCCGACCCTGTGCTCTTCGGTCAAGCTAAGGACGCACTGGGAGCTCACATCATGGGTATGTCTGTTTATTGTCAACTTCTACCAAGTTTGTGTTGGATAAGGAAAAAAATTTAACATAAATATCCCTTATCTGAAGGTCTACAGTGTGCTGAATTTAAGGAAACATAACTGTATAGGAATTTGTAGCTGACTGTATGGCCGTAAATTTTTAAACTGCTACACGTACATTTTTCAATATAGGCTATTTAGAAAATAGTGATTGCATAACTAGTTATATTCCTTATTTGTTTCAAGGTCATTTTTGCTGTTGTGTTTATGTTATATGAGGGATTATTGTGGCGGTCATTTTCCATCACAACTGTTAAAAATAATTTTTACAGTGATTTTTTTGGGATCTAGAACCTGATTTTGTTTATAGGGAAGAAAAAATATATAAACCTAAAATATATAAAGATCAGTACTTATACAAACCCAACCAATTCTCTATAATCACAAAAAATAACAATATAGAGAACTGTGTAGTCAAACCAAAACAAAATGAAAAATCCATAAAAATAAACAACAAGTAGTACAAAATAGAGCAAACACAATTGACTCGTCTGCACAAGATTGATGGTGGCTCAAAAGAGGCTGGGATAATCTGTCCGTCTGGAAAACAGAAATGACATCCAACGGAAGACCTGAAACAAACAACTCTAATAAACATTCATGTTAGGACTCGGAGAAGCAACCAACTACAAGGACCTGTACACTGTGGGACCTCTGGGGGCTCGTGAGTCTCTGGCTCGCACCATTCTCTCACTGGAGTCCAACATGGCTAAGCAGAACGCACTGCAGCACGTACTGAACGCACTACGCGTGATGTACGCTCGAGACGCAGTCATCGCTGCCCTCACCTCCAACAACAAGATGGACGCCCCTACCACATCAGGTATGTCCGTGGAAGCCTTCACCTCATATTTTGTGTTTATACAGTAAAGGCTCTTAAACCCAAGAGTAAATGTCTAAAGTACAGGTACTATAAGAACATGAATTAGGTGTTTTATATCAGACATTTATAAAACAAACACCATGTCACTTAGTAAGAAAACTAGATATTTCTTGACAAAATGGTTAATGAGTAAAACAATACAAATAATACTATTGGTTTTTTTACATGCCAAAACACCATCAGTGCCACAGATGACTGAAATCCACAGCTTTAAAAGGAATTGTATATGTCTATGTATGTTTATAACATTTTTCTGTGCAGAAGATGCAGCAGACAGCCCAGAGACGCCTCAGACTACAGTGCCTCCTACTGCGGAGATAGCTCAGGGTGGAGGGGAGGCTCCTGCTTGTGAGGCGGAGATGGCAAACATTGTGAGTATAACATGTGATGCTGACAATCATAAATAGAATCTAACATTGCAATAGACAACATCATAGAATACAAGAATACAGTAGTATGTAGTATACAAGGAAAGAGTACTATAATTGACTAATGGATACTGAAGTAGACATCCCATCTACATGGACCAACTTTTTACCAAAAAAGAACAGAATTGAGTGAGCCAATCACAGAATGTGCTAGTTTCTAAATTTATACTTCCTACTTTATTTCTGGTTGCCGACATAGTTGACAGGTCATAACAGTTGCTATAGCTCATAATAAGTCGTTCCATCAGTTTGACTTTGTAAAAATGTCTGAGTAATCGACAGACATCAGTAATATACGTCAGCACAATCTGTCAGTGGCTCACATCAACGACGATTTTGATTACAAACTGGCGACAACTTATCAGATGCAATGTCTACATTGTTCAAAGATACCATTTACTTGTCAATTTAAAATAATTAACTATGACTAATCACCAAAGCTTTACTGGGCCAAAGCTTAAGAAGTAATAAAGGTTTTGTTTAAACAATTTATCAATTGGATAAAGGCCTTACTTTTACTTATAAACCAGCTTCGATTTGGATGTAAATGGTTGGAGTTCCAGATTATGACCTTTTGATATGATTTCTAATGGCTACATGGTTAAGTGTAACACACTTACTTACTTGTTGTGTGTTGAAGTTTTCTCTTACAGGAGCCATTGTAAATGATCAGTCATTCAACTAAACTTTCTCCCCTAATGTACACAGTTGATGAGAAGGATGCTTTCTGAACTTTTTGGCAGTTTTGTTGAACAAACACAATGGCGCCATTTTGAGCAATCTCCTACACAAAACACTTATTTCTTTGCTGTAGCCATTTAATAAACAAGATTGTCACAGTTCAAGTTGCCCAGATAACCAGATGAAAACAAACTTTAAAACATTCTCTTTCCATTGTTAGGAGGCTGTGTTAATCAAGGCAAATAGAAAATTTACTTTTTTCAATTTGCACCATTATTTTTTAAAATCCCATTATTTGTTCTTGGCTCTTATTTGGGTAATTGCAACTCATTGGTAGTTACAAAAGTTAGAGAAATGTTAAATGAAGGGTTATTTTTATCAGAAGTGTATTGTTTTACAATATCTTGTTTCATACAGAGCACCAAGTCTACACCAGAAAGTACAGACAGTCCGTTGGCTGCGTTCCCGTCCATGTCTATGAGCAGCTCAGCCAGTCTCTCCTCTCGGGCTTCCAAAATGTCTGCCAGCGCAATGAGTGTCATCGCAGCCACCATGAAGTGCAATCCCCAGGTTAGTCACAAAGTTTCTATGTAATGACGCTAGATAATCTGTATGTTAACTGCAAAAACAAGTTGGACACCTCCGACAGAGAAACAAAAATATTAGACCATTTAAAATATTGGATGTCACTAATATAGCTCAGAACTCATGTTCTGAAGGGTTCAACACAAATCTATTCATTCACCAGTGTCTCTTAACCTTGTGATAAACCTGTGACCATGTGGTTCAGATCTATTTTTTTTAGTATTCCTATCTGTACAACATAAATTAATAGTTCTAAAACAATTTCTTCTGTTAAAAAAAAATCACTTAACAGTAATTTAATTTTCATTTAACATGCTACTTTACAATGTAAAACAAACATTCAACACCTTGTAACTCCTATGTTGTCCAGGCGTTGGGGCTGGGCGAGGCAGCCAAGAGGCCAGTTTCCAACCTAGATGACTTTACATCACTGTTGGGCCTCCATGACGCCCGCATGTTGGTAGACCTGCTCAAGCTGGCTGTAGCCAAGAGGGTAGGGCCTGGTGCCAAAGAGACCATCGCCACCATCCTCATCAGTAAGTTGCACAGTAGATAAAACATTCTGCCTCATAAATATTTCTTGTAACTTTAATCCTTTTTTTACATTTTGACATGTACATGACAATACAATAAGTCTTCTAACTTATATATCCTAAATTTTCACCAAAATAGAAACCAAAAAAGACAAAATATCTGTGTCCTCCTCCGCACTAGTGCAAAAAGAAGCAATACTGGTGTTGTGGGCAATGCAACAAACCTCACTTCTTGAGTAACCGCTCCAAGTTGACATAGAATTATCATCTAGACAAGACACTGCAAACAACTGCACAAGGTCAAATGGGCAAAACCACTTGGGTAATGAAATCTCACATAGCCCCATGACTAAGAGGCTGGGGCTAAACCTCAAATTACCTTCCTGGTTAGTTCGCTTGTTTGATGGACAATCAGGTAACTGTCGTAGTCAAACTGGAAAGGTATTTTTAGTAATCCCCTTACTTTTGAGCTCCTCAAAATATTCATAAGCTAGTGTCACTAGTTTTTACTTAGTATTGCTGGTATTCAATAATTGCTACTTGCCACAGGTATGGCGACATCTATGCCGTCAGTGGCTGGCATGTTGTTGGAGCTGTGTGTGACGGAACTGGAGGATGTTGCTCTCAACAACAACAACATCAACGCAACGCCCATCCCTGTCATACAGGAGAGCTCTCACCCCTACATAGACGATATTGCCCTCAGCGGACACGTCAAGATACCTGGTAAGTTTTGACAGACATAACTGTTTTTGCCTTTGCTCTAAGTGCATAGCGTTTTAATGTTGTATGACTAGATAGACAATAGTTAGCTTATATATGACAATGTTGCTACAATAAGTTAATGTCAAAGAGAAAACAACACAATACATACTCAGATTTGTCTTGGTTGCCGAGTGGTTATGGATGTTGTAGTGTTTGCCTTCAAATTTGAAGGTTGGTGTTTGATCCGGAGTGGTGTCAATTCTAGAACCAGATACAATTTGGGTGATCAATTAATTAATGATGGTAAGGTCAACGTTCGGTAGTAACAAAACCATCGTTTGGACCTTACCCGTTCAAAAAACCTGAAAATTGACATTTAGTTGAGATTACTGAGTTTAATTTCTATCATTACCTTCTACAGGAGCCGTGGTGCTGAGGGTGGAGTTTGACCGACAATGCAGCACGGAGCGCAGACACGACCCTCTGTGTATCATGGACAGCAGTGGAAAGACAATCTGCGTAAAGTCTGGCCGCGACTGGAGCGATTGGTGTTCACCAGCCATCATACATGGTGGGTTCTGTAGGAGTCATGTTCATAATGTGATACTTGTCAATTTTGGACATTTTACTCAAATGAGCTTCAATGACCTTAGTGGGGTGGACTATTTGTGTAAAAGCCTGCGGTCCCAATGAAAGTTATTAATTTACTATAATTTAAAAAATGATATAAGATGGAGAGGACACAATTACTCACCTGAAGAAAGTTTACAGACGAGTTATAGCACAAATAAATTATATACACGTTGTCAACTGACAAACCATCTACTTCAGAAGAAGCCACTGAAAGAGGCGAAATATTAAGTCTATTGTGTATATAATTTATTTGTGCTATAACTCTTCTGCAAACTTTCTTCAGGGGAGTTAGCTGTGCCCTCTCTATCCCATTTTTTAATCCAAGCTGAAAGCCTTTTCCTAAAAACGTGATGATGATGAACTATAATATATTTTTGAAGGAAATTTTTGAGAGTTCAGGGGTTAACTCATTCACATTAAAATGTTACAAACACATCTTCCCTGACACCTACGATCACAAAATTAAAAGCTCAGGACAGGACAGCTCGACTAGACCTGAGTTTGGGCCAAAAACTATTTCCGGCTTGACCCGACCTGTAAGTATCAGGGACTCGCAAACCCATCACGATTTGTAATGATGATTCTAGCGTGTGTAGTTGAGGATGTATTGATGAAGTCAATTGTTGCACAGGTGATGAACTAAAATGGAAGTTCTCCAGTGACGGGTCAGTGAACGGATGGGGCTGGAGGTTCACAGTTTACCCCATCACCAGTCACGACGGGCCGACCGGGTCAGACCGGGACATGCTGTCCAAGCCCAGTGTGGAGCTAGTGATGAGTCTACTGGAGCCTTGCCTCTCTCTAGCACCTCATCGCTCACTCATTACCAGACTGGTGGCAGCACTGGCGTCCTGCTCTCAGCTCAGCTCACTTGGTGAGTGATGTTAACTTTTCAACACGTAGTAGATTTTTTTCATAGTACTATTGTATTTAAAAGATCTCTAATCAAATCTTGGAAGGAAATAGCTTGTACAATTTAATTGGTAATCATTCCAAAATGTTATAGGACCAAGTGAGCGGATGTGGTGCCTGGAGACTCTGAGGGAAGTGTTATGTTCGGATCTCGGAAAATTGTTGGATATGTCGGCACTCCTGCATACAGATCAGGTAGGTGTTATCACTCAAAAAGGTTAAGTTTGACCCGTTATGATCATTATACCACAATAGGATAACAATTTTATGTCAGATACCTATACTTTTGCTAAATGATTTAATCTCTTTCATATGGACTAGTTTTAGTCACGGGTCTGCGGGCGAGCCGTTTTAACTTCAGATTGGACTAAAATAATGTTGCTTTGGAAGTATGAATATAATGAAATGTAAATTGTAGAATAGGTTTATAAATAATATATTTTATGTGATATGATCTCTCCCATATCAAAGTGAAATCACGAACATCTTCTGTGGTCCCAGAAAATTGTGGATGTCTTCCGCTGTCACGTACATCATAAACATCTTAATACAAATGATATTGTAGAAAAAAATGCTTAGTTTTTTAAAGAAAATTTTCTTCCCTCATCATGTTTTTATAATTATTTAGATTTTTATTTTTTATATCACTCCTAGTTTTAATTTATGGATTCGGTGAGTTTCACACGATTATGCACAGTAAAATTAATTCTACAATAATGTTAGTTAGCAATCAGCGTCTGTTTTGTTTACAGTCTGCACTATTTAATGATTTATTCATACAATTCTCTTTGCCTCAGATTAATATGTAAAAAAATTATATATTTTCTTGAAATTTCATTCATTAGCATTGAATATTTACAAGTGTGTATCATATCAGGTGGATTCTGCACTGTCCAGTCTATTAAGAGGTCTTCCACAAGCGTTACTCAGACAATATGAATACGAGGAACCTTCAGTCAAAGCTGGTCGACAACTCATGCACAGTCCGTTCTTTAAGGTAACAGAAGAATTAGTTGTAAAGGAGAAATTTTACTGTAAAAGTATGGAAGTTTGCTCATGAAATTGCATCTAACGTAGGTAGCCTAAAGATAACTTTGTGTTCACACAACTCTAGTTGTACTAGTTTTTGTGTTTCTCTGTGTTACTATGAGATAAGATACCAAATCCCAGTCAGTTACAGATTGTTGTTTACTAATTTTGATGAATGTGCCCTTAATAATTTTACAAATAACATAAACTTAACATCACCGAAATAAACTTCAAACTAAGAACGTGATTACAGTATTTTACAGCAATAGAAGAAAAATTGTACTTTAAGTTCAGGACAGGATTGGAGGGAATTTTCATCACCTTCCTGATTTTTGAGACAGGAATGGGACAGGATTTTTCTCTTTAGGTGCAAAAAGGAAACTATAAGTTTGTTTATTTTAAAAATGTTGAGTAACAATGCTTGAAAATGGAAATAATGGCAAACAAAATCAATTTTCCGTTTTTATTAAACAGTTCAATTCACACGTTCACATCTATGGAGTCTAGATCTGCCCTCCGTGTGTATTGTGTTTCCCGGTACTGGGTTTTTGTTTTTGTAATGTTTATTTGTGCTCGTCCGTTTGTCTGTAATTTGTTTAAATGTGTGACTTGAACTTCGATCGATTTTAACCTGGACGACTTCCTCTGTAATTAAATTTTATGTCCTTCTCAGTCTTCTAAGTTCCCCTTGGACTTTGCAGTAACCTGCAGACTACTAGGGATCACTTCGACAGTATAACAACATGAAGTCTATGACACCATAATTCTGTGATCGCAACACTGCCGTTATCATCTTGCACAATCCCAGAGACATTGTCATTTTCAACCACCTCAACATCTTCTGCTATCACTAAAGAAACTTCATATTCTCCGGCAATGCCGGCAAAATCAATAATAACTGCTATCCAAGCGTAGGCATCATTATCGCCAACTTGCGTTCTGGGTAGCTGTCAGTTGGAATAAGCTCAATTCCGAGAAAATCCTCAATTATTTGCTATCCCACCTAAAGATCAATATTTTTCCTTAAACTTTTTAACTTTTTCATTTTTTGTAATTTATATTGTTTTAGGCGCTGGTAGCCCTGGCTTGTGACCTAGGCCTTGACTCCCTCGCCTGCTGTGCTGACAACAAGAAGTGGATGTGGTTCAGACGCTACTGTCTTGCCATGAGGGTGGCTTCCTCACTCATACAGCGCACTCCTTTACCTCAGTCCTTCTGTTTGGAGGTGAGTTGATTGCTTCGTCATAGAGCTTAAGTAGGTATTTGTAAAACAATAAGTTTTAAATACAGAACAAACTTGCTAATCCAGTTTGGGGCCTTGACATTGCTGCATTACTGAGTAATAATTTTTTTTTTTTTTTGAATAGCGTTGATACAGTTAAAAGGCCTAGATAAACGGGCTGTTCATTGTTAGTGATAATATTACTTTCTGGTGTTCAAATTATTGTAGACTACTACTACTGTACGTGTTTCGTCAGCACTGTGTCATCATCAGGTAGTTTAATCCACTATGACTTCGTCTTCAACATTAAAATAAAGCAGTCATAACACACAATAAATACACAAAATTACATTCAACCGAACGGTAACGTCGTCGCGGTGGCCAAATCACACGTAACTTTTATTTTAATGTTGAAGATGAAGCCATAGCTGATAAAATGACCTGATGATGTCACGGTGCTGACAAAACATGTAGTTGTAGTCTACAATAATTGGAACGCCTGAAGGTATTATAATCACTAATGATATTTGATTATATTACCTTTAGATTATATTACCTCTCTAGTAGTAGAAAATGACAACAGGAAATTGGTGTAAATAAAGCCCTTTGACGAAAGCCAGATCATTGAATTTATTGGATTGAATCATCAACTACCTAAATAAGAGGGGTTTTAGAGTATCTCAAGACATTTTGTTATTATTAAAAAAAGTCAAATCATTTTATAAATTCTTACTGATGTAACTAGTATCAAACAATAAACTTGTATTTTATATAACAAAAGAATGCTTCAAAACTTAAAACAACAGTGGCCTCAACTTTCACGATTTTTTAGGCTACAAATTTTCACATAAAAATGTATAATATTTTTGTATCTTTAATTTAAATGTGTCCAATTACAGGTGCAGAAGGAGATTTCAGAAGTTGCAACGCGCAGTGGTGACTACAAGAATGAGCATGAGAACCATGACTTGTTCAAACCTGAACATGACGAACAACTGCTTCTGTGGGTGAACAGGTATGTTTATTTTATTTTGTTATTTTATAGGCTGTTATATTTAATTTTACTGAGATGAATTGAAAAATAGTGGATGGATATGCAATGACTTTAGAGAGGTTTTGTGACAAAAACAGTGATTGTGGCAGAAGGGTGTGACATCTTCTGGAAAGTCGTAAAGGGTTGGAAAAGCTGAGAGCTGCAAATAAACCTATGAGCACCAAGTAAAGTGTTGTGGTGATTCAAGTCTCATTTTTCCTTGAAATGTTTTTTTTTAGCGAATTTCCCTATAGGGAAGTAGCTATTACCGTAGGTCTCATGGTAAGACCTAAGCCCGGGACCGATTTACTTTTTCATTTTGATGTCCCCAGAGGCCAAAAACACCATTCGTTCAAATTTTTATATATCTATATATAGAGATATATATATATATATATATGTGTCCATCCGCACGATAACTTGAGTAATTTTTGTCCGATTTTGATAAAATTTGGTTTGAAGGTGTAAGGCGGGATAAACTTGAACGAGTTCGCGAACCAGCATGATCGGACTATGGGAACGGGGGTTTATGGGGGGTTTTATGGGGTAAAAATAGGTTTTTCCCATTTTTGACCCTAAAAACACAAAATTTCACAATTTCTTTTCAAACCATTTTGTAGAGCTTAAAAAAACAAATAATTTAGTATATTGAAGCGTTATTATGCGCCTAATTGTTACGGAGAAAATTCAAAAAAATTGTAATTTTAGAATTCCCATGTTATTCTTATGGAGGATAAGTCAACTGTTGTAGTTTGCTTGTTTATGAACATATTTTGATCGATTTTGGAAAATACTTTTATTTCTTACTAAACTATAATCATTTTATAAAAAAATCTTTTTTACCCTCCCTGTTGCAGCAAACCTATGTACTCGTTAAACTAATTCTATTTAAATAGGAAATAAATGTGCTATTTTTATGGAGGCATTTTAGTGTAGATCCAATCAGGTTAGTGGAAATTCGCTTAGTCTGCAGGTTTGCTGCGGCGGGGGTATTTTTAGATAGGTACTAGAACAATTGTAAAAATCTTCATGGTACCGGTAATGATTAGATAACGTCACACAAGTAATCGTGTATCTGATTCATCTAAAGATTGTACATACCCTGAAACCTTTAGAAATGTTAGTGACCATTACCCTCAAATATTTAGAAATGTGTATTTATTTATTTATTTATTTATTTTATTTTCAATGCTACAAAACAGCACATGCCAATTACTTTGTAGCATTAATCAAATAACAGGAATGTTAACATGATATTACAATTAATAATAACACAACTAGGGAAAAAATGTCTGTCTTCAATGGTGACAGTTTCACTCATAATGTAAATAAAGAATATGAAATGCAGGGTGTTTATAAAAAAACTTTACAACTTTAAACAATCATAAAACCTTTATTTTTTCACTTACAGCTATGAAACAAAAATTAAAATTTAGGAAATTTTCTCAAGTTTTATTTACATGATAAGAAGTTTACCTAACTTCAATGTGTTTCCCGTTGTTTGCTCGCAAAAAATCAAGTCGACATTTCAGTTCTGACCAAACACGACGCAAAATTGAATGATCTATTTCATCAAACGCTCTCCTGATCCTTTCTCTTAGTTCTTCTTTGTTGGATTCCTATTATATCTTGTCCGAAATCTCCGTTGAACAACAACATCAGATTTCGTTTCAATGAACCACTCCACACACTGCGCTTTGATTCGTGCTTCCATTGCGATGCTAATGAGACTTTTCAATTATTTGTTTTTGTTTACCAAACAACAATGTAAGGCCATCAGCTGATTGAACTGCCAGCTGATTAAAACTTTTTGAGCAGCCCTTTCATGTGGTGTCAATAGGAAACGTTTATGTCCCATGGATCATGAATGGGACAATGTTAAAGTTGTAAAGTTTTTTTATAAACACCCTGTATAAATAAGAATATAAATAAGAATGACAATATAAAATTTAAATATACAGTAACAAGAGAATTTATACTAACTAAAACAATACTGATGGTCATGAATCAAATATAATAAATATAATATAAATATATAAGAAATAAATATGTACTATTTAGAAAAATTATAAATTAACGCTGATAAGAAAGTTTGAATTCATTTAACAACCAGACATTTAACTTTTTTAGTGATAAATGAAATATATCAAATTGATATGAATTACAAGTGCGAGACATAATATTTAGTGGAAAATTGAATCCAAGATTGGTACGAGAGTAACGAGGGGTAAATACAAGAGTGCTGCGTGAATTGTGTCGTGGAACGTGAAAATTGATTTGTCCCAGCAAGTCACTATCGTCCAGAACACCGCTCACCAGTTTATGGAGATAAGATAAGGCGGCCAACTTCCTTCTGTCACTGAGACTAGTCATATCAAACATGGTCAAGAGCTGGTGGTATGAGATGTTGAATGTATAGTGATCAAATGTTTTAAAATACATAAATCTTAAAAATCTTTTTTGAATCGCCTCAATCATATTGTCTACAAGGTAAAGCTGATGAGGATACCATACAACTGATGCATATTCTAATCGTGAGCGCACCAATGAACAAAATAATAATTTTACTGAGTTTAAATTTCTTAAAAAGCTGCAAGATCTATGAATGAAACCTAATACTGAATAAGCTGCCTTACAAGTGTTCATCACGTGTTCTGCAAATAGAAATTTACTATCGAAAACAACACCAAGATCTTTAAATGCTGACTTTCTACATAAGACAACACCATCCATTGAATAAGAAAAATTTACAATAGTTTGGGTAGTTTTCCTTGTATAACTCATAACAGCACATTTTTTAACATTAAATAATATATTTTCTTTACTCCAAGCAATTAGTTCATCAATATCAGTTTGTAGCTGTTGAGAATCCAAGATTGTGTTAATATTTTTGAAAATTTTTAAATCGTCAGCGTACATTAAAATTTTACTATGTTTTACACACCTGGTTATATCATTTATAAATACTATGAATAATAAAGGCCCTAAATTTGAACCTTGGGGGACACCTGAGTCCACCAGAAATGTGTTGGAGCATGCACCATTGTATGTTACATACTGTTTACGTTTGTATAAATATGAAGAAAATAATCTTAATGTGTTCTCAGATAGGCCATAGTAATGCAGCTTAGACAATAACACTAAGTGATTAACTCTATCAAATGCTTTTTCAAAATCGGTGTACACACAATCAACTTGAATGTTCTGATCAATAGAATTTATAACAATTTATAAATTTGAATTTATAAATTTATAAATTTATAAATATAAATTTATAAATTATAATATAAATATAAATTTATAATATAATATAATATATATAATATATATATATATTATAATATTATAATATAATATTATAATATAACTAGCTGTAACCCGCGGGCTTTGCCCCGTTTAACTTCTTAATTTTCAAGATTATCTCGTTCGCATGGCTCAATCACGTCCTGGTTGAAGTTTGTTCGCTACGCTCACTCACCTTTAGGTTGGAGCTCGTTCGCTACGCTCACTCACCTTTAGGTTGGAGCTCGTTCGCTACGCTCACTCACCTTTAGGTTGGAGCTCGTTCGCTGCGCTCACTTGCCTTCAGGTTAGCTCGTTCGCTACGCTAACTCGCCTCCAGGTTGAAGTTCGTTCGCTACGCTCACTCACCTTTTGGTTGCAAATTAGCTGTTGTAATAAATGTAAAAGAAATAATAGTGCTGCACCCTGTTGGTAATTTTTGTAACTTTAATGCTATTGAACATCACAGAACAGAACCAACTTGTTTAATTGAAACAGCTGTTAAGATTCAATAATTTCATTTCTCATAAGGTTAACATGGGAAACTCCAGAGCCACTGGGGCGGAGCCCGAAAGGATTTTTGAAATAAGAATATGCCTATATGTTAATCGGGAATGTGAGCTATCATCATGCAAAATTTCAGCCCAATCCGACCAGTATTTTTCGCGTTCACTTGTCACAAACATACATCCATACATCCATACATCCAAACTTTCTCATTTATAATATTAGTAGGATATAATATAATATATTTATAATATAATATTATAAATTTATAATATAAATTTATAAATTTATAAATTTTTAAATTTTATAATTTATAAAATTTTGGCTGAATTTATAGAATTTATAATGTTAGGGACCATTACCCTCAAATATTTAGAAATGTTAGCGGCCATTACCCTAACATATTGAGAAATGTTAGCAATGTTTTTAAATATTGATATTGGCTTTCTAAATAGGACTGGTGTCTGTTCATGAAATGAATTGAGTGAGTCAAGTGGTGAGCCAGTGCAAGAATGAACTGTTAAATTTTAAGTAGCCAATCAAAAGCGAACGCATTACTTTGCTGTCTTAGTCTTATAGTTGGTCACAATATGAATTGAGCTCAAAATCACAAAAAAATAGTTGCACATAGAAATTGCAAAACAAATATTTTTGAATAATATAATTATTTTTTTCAGATTTAATTGTATTACTTAAATATAAACATGCGCAAGAAAAAGTTACATACAACTTTAAAAATTGTTACTTTTAAAAGTCAATCTTTATGAATGGTTTTAGGCAACCAGAAGACTGGAGTTTGTCGTGGGGAGGCACCAACACTATCTACGGCTGGGGTCACAACCACCGAGGTCAACTGGGGGGTGTGGAGGGGGCGAAGGTGAAGGTGCCTACGCTGTGTGACGCCCTCAGTGCGCTACGGCCCGTCCAGATAGTCGGGGGAGAACAGACACTGCTAGCAGTCACGTCCGACGGGAAAGTGTACGCCACCGGTCAGTGTGATCTTGAATACTTGTCAATAACATAGCTAACCTAAACATAACGTTTTGAGTAGAAATATAAACTTTCTAAAGGTACAAGGGCGGTTTTTTAAGTAAAGGCCAGTTAGGGACTTTTAAGTACTCCGGTAATAGCTTTTATGTTAGGGCCGGTAGTTGTTTACTTTTATCCAATAAAAACAATGTAGAAACATTTAGTTTTGTGAATAAGACAATTTTTTATTGATGAAAGTTGGGAGTTTGAGAATTATTTAAATCCATTGTTGCATTGTATAGGCTCATATACCTTTATCTGTTAGTGCTGTATTAGAGTAAATTATAAAGTTAATGTCTAGGCTCCAGCTATTTCTAATCCGAGACCAACACCATCTTGATTATTTTGTTCACTAAAACTTTAGCCGGTTTCCACCTTTATACTGATTCAAGTATACTGACTATTGATGTTTTGATACATTATTTTGTATATATCAATCGATAAAACTTTGGAAGCAATCCAACCAAAGTTGAAGTAGAGTATTTTAAATTTAAAGCTTTAAAACATGGAAATACATAAGTTTTTAGTCTATATACATTGCAAAATATGTAAGCAAATAGTTGATAAGCATTTTAATGTTTTTGTTCTTACATCGCACAGGCTATGGTGCTGGGGGCAGACTAGGCCTAGGCAACTGTGACACAGTGACTACTCCCACCCTCATAGACTCATTGGAGAATGTGTTCATCAAAAAGGTAACATTTATCATCTCATATTCAGATCCTAGTTATTGAATCTATCCTTGGTTGTTTCAGGTGTTGAAGAGATTCCGCATATTTATGACCTTAAGATTTCCAAAAGTTGTTTTTTTTTTCTTTTTGATAAATAAATAATATGTTTTAGAACAAAGCAAATTGGATAGTATAGAAATATTTTGAAGAAGAATAGAGTTCAGCATATCAGAGAAAATTAGAGCCCAGGGGCTAATATATACACGAATAAAAAATCAAAGTACATAAAACCGATATTTCGCCCTGATATAGGACTCTTCAGATTTCCCGTCCACTTTTTAAGAAGTCCTATTGAAGGATGAATAATATCAGTGTGATATGTTGTGAATTTGTGATATTTTATTTTTATATCTATTTAGCCACTCAGGTTATATAATATTAAGCTATGATTGATAAGTCGAGAGACGGAGCTGGAAATTTGGATGGGTACAAAAAACTTACTTAGGCCTAATACAAAATATGTTTCCCTCCCTGATTAAATCTGATTTTGTCATAAATATCAGTGAACATTTCTCCAACCAACTATTTCTGCTCTCTCAATAACTTATTGCTCTGTAATTTTTTAGGTTCATCTAAATACCTTACAAACATTATATAAACTTTCCGTACACTAGGGTGTGTCATAGTAGGTTACTTATATTTTTTTGTACCTAACTCACGTTATGTATGACTTGATCTTGATACCCATTTCATAATCATCTACATTTCCCAACGGCCGTAGAATAGATTCAGCATTTTAATGGTAGATTTTTAAACTTTATTGTTTTTGTGACATCACAGACCAGTCATCTTCTCTCAGACATCAGCTGATCTTTGTAATGTTTCTCAGGTCGCTGTCAATTCCGGGGGGAAGCACTGTATGGCTCTCACCTTCGACGGAGAGGTCTACTCTTGGGGTGAAGGCGATGACGGCAAACTGGGTCATGGTAACAAATCGTAAGTCAACACTCATCATTTATTCAACACTCGTTCTTATCTTTGGCTTAACATCGGACTGTACATATTGAGGCAATCCATACATGTTAACCAACAACAGTTGTCTTTATTTCAAAATGTATGTGTCTGCAAGCTTTGTTTTGACATGAGCGAAACTATGAGTGAAGAAGGGGATGATTGCCAAATCTATTTTCATCCACCCCATTGAGGTTACTGAATCACCTAAAAGAATTAAGTTACAACCCATTTTTATGTTACAAGTTTCATTTTTATGTTAAAGCGATCGACCATAATCTGAAATCTTAGACAAGTTGTCAATCTCAGTTTTTGTCAGCTGTTTGTGTTTGTTGCAGCATGTGTGACAGACCCACCCTAGTGGAAGCGCTAAGAGGCAAGGAGATAGTAAACATAGCGTGTGGAGGTTCTCACAGTGCAGCTATCACGGTACACGGGGAGCTGTACACGTGGGGCAAAGGACGCTACGGCAGACTGGGCCATGGCGACACCGAGGACAAATACGTACCTAAACTGGTGAGTCACCATTGCATTATCTGGAGTATTGTTATTATTTCTTATTAAGGAAAATCTGATCACACCCTTTTGAAAATCCTATCATCCACAGGGCAGAGGCGTGTGTGGACAGGCCAATCCAACGTTAAAATAAGTTGTAAAAAATAGTTTATCTGTACACCTTTTTTCATGTTGTTCTTCCTATTTGTATTATGTTAATTTATTGTTTGAAACTAAATGTTCTAAATCTGAATCTTTGGTCTGATCTTGATCAGAGTTTACAGCGAAGCAGGATTCTTTTCAGATGAAAAAGGTTATCATACACATCCCAAATTACATAAGACTGCACTCATATACTGTACTCTGTTCACAAAATGTAGGCGGTTTGAGTGGAAGTTCCCTCACTAATTTCTTTTGCTTATACGTCACAGCTGATCTATGTTTTGTCATACCTCAGCTGTTGAGCTATTATTTCAGAGGTATGATCAAGTGAGAAAATAGAATTCTTCCCCTATAATCGTTTAATTTTTTTGAATGGAGTATAATCCAAGATCCAGGCTTATCTAAGTATTTGGCTACCCCATAAAGCCTTTCTATCTTTCTTGATCCTTATATCTTCCCTATTTCTTCACCCTCCAAATATGCCTTCAGGATTTTTGCAATGGCTTACACATTGGTCTCCTTCAGTCAGGGGTTTTTATCACTTGTTTTAGATCGTGATCATTCATTTTTGAAGAGTATAATTAAATCAAATCTTTTCTGTCCACAAAAAATATTTCTTAATTTTTTTTATAACTAAGGTGGAGGCATTGCTGGGGTACAATGTGGTGGACGTAGCTTGTGGCAGTGGAGACGCCCAGACTCTAGCAATTACAGACGACGACAGTGTGTGGTCGTGGGGCGACGGAGACTATGGGAAACTGGGCAGAGGTGGTTCAGATGGTTGCAAGGTAGGCTTATGGTCTCGCTTACAACGTATTCACACTAATGGGGCCATACCCTGTTCAGATACCCAAATCAGTAAGGTTATTCGTAAATGCAGTAAAATCTCATGACAACAATTAAAATAATGTTATTATTGCTGTAAATGGCAAAAAGTATCCCAAAAGCATTATGTTGCACCTCTTAGTAAATTTTGTTGTTTGACAATATATAGCTTATTGTTATTTGTTATCCTTTTCATCAAAATATATCAAATTTGAAGGTGATCAGTATACCCAGTCAATTCAAGCTGTTTCTTATGTTTTTCCTCTGTTCCTTAAATTTCACACACAAGTACTTTATAAAAATATCCTTTCACTTATAAATAATTAACTTCTGAGGGGATATACTTTTCAGACAAGGGTCCAAGGTGTCTGAAAATAGGGAGTGAACTGTATTTTACTGTAAATAAAAAATCAAACAGTAACATTGAGTTAGGATTTTCTTATAAGACCTGAAGATCCATTATGAATGTATATGGTTTGGTGTTCAGGTACCTATGAAGATAGAGTCTCTGGCAGGTCTGGGGGTTATCAAGGTAGAGTGTGGAAGTCAGTTCTCAGTTGCTCTCACTAGGTCTGGCTCCGTCTACACATGGTAAGAGACAATGTACTCGTTCAAGTCTACAACGTGTTTTATACTCACCATTTATTCATATAATATCCATACACTCATGCATGTCAGCATTTAATAGTTGATAGGAAGCAACGTATGATGGTCCAAAAAAGTTTGAAAGTTTAATAGCCGGTTTTAATGTTTCGACTTGGGAAAAAAGAATGTTTATGAGATGGATGTGGCAAGACAAGAGGTGATATATTATCCTTCCATTATTATATAAATTATCTAAAGTAGATTACCGGAATTCTTTTTACAGCACAAAATAACACCACATTTGAAGATAACTAAACTATCTGCAAAATGCAAGTTTTATTTTTGAAATAGGTTTTAAGTGAAAATGTGTTGACAGTATTAATGTTAAAAAATCAAAGATCTTAAAAGGACTAGAGCTTTGTCTCCCAAAATAATTGTTCAAATACCATTTTATTTGTCTCAACTAAATTTATTTTTTGATTGTTCAATTTTTCTCACACCTTATCTAAAATATTTGGTTTAATTGTGTATGTTATAACTAAAGGGTAGAAAATTTTAACTCCACCTTATAGCAAAGCAGGTTACAGTAATGTTTTTGTTTAATTAGGGGTAAAGGAGACTACCATCGCCTCGGTCATGGAACAGACGACCACGTGAGACGACCTCGCAAGGTAGCTGCTCTACAGGGCAAGAAGGTCATTAGCATCGCTACAGGTGGGTTGTAGACGGGTGCAAGAGTATATCATGTTACCAGTAGATGTAGGGGGTGAAAATGGGTGTATTACAACCAAAATATGAGTGAAGGATGAGTGTAGAATGGAGTGAGATGCCTTGTGTAGCTTTGTAACTGACTAAGACCAGCTGTTTTTTTAACTTTACTATTTTATTGAAAGTCCAATGATCAAGAACAGCTGGGTCTAGTTTTAAAGTATCAAAAAGTTTGTGACTTCACAGACTTGATCCAGCAACCTTTTGATTGTTAGGCAAGCACTTTACTGCTTGCAACTTAGTAGAGGGTACAGGAAATCTAAAACGTCAATGGTACAGTGGAACCCCAATAAGAAGACTCTTAATAACAATACTCTTAATAGACTCTTAAAAAAGAGACTTAGAAAACTCTTAATAGTGGCCCTTGATAACAAGTGTCATCTCTAATACAGTAGAACTTTGATAACAAGTCATATTTGACCATCCTCACGAGAGACGTCTTATAATAGTTGTACTGTATTTAAAAAAGAAATCAAAGAAAGTTTAAAGTTAAAGTTTAGAAGATTTTTTCTTTTAGACAAGAAAATTATAAAAGTGCATCTTGTTCTTGTCACAAAAACTGGTGACCACTTTAACATGGGGATGGAATGTCTAATTGTATCAATAGTCAAAAGGTTACTAAAAGAATTGTTCAAAAAGAGCATACACACAATGACAATCCTATGATTTTTGTTTATCCGTTCGAACTCTGTCTTGTAACTTAGTAGTTTTTATAATTGTTATTTCTTAAAAAAAGATATATAATTTACATTTTTAATGTAGCCACTCAAATTAAGTTGTATTTGGCACAAAGTTACTTCCAGACTCCTCTGACCTCAACCTTGTCAGTTTTATCATCCAGTATTTACAGGCTGCAAAAATAAGTCCTTGAAGAATTTGTTGTTTTTTAGGGGTGGGGGGGACATTTGACTTTACAAATGTTTGTTTTCCAGAAGTGTCAGTTCTCTAGCGTAGCAATTACTGACTTTGACTTGTGTTGTAGGGTCGTTGCACTGTGTAGCGTGCACTGACCAAGGTGAAGTCTACACTTGGGGAGACAATGACGAAGGCCAGCTGGGAGACGGTACAACTACGGCCATCATGAGACCGAGACTCATCATGGCTTTGCAGGTTAGATTGCCTAAGTTACAAATAAAAGATTTTTTGTTTAGAATGTTCTAATAAAATATAACCACTCATAATGCTAGTCTTTTGCAAAATTATAATTTCATCTATTCTGCTGCCATAAAATTTGAAGCCATATCTAAATATATCGATTGCAAGTAAGAAAAATATTTTAAGTTGTAACTCTATTTCTGAAAGACATTCAATACAACCTTGATATTCAGGGAAAGAAGATGACGCGGGTGGCGTGTGGCTCGGCGCACACGTTGGCATGGAGCACGGACAAGCCGTTTGCCTCCACTGTGCCGACAAAGGTGCCGATGGAATACGACCTGCTGAAGGAACTGTCGCCCTCGCTGATCCGCAACAGACTCGTGCTGCTGCTGCATTTCAGCGACCTGTTGTGTCCCAATGTCTCCATGTTCCCCCTCACTGGCGACGTCAGTCTCGACTCACTGCGCGGCTTCCTGGTCTACATGGTCAAGGAGATCACGTTCCGCAAGGTAAAATTAATTGGTTGATAAATTATTAGTTTTACATGTTTACAATGTCCTACAAAAGATGTAGGTATTGCATTTAATAGTTAGATAGGTAATTAATTTTTAAGTTTATAAATATTCCCATTCATGGTCAAACTTTGTGGGACTCTCAGTAAATATAGAGTTGTATATTTAATAAATTTTATTGAAAAAAGTCATGATCTTCCAATATTTGGTTTTCTGGCCTTCTGTGTCATCTTTGCAGACAGTTGAGGATAAAGAAACCATGATCATTTACTATAATGATCCATTTCCGTGTGGTAAGACCGTACTCCATAGCAAGTGACAACATTCTTTGACGCCCCTGTTTGTACTCGGAAGAACATTTAGTGCTAAGCACCAACACTTGACTGTACTTTCTGTTTTAGTGTTTGGTTTTTTTTACTACAGTATAGAGAAGGACTCATATTTTAATTTGAATTTTGGTTAAATATGGCCGTATCCTGTTGAAAGACATTTAAATTGACACTACAAAAAACATTGATAGGCTAAAGAAATCATAGATTTCCTTGTCAAAGGGTTGAACATTTGGGGTTGATATTTCAACACTCTGTCTGATATACCCCAGGTGGTGCAAGCCACGATGGTGAGGGACCGACAGCACGGGCCGGTGATAGAGCTGAACCGCATCCAGGTGAAGCGGTCGCGCAGCAAGGGTGGTCTGGCAGGACTGGACGGCATCAAGTCTGTGTTCGGCCAGATGCTGGGCAAGGTGCAGTTCCTCACGCAGGAGGCGCTGTTCCTGCCTCACCGCGTGTGGAAGGTCAAGTTTGTAGGTGAGTGGGAATATTAGCTGCGACTTTCTGGTTACGGAAATTTAACGTACTAGACGTTAAAGAAAGTAGACAAGGTAAACCCGTCTTCAGCCTGATTTAGTTATGTAGGAGGGGTCAAAAATTATGAAGAGGAGTTTGGCAATGCTGTGCAAATCGGCTGGAAGTGTAGTTAAATAGTAACTTGTGCTGACCTACAGAAGGCTGTTGCATTAAGTAGGTCAATGCACTTGGTCTGGGGGAGTTTCATGTATAGTTTAAGTGTGATGTATTGGAGGACAAAGTTAAACTGCTTTGGCCTTCAATTATCAATTATCAATTATTTAAGATGGGGACGCCACTATGTGCGTATTTTAACCCAAATATGAGTGAAGGATGAGTGTAGGATGAGTGGCGCGATCTTGTAGTCTTGTTAGTGACTAAGGCTGACATGTTCCTTAGACACAGCTGTTAATTAATAGCCCATACAGCTAATGGCAACTAAGGGACCTACAGTTTATAGTGGAATCCGAACCACATTTTTTCCTTGTAATTTACGAATTGGTCTAATTATCAGGATATTACTGCGGATAGTTGTAGTACTCACTAGTGCGGATGATAATCCACACCAGTGAGTATCGCATCCACAGTGCATCCCTATAAATATTCACAATTCGTGACCTCCTAGTAGCTGGATTACAGGACGACGCCACCCGTCCCAGTCCAGGTAAAACAATAAGTGTTTTCAAATTTGGGGGTTAGAGTCTTTTCAAAATTATTTATTTACACAGTTCCAGTCTACTATAAATCTTTGTTCGTTTATCTTTGTTTTTTTTTATGTTTTGTGGGCTAATAATCAAGATGGGTTTTGTAAACGAATGCTGAATTTTCATTCCTGAGCTACATCCAAAGTAACATTGGGTAAACGTCCGGTTACCCCGGAGCCTACCTTGTTACACCAAACTGTATTAATAAAGCTGACTATATTATGTATTGTCTCAGGGGAGAGTGTAGACGACTGCGGTGGAGGGTACAGTGAGAGTATTGCAGAGATGTGTGACGAGCTACAAAACGGCTCACTTCCTCTACTCATCCCTACCCCTAACGGACGAGATGACACGGGCACCAACCGAGACTGCTTCCTGCTCAACCCCGTGGCCAACTCACCCTTGCATCTCAACATGTTCAGGTTCTTAGGTAAGCACACCACAGTAGGCCTACAGTCCCACAAAATTGGTGTAATTAGGGACTGGTAGGGAAAGTGGATTTTAGTTTTAATTTTATCTACAAGACATGCAGTTTGAGGGTAAACTCTTTCATTTCAAACGGAATGCAGATAGTTACAGACGGTTAAGTTAATAATGCAAGACGTGTTTTGAACCTGATGTTAAGCTAGTTTGTTTTAAGAACTGTGGAGTTTATTGATACTGTACAACAAAGGTTGCACAACAACACTGATATGTTTTCCTCCTATAAGGTTTTTCTAGAGAGTAGATTGATGATAACTGGCATTTATATGCCCCATGGACTTATGATTTTTCAAGTAAACTAGCACATTTTTATATTTTTCTGAAAGATTCTTTAATTGGGCTCCTCCTTGAAATAGGATAGGATATTTCAGGTGTAGGTCCTATGACAGTCAACAGAAGCTCAAGTTAATCAAGCAAGGTGAAATTGTGGCTAAAGAATGTGCATTTTATATCTGGTAGACTTTTATGTATTTTGAGAATGTTACTTGTATTCACAGGAATGCTGATGGGAATTGCTATCAGGACAGGCAGTCCACTAAGCCTCAATCTAGCGGAGCCAGTGTGGAAACAGCTGGCAGGAATGCCTCTAACACCAGCTGATCTGCAGGAGATTGACAGGGATTATGTGCCAGGTATGGGAATTTATTTTTTTAAGTAAGGAAAGATTGGCAGTCTCTTATAACCATTGTGTTGTCACGTCCAAATAGGCCTCTGGCTTGTGAGTGGGGGTAGAATCAGACATAACATGTTTTAGAATTAGAATGAATATTTCCGTAGTTTGGCTGAGCCGCCGACAGAGTACGCTGGCGTTATTACTGATTTCTGTTTAATAGGGAATGTTACCTATCCATAAAATGAAAAGACATATTTACAAAAGCATTATCATGTCATAAAAATTATTTAAGCATTGAAAAATAAGAAAATAGAATTTTGACAGTAGCACATTCTGTAAGTGGCTCATTTATCTACGTTCTTTAATCAAAAATAGCTGGTTTATACAGATTAGCATTACTTCAGTATCCATGTGTCATGGTGGAACATGAAGCAAAGGAAAGGAGTGAGCTGAACTGGTCTGACTACACCTCACTAACCAATCTATTTGTCTTTGTCAGAAGCTAATGCTACATTCATTGTGGTTTCATCTATAGACCATAGCCTACTATAAAGTTCACTAGAAAAATTAACTCTTGGCATAATTAATACAACTAACTCTTAATTAAAAATTATATAATTTCTCTACAAACACGTATTGTACGGGTACAGAAATGGAGACAAAAAACCACAACAATAAGAATGTAATTTTTATGGCTGAAAATAGTAATTAAAATTGTCACAATCCTAACAATAACTGAATCTTGATTCATCTACATGCATATATAATGACATACATATCTATTTATAGAATTTATAAACAAGAAAGTGTCCCACATTAATATTTTTTTACTGAAAGTGATTTTATTTAAGCTCCAAGTAACAAAATTGCCCCTTAGGAAACATTCTGTTAATTCTTATTTGTATTGTTAAACCCAAAATAATCGTAAAAGCAAGTACAAAAATTAAAGCTAACAAGTAGAACGCAACATAAATTTGGACACGATTTTCATAATCCTCTTGTCTTTTTAAAATGATTTCAATAGTCAAATTGACACGGTTTATGTCACTGTCTTTAACTTGATCAGCGTGTTGATGTTCAGCTATGGGCTCGGATTGCAGACATTTTGCCTCATCCAGACAAGTTCTTTGGTTAGAAGCAAGGACAAAATTTGGTGGACAGCGACATTCTACCTTTTGTTTTGAAATGCGCAAGCACCAGTGGGAACAGTTTTGTATGTCACACAGGAAGTTGGTGCTGGCCTGTCTCGCCTCGTCAGATTGCATCTTAAAGTCATCGATTTTCTCAGAATCATTCCATAGAATCTTCACAGGGAAATCACCTTCCGATACTTGAACCTTGTACAGGATGTAGCGGCCGTTGTGTCTGTTTCCCCACACAACCGTCCCATTGGCAGACTCTAATCCAAAAGCATCTGAAAGTTCTGGGCCTTTGTAGACGACTTTGAATTGTTTAATATAGTAGTCAGTACTCACCAAGGAAGTTTCTTCTTCACCACCGATCACATATATTCTTTCCTGTTGTACATCCAGAGCCGCAAGTCTGAGTTGTTTGAAGTTATGTACTTGACTAAATATCTTTGTAGTGTTCCGTGTGTAATAGTGTTTCACCAAATGTGTTCCATTAGTGTAGAGTAAAAAATCTCTATACGAATCGACTGCGATGCTAATTATTTCTCCTGAATGGATAGAGTGAATAGCTTCGTTGGAACCTTTACGTTTCCAAAATATTACCTTTTTATCCTTACATGCCCAAAATATGGTGTAAAAGCTGAACCAATCAACCGCTAGTCCGTTTATCTCATTACAATCAGTTTCGATCAACTCATCACCACTGACCGACACATTTCCTAATTTATTGTAGCTGTGCGAGTTAAGTCTCAAAATAGATTTTTTATTAGTACTGTTTGATATATAAAACAGCTCCTTCCGAGGTAAGTAATATGTGAGACAAGGAGTTCTTAAATTGTTTCCCTTACTCAAAAGTGTCTTATTAAAATCCCCAAGAACCAAAAGCCTGATGCCAAGCTTTTCTGACGCTAACAGTAGATCTGTATCTGAAGCTCTTACCGGTAAAAGTTTATAAACTGATAGGTTTTCAGGGCTGCACTTCGTTTCATTCACTGGACTTAAAGTATTGGAGATTTCTTTACCACATAAGCATCTTGTTGCATTCATTCCAGCGTACACTGAAGACTTCGTCGTACAATACACTAAACAATCCAAGTCATTAGTGTCAGAAAAATAGTAGTCCACTGAATTCTGTTTAGTTTTATAACAACCGATAAAAACATCATCACGATTCAAGTCATGTGTGGTTGATATGAGATAGAAATTAAAAATAAAAACTATTAAAGTTTTATGTATACTGTTGTTATTACTCGGCACCATATTGCACTCTTGAGTATGACAACTTTTAAATGTTGTCTATGTCCAACATTTAAAAGAAGAATGTGACTTTCACAATCTTTTAAGGAAATGAGACTAAGGAAATTCATTCAAAGGATGATTTTCTCGTAGATGATGTCTCTGTTCGATGATAAACACAAGATTAAAATATCTTTGCCAGATTATTTCATTTTTCATTTTTAGCCAGAGATACACAGTGTAAAAATCCAAAGTACAAACCCTATCTAAATTCAAATGCAAAACAACTTCTTGACACTGCACATCCATATAGGATTATGGTATGTGCATGGAACATATCCAGCGATGCAAGGTGAAAGGCAGTACTGTATAGTAAACCAGTGAAATGTACAAATTAAATTTAGTGGCGAGCACCAGGTATTTATAAACAAACCCACAACATCACTGCATGGATTCGTAACTCGCAACTGACCAAGCCACCGACTCATCAACTGCTCAATTTTTAGTTGAATACAATTTTTCTCAAAACCTACCGTTAGCTTCAGCAACACACTTTTTGTATGGTTCCCAAAACACAGAAACCATAATTTTGTAAAAAAATGTGGCAAGGATAAAAAACTAATTAACGTTTATCTGTTTTTTTAATGTTTCTCAGTGTTCTTGGTTTATAGTAATACAGTAGAGTCCCGCAAACTCGGCTCTCGATAACCCGGCAGTCTGGATAATTCGGCCATCACCTGGCTCAGAAAATTAGTGATTTTTTGAGTCCGTGTTAAAAATGGACTCAAGCAAATCATTCGCAACTCATACCAAGGATTTGTTGTACTATATCTGATGACTTAATACTGACTTGTAATATAAATATAAATAAAAAAGACGGTTAAAAAGCTTAAAAAATTGTATTTTTCTTATTTTAAACCCTTGTTCCTGATAACCCGGCATTTCACAAACTCGGCATCCTTCCAGTCTACATTACGCCGAGTTTGCGGGACTCTACTGTATTTTTGTATGCTCATCAGTGCCGGATACTTGTTCCCAAGTTTGCAAGTAAATCATGTGTAAGGGCTGTAACTGAGTCATCTGAACATGCAAGGTCATTCACCCTGTCTGCCACTGTTGACACACCCCCTTCTTTGCATCAACATATGACCTACTATTTATTTTTTAGCACTATTTTATACCTTGTAGACCCTAAGACTACACTTCACTTTGTGTCAAGATAGTGCAGAGATAACTCTAATCATAATTGAAGAAAGGGTGTTTCAAACATTAAAAACAACAGCAAATAAGAAATTGTTTTTTCTTGAACAGTAAACAAATCTTGTTCTTAATATCATAAATGACATCAATTGAGTTTTATTATCATGTATGTACATTTATTGTACAATAGATTTATCTAAAGCACTTGTGTGTATTTAGTGCATTCAACTTTTGTTTAATGGTGGGTGATTTTGCGACTTGCTTGCAAAACTTTATTTTCTGCGGTATCCGTTTCAGTCAATTTCACGAATGACTGGGAATTTACCTGAGAAGTTGTTAGTTTTTGTTTGTTGTTGCAGGACTGCTCTGTATCAGAGACATGAGTCCTGATGACAAGGAGCTGAACACACTAGACATGCCGTTCTCAACTCCCTCGGCCACCGGGGTCGACGTGCCTCTGTCCTCCACTCATCGTAAGGTCACGCCCCAGAACAGGGAGGAGTACATCCGTCTGGCGCTAAACTACAGGTAAAAGTCACAGTAGTTGAAGAGATTATTGCAGAAATGATCCATCATAATGAGTAAAAAGTGTTTTTCATAATTTTGGGTCTGGAATCTGATGCCATCTACTGGTTAAGTGAAAAGTAAAATAATAACCTACAATATTTAGAGAAAACTATATGTGTACGCAAGATGGTGGCTCTCGGACCGCAACAAGACGGTTATCTCGCTAGAGCCATCATCGTAAGTAGACATGTCCATTTTGTTTAATGGCAGCATTCATGTCATAAATACCATTAAAGAAGTATTTTAAGCTCTGTATCTCAGACAGCCGCTTGTTCCATCTGAATGAATCAAATTGTGAGTCAAATGGTGTTTATGCGCTGTGTTTGCGCCCCAGGTTCGAGCTCAACTTAAACACTGCTCTTTTCCTCACCCCTCACCACCTGTTAGGTCACAGAAGTGGAAAACGTTTTACCATATTTGCCATGGTAAAGCGCCGTGTCTGAATCGGAGCAATGTGCAATGCAGGACGCCACGGAAAAACCAGCTTGGGGGGCACGCAGTTTTTCAAAATCTCAATGTTGACTTATTGCGGTGTGTAGGTTGCACGAGTTTGACGAGCAGGTGGTCGCAGTGAGGGAGGGGATGGCCAAGGTAGTGCCAGTCCCACTGTTGACGCTATTCAGTGGCTACGAGCTGGAAACCCTGGTATGTGGCTCGCCTGACATCCCCTTGGCGCTACTCAAGTCTGTCGCTACGTACAAGGGTGAGTGGAAACTTCAATGTTGTAATGGATAAGATAAGGGGTAGCACGTAAAAAGTCTTGAATATAAGCACAAATTTTAATGTACAGTATACAATCTACTTATTTTCTTAAATTTTAATTCATTATTAAACACATAATTTGATTTTAAACATTGTTCATGATTATCTTCTTCTTTATAAATAAAATTAGAGTTTTGTCTCTGCAACACTTACCACCAGTCATTGTAGGCCATTTGTCATGATGGCAATAAAATTGAATGATTCCAGCTTTATTCTAGTTTTATTGGTTTATGATTGTCTGGTTACCAAATAAAAAAAATATCCTACCTGCTGAGTGCTTACTAAGCAAATTTCCATTTGCCTGATTGGACTTTCCTTGAATATTTCGTTAAATATGTCAGATTGATTCCCTATACAAGAAACATTACGTTTAATGAGTACTTAGGTTTACTGCTACAGCAAATAAAGTAATAAAGGTAATAAAGTGTATTTTAATTTAAATGTTTATAATTTAGTATCAAATTTAAAAAAAAATCCAAGTTTTATCAAAATATATCCATAAACAAGCAAACTACAACAATTTACTTATTCACCATGAAATTAACAAGGGAATTTTTAATTTTTTTAGTAACCAATAACCATACAAAAACTCTTCAAGATACAAGATTATTTGTTTTTAATGCCCTACAAAATGACGTGGAGAATTTTATCCCATAAAAACCCGTTCCCATGGTCTGATCATGCTGGTTTGCGAACTCGTTCAATTAAATGTAGGTTTACACGTTTGTACTAAGTTTCATCAAAATCAGAGAATTTTTACTCGTTATTATGCTAACGGGCACATATTGATATATATATGTGAATTTGTACGGATGGTATTTCTGGGAACATCAAAACGTAGAAGCAGATAGGTCCGGGTCTAGGTCTTACCTTGAGACCTACAGTAATAGCTTATACCCTTGATGGGAAATTCGCTAAAAGATCTTTGAAGCATATACTGTTGTCGTAATGACACCAATATTCGTGCCCAGGTGTGGAGGCGAGTGCTCCGCTAGTCCAGTGGTTCTGGGAGGTGATGGAGGAGTTTTCCAATCAGGAGCGATCTCTGTTTCTCAGGTTTGTCTGGGGTCGCACTCGGCTTCCTCGCACTATTCCCGACTTCAGAGGACGAGACTTCGTTCTACAGGTGTGTTGTCAGTCAATTTTCTATGAATTTCCTACTTTACAGCTTCTCATCCCATTGTAAATTTTGAAGCTTGTTATACATATCTAGTTCATGTCCAGAGACACTGCTAGTGTTAGTGCTAGTGCTAGTGTCGTCAAAATTTTGTTTTTATTTTTTTAGGGTTAAATTCATGATTTGTGCTTTACAGCTTGGTTATATAACTACGGGACGAGTTATTGTTTATGATAAGATCGTTTTATTTGGTTAAACGAGATTTTAAATGACTGAAATAACAAGAAACAAATTGTAAACAAAACAACCTCTACTGTGCACTGGACAGATAAATTGGCTTCAGCTGTTCCAAAAGGGTGAGAAATCTACTAAGGGAGTACTTTTTATCTATTATATTGTACTTAAAATGGTTTACAATACCTGCATATAGTAATCCTTTGTTGCTGATTTTGGCAACTAGTTTCGGTTCATTATTGAACCATCTTCAGGCCTCAAGGTGTCAAATAATCACTTCATTCGAAGGTCGTTAATAACAGAGTTCAATAAATAAGACATATACAAAACACGATACACGGAACGGACACACATTACAAAAAACACGAAAAACACGAAGGGAGATTGACGATCGATCGTGATTGGGCTGAGGTAAAGTCTAGACTCTATATATTGTGTCTAGACTTATTATATTGTGCTTACCTTACTGACACAAATATTTGAAAGTACACATGAAATCACAAATATTAGCTTCTTCTTCAGTTGTATTTTCAACTATTTTCTGCTGTTTTAGTCTAGTAAAATTATGATTTGACCTGGGCAAAATTGCTTCATAAGCGATTGAAGTGGTATTCTACTCAACAAATGTCGCTTTACAACATATCCAAAATCCGACAAAATCCATCCATGGGAAAGTGACTAAAATCAGAATTTAAAATGGCGGCTTTTCCCAACATTGGACAAATTGAAAAAAACATATTTCACATGCATTTGTTATGCACATTTTTCGAGATATTGACTTAGGACCACCGCCTGTATTTATTGGGTGGTTAGTACTTCATTTTGATAGGGAACATGTTTTTGGCCGCCATCTTGGATCCGCCATATTGGACATACATAATTTTTTATCAATGCAATGATAGTGTTGTGACACATTATTACCAACTACATTTTTACACTGATTTAAATGCCGAAATCCGTTTTTAAATATCTTTATTCATTTAGAAGATATATTCAAACGAAAACTCTCCACCATACATTTCTTATGGACGTTTCGTAGTTTGATAATTGTTTTAACATTATGTTTCTTATATCTCCAGTTCTTATTGACGCTTGTAGTTCGTTCTAGGCTTAAAATATTCAGTAATGTAAGGGCTTTCATTTGAGCTCTTGATCATTAAAATCAGACGAGTTGAAGACCAGCGACGAACCTCAGAACAATATTAAATTTAACTTTTTAGAAATATATTTTTATTAAAAGATTTATAACTCGGGTTGTTAATACGTCACAAAGTTATTTCTGGTCTCAAATTACTCAGTAAATGTTTGGCTTTAATTTTATTGATCATTAAACAAAATCTGACAATTTTAAAATGAGTCATGGTTCTTAATTAACCATTAAAATGTATTTATTTTGAAATTTGTCTTTAGTTAAGGACATATATCCCAAACCCTAATAACTCCTGGAAAGTAATCCATAGCTAAAATAAAAGTCAATAATTTGGCGAATTATTTAAGACTATAAAGAGTTTTGGGAGTTATTTAGAATTGGGGATATACGTCTTTACTCAAGAGAAATTTCAATATAAATACATTTTAATGTTAAATTATGGTCCATGACTCATTTTAAAATTGTCAGATTTTGTTTAATGATCAATAAAATTAAAGCCAAACATTTACTGAGTAATTTGAGACCAGAAATAACTTTGTGACGTATTAACAACCACCCAATAAATACAGGTGGTGGTCCTAAGTCAATATCTCGAAAAATGTGCATAACAAATGCATGTGAAATATGTTTTTTTTCAATTTGTCCAATGTTGGGAAAAGCCGCCATTTTAAATTCTGATTTTAGTCACTTTCCCATGGATGGATTTTGTCGGATTTTGGATATGTTATAAAGCAACATTTTCTGAGTTGAATACCACTTAAATCGCTTGTGAAGCAATTTTGCCCAGGTTTAAGGGTAATTTGTCTTAGTTTGACTGGACTATTTAACCTATCTACCACAAAATCCTTAAAACCATCTATATCTTTATCAAAGAATTCCAACTATTTCATAGTTAATTTATGGATCCGTACATTTTCCATCACTATTGGTAAAAACAAAAACTGGGTTTGATGATATTTCAGGATTTTACATCTGAGCACGTCAAGAAGAACAAGTTTGTTTCTCCCTAACCACAATAATCATTCAATAGCATAAACATACCATTGCAAAGAATAAAATACAAGCAAAGATATCATTTGTTAGTGACATCTAATTTTAAAGGGCTGTAATCTATATAATATACAAAGGCAGGGCTGTATATTGCATAAAGGTCTCTTTTTCAAAACCTATAAAAATGCTATGTGTTTCAACGAAATTTTTTTACTTTCTTGTGAGGGAAAAGTTGAAACCCTGTTCTTGCTATCTAAAGTTAAAATTTTTAAGTACGTATAAATGGTTGGCGATCAAAATAGATATATGGTGCCTCGTGCAAAACTCATTTGGTAGTTTTGTTTTTGTACTCATTTTGATGGAAAGTGTCTGCAACGATTCCTTAAATTTAATAAATTTACCATCACCAAAAGTGAACATCAAGAAAAGAATTATATTTGTAATCTTATTTTGTTACTAAATAATTAGTTTGGTTTTACTTTAATCGACTACATTGAATAATGAATGTTCAACACAGGTTCTGGACAAGTACAATCCTCCCGATCACTTCCTACCAGAGAGCTACACTTGTTTCTTCCTGTTGAAGATGCCACGCTACTCGTGTAAAGTAAGTGTTCTTTGTGTTCTTTAACTTCTATGTACCTGCCAGATTAAAATCCCACTATATCACAAATAGATTTTATCTAAATGATAATGCCGCAACCCCTAGGTCTAGCCTGAAGTAATATGAAAAACTATCCCGGGCTAGTGCCTAGTGTCCTAGGACAAAATAAACCATAAACTTTGGAGCGGTTAACTTTGAGACTGTTATATCCTTTATTTATAATATAAGTAATAACATTGACTATGGGTTGTATCAATAGTCCATGGTATAAATTATGTTATTATACCATTGACTAGTGTACTCTCTGAAAAATTAATAATTTCCCCTTGAAGTTTTGTCAATATTTATGAAAATGAAAATGCCTATTTAGGCTAGGGATTGTGGCAAGAATGTTTTTTTTTTTATTCCTGTAAAAATGGTTCAAATTATTAAAGGGTATAAGACCAAATAATATTTACTATTTTTAAGAGATTTTTCTTTTCAAGCGATTCATTTTATTGCAAATTTTGTAAATATCTGATGGCCATTCCAATAAAGTGATAATCTATATACTTCTTTCAAAGATTTTTTAATACAGTACTTGTTTGTTATTTTTTAGTTTAACCAATAAATTTGTTTTTGTTTAAACCTTTAAATACGACTATGAGAGGTCAGAATATTCCATTTTTATAAAATAATCAGATAAGGGCTACATATCATGAAATGCTTATCGGGAAAATAATAATGCAAAACAAATAATCATGGTTCATGTACAGTCACTTCCTTTTAAATGACCTAACTGTATAAAATTAGCAATTAGTCCAAGTAATCTTGTGACAGAAAACAACAAATAATCTGTTTTGTATAAGTTTTCTTTTTGTGCTTACCATAAATATCAATATAATATTAGAATATAATATCATCTTTCTAAATACTGTACTATTACAAACAAAGAGATTTCTTCTAGTTTCGTAGGCTTATAAAACCATCTATTCTTTAAATCTTTTTATTTAAAAGTAAAAGTATTATTATAGTACAGTAGACTCCTGAATATCCATGATAAATGAGTGGCTGAATAATTATTGTGGATTATTGAAATAGTGAATAATGCAAACCAAACCTAAAATGTTCATAAAATAACAAACTTTGACTTTGAATGTAGGCCTACAGTTAAGCTTTAATACAGGTTTAGGTAATAATAAAACATTTTAAATCCAGTGTAGATAACTTTTTATTTTGTTTTACAAAACAAATAATAATGCAGAGCATAGGCCTAGTAATAACAAAAGCACATAAAAAGTTGGCCTACCTTTTCTAATAAATCTTAACTATAAGCCCTGGATGGAAAATCAAATTTATGTATATAATGAAATGTACAATTAAATTTACAAGTTCAACAAGGCCAATATATAATAATTTTATTTGTATTTAAATAAATAAAATATTTAAGTTAATAAAATAAAATTGTTATATATTGGCCTTTTTGAACTTGTAAATTTAATTATACATTTCATCATTAGTTGCCAATACAAGTTATAAATTCATGTATGTTCACCATGTAATCTCAACAGGGATGAAACAGTGTAACATTTTATAGCGGAATGGCCTATTTTTAAAAAGTTGGATAATTTTTGTTTAACAAGTTGTATCTAAATGAATATGAGTTTTTTGATTTTTTAAATGGCAAAGATTGGCGGGCGCTGGAAAATTATCTTAACGAGGCGTGGATAAAGATGGGAATCGATAATGGAATTTAATTATTAAATTTAAGAATTGAGTTCTCAATACAAAAGTGGGAAAATCGATGTAATTTAAAAGTATATACAACATATGTTGATGTCAGAGTTGCAACCTGTTATATTTTTATAATGTCAACAAAATACCTATTTAAATGTCATGAATCTGTTGTTTGTCAAGTTCTTGATGGTTCTTTATTACAGTTGATTCTCCGCGAGAAGTTGAAGTACGCGATACACTTTTGCAAGTCCATCGACACAGACGAGTACGCAAGGGTTGCGATGCCTCGTTCGCTCCATGCGAGCTCCAACAGCGAGAGCGACGGACTTGAGAGCATTGCAAGCGAAGAGATTGGCTCATCATAAACTGCGAGTGTACGCAATTAAATCGCTTCAAACATGGAAAGTCGTACTACCAGTCACAAAATCCTATTAACCAAACTTCTACCTGGTTTTATCTGCTCTTAAATTTTAGTTACCTTTTCTACCATTTGATATTTTAGTACTGTCTAGGATGTAAGAAATATTTTGGTTGAAGACCGAATATGCCTATCTTCTAAATAACCACACAACTGCCGAATGTATATTTTGTATAGTCTCGTAAAATTTAGTATTTTTGTATATTTTAATGTCATATTTTTAGTTATTGTGTTAAAATTAAAAATAATTAATTTACTGTGATTTTAAATTGTTTATTGTAGATGTTTGAATAGGTGTTCGTAATGGTTTTAGCTTAGTTATTTTTATTGTCTTTTGTATGAGCCATTAAATAGTATTAAAAATTAAAGTATATTAGGTTTTTAGGATTTTATTTAATTTTTTTTTGTCTATTATAAAGCCATTATAACTTGTTAAAGTGTTGTTTTTTTAAACTATTTTTAATTAAAGAGTTATTACTAAAGAGTATGATTATTGAAAATTAATATTTACTTTATTACTTATATATAAATGAATTATTTTTCATTAAAAGGAAATTCTGAGAATGTATCTTTATATTTATGAGATTTAAATGAACAATTCAATCATGGTGATAAAGAATCATTTGTTTGAAATTATTCCATGAGTAATTGTAGAATGCTTCATTTTGTTTCTTCAAAAAATATATACTAGAACGTTTATTTTTACATGAATATATCAATACTGCAAAGTGCACTGCTAAAAGCATTCATAATTTGATGGCGGTATTTTCGTTTTAGAAAACGTTGCTTGTCAAACTAATGTTGCTTACTTGTAGACATTTTATAGTGGTTTAGAAAACTTGAAATCATTCAGAGCCATTGCACTGGCAACCACCATCAAAATGTATGTGATAAATAAATGTTTATTAAGAAACTGCTATTTACATGAAAATTCTTCAACCCTTACATCATGAGAACGTTGGAAACATTCTCATCGTTTTTTTCAATTGATTCACAATAAATTTACCTTTACTCAGCAAAAAAATAACAAAAAGGTTTAAGGTGTGTTTCTGTGTCTTTAGTGTAAGCCTATAGTCTTAATCAAATCTTAATTCATCGTTTTGTACATGGAGTACAATGAAAAATACCAATGATATTCCAATTACTAGATTATCTTAAAACTACAAACCTCCATATAAATATTTACTTTTAAATTCTATAAGTTACAATTAAAACTCATCTTGTTGCGGTTTAAACTTCATGAACATCACCATCCCAATTCAAATGTTAATTTGTGTTAAAACTAAGAAAATGTAAACTTCTGTTATGTGATTTGTTTCATATCTTATTCCATACAATATCATATTCATATCTTATCATCTATTATTCTTAAGCCATTCAAAAGGCCTATTCAGTTTTTGGCACCTATTTTAAATGTAGAGTGTAAGTTTTTTGTTTCTTTTTTGTTGCACCGTTTGTTTTTTTTTTTTGTTTTTTTTTCTTTTAGAAAACTACCAATCTTATATCATTGACCTCAAGCATGAATTTGAACCATACTAACCAAAACAAAACAATCTTCTATAAATATTAACCCAATATTTAAATATGAATTTTTTCTTATAGAGTTGTTGATAGTTGAAGTATTCCTATAATTCTAGATATGATTTGTACTGTAAAAATCAAAGCAACAAATAGCTATTTTGTTAGCTCCGAAGAAACTGTGGTTGTTTACGTCATTTTGGGACCTTTAAGAACCCTGAGGGCCAAATAACCAATATCTTGATGAAAACAAGTGGGAGAGGTGATGCATTACTTTAACTGTGAGCCAATACACATAAAGTAATTGGTTTATACTCTTGAGATTATCATCAGTGTAAGAAAGCTGCAGGCTCTTCTATAAGATTAGAGCCTTTTTAATTATTTCTTATGTTTTATATGACTAAAAACGAAAAGAAATGTGTCCCAATCACAGCTTACATGAGGTTGACATTTGTTTAGTGTTTTTAATGTTTACATTTTAACCTTGATTTAGTGATTGAATTTTATTTACTTTGCTTAAACACTAGTGGGCTAAAGTGTTATTACATTATTTAGGCCTGGCAAATAATTATATTATGTTTAGTGGTTAGAATGCTTACCTTTTTATCTGAAAGTAGTCGGTTTGATTCAATGAAAAGCTAGAACCACTTCCAGAATGTTTAAAATGGGACCTATTATGTATTTGATCCTTATATTAATAATTTGAATCTATTGAATTATCTTGGCTTTAGTTATTAACAAAGTGTAAACTACAATGGTTTTTAATGATTTTGTAAGGGACTTCACACAATTGTACCAGTTCCTGAAGCATTGTCCATTGAAAGAGTTGAGACCAAATCAATTGAGATGAGGACGCCACCTAGGTGCGTATTTTAAACCAAATTGAGTGAAGGATGAGTGTAGAATTGATTGAGATCTTACTGCTTCTCAGCATATGGCAACAGCATTTATTTTCTTTGAAACACATGTGTCAATTGTAATGTCTGAAAAACTAGGCAATTCGTTTCATTTTATGTTTGAAAAGATTTTATCTCTCTTTGTTTCAGCCGTTGGTTGGTTGTTGATGTGCTGCATGACCCACTTATTGTTTGTTTGTGAGCCGGACTATTTTCTTTCTCAGGATATGGTTACTCAGCACAGGACACGGTGGGAGGCTTCACATCCCAAGAGTTTCCTTAGAGCTTGGGAGGAAGATATTCTCGTACTATGAACCCTTAATGCACAAAGGTATATCTAACGGCCTAAAAAATGTTGCATCCAGCAATGCATTTTAGGAAAAGCTTTAAACATGTTTAAAAGATAGACCTAAGTTTATAACAGCCAAAAATAAGTTTAATACCTATTCTAAACTATGTATTGTAATAACATAAGTTAGTCTGAAAGGCTGGAGTACCAGAGAAACACTCTATTAAAATTTTTATTTATTTGCCAAACAACTCGCTCACATTTGTGGTATAAAAAGTTGTCCAATCTTAACGACTATGACTATTAATTCAATTTAACAACCAATATTTTATAGATCCACCTGTCAAACACTTCAGTCAGCAAATCTGAGTGATTATCAAGTTTTCAAATACCTACAAGTGGGGTGATTCAATTTAACGAGACTGTACACAACAAAGACCTTGGAAGTAGAGGAACGGTTAGGGCCTCGTGGGCCGCACCAAGTTGTAATGGAACGTCTGTTAAACTTAGCCAGTTTTCTGAAGTGATAAACTCGCCTAAAGGTTGTACATTAAGTAATTGCAGCCGCTCCCCTGACTCCCTCTTCATTCACTTCAGCGCGACACTTCGTCGAGCTCGGTCGCACGCTTCAGTCGACTCCCATCACTCCAATCTTGAACTTAAGTAAACACTTTTTGATTCAATTTTGAAATTTAAATTTACTGTTTTGTTATGATTGAGTGTATTTGTAGTATGTTTAAGTTTCACTTTTTAACATACTTGATTGACGAACCAACCACCCAAGTCTCCTTAAATAGTTTTTATTTTTAGGGAAAGTCTTTAAATTAACCATTATAGTAAATTTTTAAAAAATGGTGGATATTTCCTTCCATTGTTAAAAAAGTAGATTAGAGATTTTCAAATATTTTATAGTTTTTTAAGTGTTGTTTTTAAAAATATTAAATTATATTTTAATTACTAAAAACATGCATTTAATACATTACAAAATCTTATAAAATTTTTGGACTGTAATTATAAATATATGATATTTTCATAGCTGATAGTTCATAACAAAGTAGCCTACTCTTTCTTCTCTTTCGCCATCAAAATTAATCATATTAAACTACTTTAACTACTACAGTGTAGAAGAATTATTTTTTAAGCTACTTATTACCTTTGCTTAAAATTATTTTAAATTTATTTTATTACATTGTGATGTTGTGCATATTCCTCTATTGTCAAATATTTTTACACTCTGAAAATTGGAGTGTTTGAAATTTTCAAATGTTCACTGCCTTCCAACTATGATTTGTCAGTTTGATATAAATTTAAAAAATCATATAATTTTCAAATTTCTTTCTATCTAAATATTTTTATTTAGAAATAATCGAACCAATACTAACAAATTGTTAAAATAGAGAGTTCAGTGTTTTCATTAAATATCCTATAGAATTTTTGTTGTTTGATAAACATGTGCAAAAAACAGGTTTTAAAATTCAATGTTACAATACTAATCCCACTTCCCTTTTAGTTTAAAAAAAATATTAAAGACCAAGAGTTGTATATTCATTACCAATAGTAATAGATGTGGGATTTGCTGAAAAATAACCAAGTTAAAAACTTTTTTTGGAACATTGAGTAAAAAACGAGGATTACTGATTGTGAATACAATGAAATGTCATCCTTTAAAATAGTTCTTAAGTGGAGAAGTATATGTTGTTGTTGTCAATGCAATGCCTAGGTTCACCCTATTTATTATCTTATCAGCTAAAATAAAAACTACATTCTGTTAAATTTATTTTTATGTACACGTTTATTGAATCTCTATTTGTATGCACATGAAAAGTACTACAACTCTAGAAAAAAATGTAAATTCCTAGATTTAATATTGAAACAATTAAGCCTTTTGACTTGTAGTAGCGAGGATAAAAGAATGTGTACTTTTTCTGTACATATTTATATTTACAAACAAAACTTGTATATTCTTTTCTTTTATACTGGGACTTTTTTTGGGTTAAACGGCTGAATAAGTAAAGATGATTGCCATGATTGTATGCACATGAAAAGTACTACAACTCTAGAAAAAAATGTAAATTCCTAGATTTAATATTGAAACAATTAAGCCTTTTGACTTGTAGTAGCGAGGATAAAAGAATGTGTACTTTTTCTGTACATATTTATATTTACAAACAAAACTTGTATATTCTTTTCTTTTATACTGGGACTTTTTTTGGGTTAAACGGCTGAATAAGTAAAGATGATTGCCAATTTCTTAACCATTTTATGTTATACTATTGGACTATTGGATACTGGAGTTGTATCAATAGTCAAAGTTTCTATGTAGCCTTAGTTTGTCTATTAAAGCTACTGTAAGTTTACAAATCCAATCCATTTAAAACAATTAAAGCGTTATAAAACTGTTTCATTTCTTTTTTTATTCAGACTTAAAGCAAAAACTTTTTAGTAGATAGGAAAATAAACAGTTCATATAAATGGGTCGCGGAGTTAATAGAGGCCTACTCAAGTACAAATTTCAAAAGTTTATAAAAAAAGTATCTTTGGAAGAATTGGATTAAATTTTTATTATTTTTTTCTTTTGAGACATTAATTAGTACTGATTTGTAACTTCAGGTTAATTTTAGATTGTAAATAGATCAAAAATTTGTTTTTTACCAAATTTGTACCGGTACGAAAACTTCCAGGTAATTACCGTACCAATAACACGACAGGTTTAAGGTTTAAAACATTTGTATTGAGTTGAGGATGGGTAAAGACAACTTGATTTGGAAAATATTATAGTACTGTACGAAGGAACATAACTGTGTCTTTTCCATTGTTTATGTGAACCAAACGTACCATTGAATAAGAGGATTCGACCAGGAGATGTCTCAATTACGTGAACTAGATTTAGCATTGACTTTGGATACAGCAAGTAGACATTCCATTTACATATAACAGACGTAGCATTGACTTTAAAAAAATGATTAATATACTTGCTCCGCTCAATATTTAGTTTTTAATTTTTTTTCATGTCAAAGAGCAAAACAAAAAAATGTTTTTCCATCTTATTACATTACAGAATCAAAACTAACATTTAGTAAGGAACTACCCTTATGTAAATGAACCAATGTTGGACAAAAACTTCAAAAATTTGTTATTACAAAAGTATTTAGAAACATTTTAGTAACAAACCACTTTTAATTAATCCGTGGTCATCTATTCTAGAACAGATTGCGTCTCGGCCCTTGATCATTGGACAAGAGGCTTTTAACAAATGCATACTCTCTCTAATTCAATCTTGTTTACTCTTTAAAGCAGTTCTCTTTCACTAATAAAACTCAGGAGATAAATATACTTCCACCTGATTGCATTGCTAAGTTTCTTCAGGGATCTTAAGAGAACAAATTCAACCCAACTCTGCAGGTCGATTTTTCTCCAAAATAGTTGTATTATTAAGTCTTTTTAACTTCCCTGAACTATTGTTTTGAATTATGATGTAAATTGAAAAAAAAATAGTGAACAAGAAAGCTAAATATTTAAACAATGGTAAACTAGAAGGGTTATTAAGTTTTAGATGCCTTAGTGCCAATATTCTATTATGTATTTGTTATTTGAAAGATAAAATATAGTGTTGAATAAGTCTAATTAAGTTCTGATTTTCTCCTACTCAAATTTTATATTCCTAAGTAATAAATTTATTTTATTATGGGCATGGGATGCATTTTTTAAGCATAGCTAACAGTTTTTTTATTATAAAAAATCTATTTAAATGAGTAATTCTACGCCATTTAAAAAGTTGATCAGTTTAGTTTCTTGAAATTTTATTGTAATACATAAAAACAAATTCATAAAATGTATTTTTAAATGTCTATTATCACTTGTGATTTATGTTGATAGAAAACCCAAATTTAAAGATGTTCAGAGTAAGATATCCCGAGGGTATTTGTATGGTTTAAATGCTGGATCCTTTTAATTTACAAACAGCTTAGAATGAAACCACACGGGGGTTGCCCTTTAAGACACCACCCTCCCCCAAACTTTTCCTCCTCTGTTCTTATTGACTGTTTTTGTAAATGACAAAGTTTAAAAGAAGTACAAATTTTAACTGTATAGTATATTTTACATAGGTAATTAACTAAATAATCAGTCAAATATTTTATCATGAAGGAAAACACAAAGAACCCCATAAAAAGCAGAAAAATTTATCCTGGAATAAAACTTATTGTTCAAAATAAATAAATGGTATCAGCAATTTGACGCATATTTTCTCCCATAAGCTTGTCAAGTGGGAGTAACTGGGATATTTTATAGGGGAAAATTACAAAAGTTGCTTAACATTTGAACCGTAATTGTTACACTATTTTGTTTAGAATTATAAGGACCATAACACGTTAATTTTAATCAAAACCCGCTTTTTTCCTAAAATCTGATTTTGTTCCTATTTTTTGTGGTTTTTCATGGGAAAATAGCATAAGTTACAATAACTTTGGAACCGTAATTTTTACGGAAATGGGATTTGGCTTTGTACTATTTTGTTCAAAATTTAAAGGCCCGTAAAATCGAAACCGGTCTAATTCCGATTTTTGTTATTTTATGGGGTTTTTATGGGAAAATAACATAAGTTACAATAACTTTGGAACCGTAATTTTTACAGAAATGGGATTTGAACCATTTTGTTCAGAATTTAAAGCACAATAACATACTTAATTTACTATACAAATCGTTCAGGCCATTTTTGGGAAAATCCAGATTTCTCCGTTATATTATGGGTTCTTATGGAAAAATCAAAATTTAAAAAAAAATTATTAAACGCCTGGAGATACCATGGATTAGTACCTACATACCAAATTTTATCAAAATCGGACAACAGGTGTGGTCTGAAGCTCTGTACACATCCACACACACAGACGTCGCTTTAAAAAACCACTTTTTTGTGTTCAGGGGGACCCAAAACGTATATATCCACTCAAACTCGAACATTTTGACGATACGATACTTTCTCCAGATACATGGTGTAGGGGGATGAAGTAAAAATAGTTCTTACAAAATTGTTATTGTCATATTATGTGTTGTTTATCCATGTAGGGATAATTCTAAGAATTTAATGAACTTTGTTCATTGCTAGAAAAAATGTGAGAGTGTATTTAGCCTAATTTGTAGTAGAGTTTTCCTTTGTTTTGGCAAAATACACAAATAAAATAATTGTTCCCTCTGTTGCTCTTCTTTAAAAAGTTAATATTTAAAGAATTTTGAATGTTAATATAATTTACTGTATCAACATTAATACAATTTAATGTTAATATAATGAGTTTAACCGATTTAAACTATTTTATTCTGATAAAATATGTGATTTAGAATGTATTTAAATTTAAATCAGTGACATCAGTAACTACTAAGATACCTGGTCGCCATTTCAGAATAAAGTATAAAGTACTGTATTTGATTACTTTTGAGCCTATATCAAAACTATCGTTTTCTGAGTTATATAGACACAAACTGCATAAAAGGACTGCAGTTCTGGGACTCATTCATGTTGAAAATAGGAATCACTATGGTAGTTTTAAAATGTCCCTTCTTGCTAGGGTGTTTTATCAACCTATACCTAGATAAAACAGTAAAAACTAAAACATTGTTATCCCAGTTTACTGAAAACGAAAATACACATGTGAATTGAAATACATATTGATATATAGGTATTTGTTTACCAATCTTAGCCTACCAATTAATAAACGTTATGTTTATGTTATAACTTTTACAGTAAGCATGGCAATGGGTCCGCAGTTGATGGTAGCAATGACAATACTTGCAGTCCTTCTACCTCTCTCGTTTGCGGACAGGTGCAGAGAGATTTGTGAAAAGGTGGGTGAATTTGTTTGGTTTATTTATTTGATTATTTTTATCAGACTAACCAACACAAGTAGACTTCTCATCCCATTGTGAAATTTTAAGTTAGTTTTCAAGTCTAGTTCATGTTGGTGACGCTGATCGCAAGTGTCGCCGAAATTTTGTTTGTATTATATTAAGATTAATTTAATTTCATGATTTGTGCACGATCCTAGCAGCACCAGAAGAACTAACAATAAAAATGTTCTTCAGCTGGAGCTGATCAATAAGGATGACAAATCTTCTTAGGGATTATAACCATGTACCTATTTATATTGATGACCAAAATAAACTAAGGGGTATTTGTAACCCCTACTACTAATATATATTTTTTATCCCAGTTTTAAGAACCAACTTCAATTATATTAAGACTATAACTTTGTTGTAGCCTGTAGTTCTTGAGTAGGTAAGATGTTTTTGTCCTCCTATGCATTTCACTAACTTGTGTGGTATCATCAGGGGTCTTCAGAAAGTTGTCTCCTTACCACTAACACTATTTACAAAAAATATTCCAAGAAATTAATTCCAAGAATTGGATGGGAGAAAGAAAAACCTTCCGCCGTGTGTCCATTGTCACTTTCTCTGATCGATCTAGCCACAATATTACAAAGGTACTAAGCCTAATCAAATAGCACTAATAGTAGGGCCTAACTGTTTTACTAATATAAAAACATAAATCCATAAACCTAGCTATACATATTTACAAGTGCTCACCTTTCAAGATTAATTGGCATATAAATAAAAACAGCAGAATGAATTTAATGTTTTTTATGTTAAAAACTTTACAATTTTAGCTGAGGCAATGTCAAAAGTCATTGAAATGTAAAATCACTGTAAAGGTTAAAAGTTGGAAGAAAAAAATATAAAACCAACCTGTCTGTATAGTAAATTTACGACTCTGCAACCTTTTTCACAATTGGAAGAATCTGCTTACGAGTCGCCTTGACATTGAGTTGTTCAAACAACACTATTTCTTTAAAAGAGCAAGAAATAGGATGTAATTTTAGATCAGGGTTTGTACTTTCTTTTAGAGCTAACACTAGCTTTGAGGCAGTCTCTGAGTTAGAGCTTGAATACACTGCTAAATCTCTTGTTATTGTCTCAGGGTTTGCTTCCATTCCATAGAGCACACACTGATCGGTCTTGAACTGGAAACAAAATGAGTTAAGGGCATCTACTGCGTCTTTCCGTTCTAAGAACTTTTTAACTTTAATTGGGAATCCTGCAATAGGGATACCAGCAGTCACTTTCATGTCCTTAATTAAGAGTTGCGCGGACGTAAGGGAAGAAACATCTTGTTTGGCTGATTGCAGTTCATTGAACAGTGTGTTACGATCAACAGGCTGGATGCAGAGGGATTCAAGTTTGTCAGCAATATGAATGTCTAATGCTGAAGCCAAACCAGCAGAAGGTGAAAAAACATTTGTATCAATGATTATAACACCAAGAAGAAGTAAGGCAACTGTTGGCGTGACCAATTCTGGAGCCTGTGTGAGCAGCTTCTCGGCCACCAAAGTACAGCACGATCCTACCTTTTGTAATGTCAGATCAACTTGAGGCCACAACCAAGCAGGGTCTTGAGGTCGATGGTCAATAACTGACAACACACTATCTTGCAGTCGTTTATAGTCTCCGTCAAGGACATGATGGTCAACTAGATTCAATTGTAATGAATTACTGTCATATAAACTGCATAAATCTATCTCATCTTTGCATATGATGTTGTCTACATCAATGTGGTTTTTCCTCAGGAAATAATTGAGTTCAGTCTTTACAGGTAATTGTACACTGGGGATATTTAAAACGGGAAAAACTATGCTGTCTTGAGTCTTCTTATGATCCAGAAGTATGCTGTAAATTATACTTGATATTGCTGAATCTAAATCGCATGACTCATTTCCAAGAACAATAATTACCTTTTTAAACTGAGTTAAGTTGTTAAGATGTTTTCTTGAAACTCCTAAGATATTGTTTATTCCACTCATCTTTAGAGGTGGAACTATTGGTTATGCACTGAATTAACAATGTTAAAATGGAAAACAAAATGCATAAGAAAATTTTCTGCAAACCTTGACGATCACAACATTAAATAGGCTAATAGTTTAAAAGATGTTTACTAACCCACTATATTTCTTTGTTTCAATATTCAACCTATATTTCAGACGAGATTACTTCATAACCTTATCTTATCCTCAAAGACGTAACATAGCAAAATAATTAATCAATTTTTATTTATTTTAAGCTGAATGCTTGGTTTTTAAAATTTCTTTATCACTATTCTTAAACTTGGTACAAGTTAACTATTAACAGATTTGCTGTTTTGTTGTGTTTAACTTAAAATAAAAATCCTCCAACGCTCCAACTTAAACAAGCATTGACATTTTTTCGTCTGCTATACTCGACTTGACAGTGGAGTGGACACTCATTTGATCATTGGTTCATTCTTGCGTTGTTGTTGCCAGCTAACAGCTGCTCTCTGTGCATATAAGGCAGTACACCACTACTCCCAAAGTAAATGCATGTAGCTTTGAAAAAATAGGTAATAAAGCACAAAGTGTTTAATTGATTAAGTATGTACAAAATGTTTTAAATGTGTATGCCTATATTAAAAGAGAAGATATACTGACTATATTATTGGCAATATATATATATATATTTTTTAATTTACAATACTATAATAGATGTAATTACATTTAACTAAAATAAGTTACTGTCTTCGCAATCCTTGTTTGGTTATGACACTAGGGCCGTTTCGGAGATTATTCCATCGTCAGGTGTAGTCGTACACTAAACTAAAATACTGTTGTATTTATTAACTGACGCAATAAAAATGAAGAAATTCCGTGAAAAATTTTAATATATTTTCTGAAAAAATGTTTTTCTAGTGGGGCCTTGTTTTGTTGAATGGTCCTGGCTAAAGAAACATCTGATCTTAGCCAGTAACAAAGATGAACAATGTACACTCCGTTCCACACTCATATTTTACTCATATTAAGGTTAACATTCGCATAATTGAGTTTGTGCGACTGTGCCCCGTCGTAATGTAATGATAACGAAACGATAACGATTATCAGCAGCCCTTAGTGCAAAATAACATAGTACAAAGTTCTGCTGCTAGATTATCTGGAAAACAGTGAATCAACGGATCGTCAATACAATTTCATTTATTTTAGGACAGAGTGTAAAGTCACTTTAATCGATTTACAGCAAAGAATGTCAGTTGTCAATTGAATTTAACCTCGAAGAAAAGTTTTAGTTTAAAACAATTTTTCCATTGTTATCAGGTTAACTTTGCTGATCAGTGCGGAACCTGTCTTGGCAGGGCTCCGGTGCGATTTGGCAAACGATCTTCTTCGGATGTGGGCTCCATGTTACGAGGGATGTCGCCCGCTTCGTCCTCTCACTTGCTGTCATTACTCCTCGAACGAGCGGCCCGATTACATGCTCGATATGATGTTCCACATTGTGTCTAAGCGGGTTTCCTCTTATATATAATTTGTTTAAGTTAATCTACTGCTCAATATGTAAAATCAAAACTATCCAGCATATAGCGTAAAACGAGAGAATATATGCAACCATAAGGCGGTTTCACACTGGCATCCGGACGATTTCTTCGTCCGCGGACGGATGCGAAAATAAATCGCTGCCCATGTTACCAAACGGGACCGTTCACACCGCCCATTGAAACGTAGCGTCCATCCGCGGATGCAGAAATTCGTCCGTGGACGATTTGGCGGAATCGCTCTGGGAGCGATTTTTCTAAAACGTCCGCGGACGATCACGCCCTCGCGCATGCGCAGACAAAGCACCAAACCACGTGTAGCTCTCAGCGAGGCATGTGTCACTCGCATCACAGTGTTTAGTAGTTTGTGTTTATAGTCATAGTGTTCACCTAGTTGTTGTTTTGTGTCCTCCTTTGTTGTTTATGGCTGAATTAATTGAGGCTGTCCGTGCCTACCCAGTTTTCTGGGATACAACTATAGAAATTTATAGAGATCAACAAGAGAAAGATAAAATTTGGTTGGAAATTGCGACTACACTCCAAAGAGATTACAAAGAGAATAAAGTATCTTAACCAATAACCATGTAGCCTATATTTATACGAATTACTGTACAGTAAATCATTATTACAATGATTTGTATTACTATGATTATCTATCTATATATTAATAGGCAAGCATGTTTCTTTAATCTATATATTAATAGGCAAGCATGTTTCTTTAAAACCTTTTTTCTCAGTTCGTGTGCATAGCAGGAAAAATCTTCGCTTACTGTTAGAAAGATATTTTTCTGTAGGTGTGCAGAATCCCTTTAAAAATTAAAATAGGCTCAGAAATAAGCACAAAAAAGGAATTTGAAATTTGAAAAAAATTAACATGGGCTTTATGGGTCTCCATGCTGGTGACGAAATAACAACGAAATATAAACAGAAAATCAAAACAAATTGAAGAAACTCCAATCACATGTTTTATTTACAGTGTGGGGTGAAAATAGTGAAGTCTGTTTGTACATTACAAATTTTTGGTCGAGTTTCGACCACTGGACGACCTCTAGTTTGCATTATTACAATGATTCACCAAATCGCTGCCGCTTACTGTTAATCGGATGAACCCACTTTCTCCTTTTTGATAATGATTACAAAAGTACAACCTCGTCGTCACTATCATCACTACTTGAATCAAGCCACAGAACAGAAAATCCGGGTTGACACCATGGGACAGAATGCTCAGACATTTTGCACACTTCCACTGAGTTGTAAGAGGAAGTACAGTATGTTTAATCTATGATTGTAGTAGAAATAGCCAACTTCCCTATGCGCATGCGCGAATGAGTGGACGTTTGAAACGTAGCTCGCAATGTGAAGGGGGCGCGTAGCATCCATCCGAATAATTTCATCCGTCCGCGGACGAAATTATCGTCCGCGGACGCCAGTGTGAAACCGCCTTAGACTAACACAGGAGTATGTTTAATCTACGATGCTAAAGTTACTGTGGTGGGGTACGCCAATATTTTGTTTTGTATGTATACCTACATAAAAATTATTTGTACTTGTAGAGCATAGATACTCTAATTTGCTGTTTTGCTGCTGTTGAAATCGTCTAAAATATTTTTGAGCGAGTATCATTTAGGTAGATACGCACCTAGGTGGCGCCATCCTCTCAAATGATAAGGATATTTTACTTTAAAACTGTATTTAGTGGGGTTTATAGATTCTGTATCCTTTACCTTTTTCGGGTAGTCATATAATTAAAAAATAATAGATAAAGGTTGAATTTGAAATTATAAGTTAGATAATGGAGCAAAATATGTAATTGTTACATTCTTTACACAAAGTAAATAAATAATTTGTTTAAGATGTTTATGTGTGCAATAGAATTAAATGGATTTGTTGAAAATCTCAAAACATGACAACACGATCGAATCAACCACCACTAGCTTTGTGAATAAAATAGGTGTGATAGTAAGATATTTAGATGGTAAGAAATATTACTGCTGAAATAGGCTAGTTTAAATCCCTTAATACTTTTCATTGAAATGGTGACCACTCACCCTATCTAATACAGAGTATGTTTTATGCGAATACCTACGTAAATAGTATTAAAACTGTCTTCTAAGCGCACCAAAGCCGCATACATCTTTAGTTCTAACAGTTAATCAATCAATAATATATATATGTTGTGTAATTAATTGAGCTTATATTGTATTCAATTAATTTTATGAGTTTTCGTGAATATAGAATTTATTATTTTTATCTGCTACTTTTATTACCCACAACCCCTAGGACAATTAGTATAATTTACCCTTCTTATCCTCCTATTCCTGACAGAACTACCTATCTTACTAATATTATAAATCTGAAAGTTTGTGAGTTTGTGTGTGTGTTGCTCAATCACGCATAAACTACTGGACGGATTGGGCTGAAATTTGGCATGATGATAGCTCACATTCCCGATTAACATTAAAGCATATTCTTATCTCAAAAATCCTTTCGGGCTCCGCCCCAGTGGCTCTGTAGTTCCCCATGTTAACCTTATGATTTTTCATATTTAAAAGGAATTAATGAATCTTGACAGCTGTTTCAATTAAACAAGTTGGTTCTGTTCTATGATGTTAATTAGCATCAAAGTTACAAGGATTACCAACAGGGTGCAGCACTATTATTTTTTTTTATTATGTCAACACAGCTAATTTCCAACCAAAAGGTGAGTGAGCGTAGCGAACGAACTTCAACCTGGAGGCGAGTTAGCGTAGCGAACGAGCTAACCTGAAGTCAAGTGAGCGCAGCGAACGAGCTCCAACCTAAAGGTGAGTGAGCGTAGCGAACGAACTTCAACCAGGACGTGAATGAGCCATGAGAATACTTATGAAGTTAAACGGGGCAAAGCCCGCGGGTACAGCTATAGTAACCTCATACGATTATTCAAACTTTTGTTTGGATGCTATGGTACTGAAGTGAACATCTTGTCAATTTGTATATTAGCTAAAATCGTGTCCCTTGCCCCGAAAATAAGATAAAAACATTTAGTTGGCATCCACTTACTTAAACAGATATGATAAAAGGCTCTATTTTACAATATGGTAAGAAATACAATACCACTGTGTACCTTTTAGCAAATTTCCCATTTGGGGAATAAGCTATTACCGTAGTTCTCATGGTGTCTACAATCGGGACCGATTTACTTATTCGTTTTGAAGTCCCTGAGGCCAAAACACCCTCCGTTCAAATTCATATATTGCGAGTCCCATGCCTCACTTTAAGTTTAAGTTTCCTAAAATGATTTACTCGCTTAGCTTAGTCAAGAGGTGTTAGGTTAATGAGACATAAGACTGCTTAAGGGTGTTACTCAACGTGTAATGAACAAAAACTTAAATTTAGAAAAACTACAAAAGTAACAAAGTGTTACAACAGCAAAAGAAAACTTAGAAAAGGCAAAAATCAACAATAATAAGATAAATTAATTTACAACGTTAAATTTACAAGAAAAGAAAGTGAATTGAAAATATAAAAGAATTAGTTACTGACAAATTATATGACTTTTATGTTTGACAAAGTTTTAGTTAGATATTTTATTCTTTCTACATACTGTCTATTGTCCCAGAAGCACACACACCGATACACGCACTCCCAAACTCCCGATCTTCTTTCTCCGGTGGCCCGTGGTGATCTCCTCGATGTTTTCCTTCAGATCCTCCAGCTCCAAGAGTCTTGACCCCTCCATCTTCTTCATTAGCCCTTCTCATTGGCTGATTACCGATAGGGTGTGTGGCTTATAGGTTAACGGTGTTTCTTGGAAGTCAGCCCTACCGGTCATCGCCTAGCTCACATCAGCTGGGAAAGGAATTTGTAAATCGATGCTCATGCTACTGTTCAACTCTGTTCACACCAACTGGTCGACTAAGTGTAATGTGAACAGAGTGTCTGCATAGATGAGCACCGTGGGTACGGGGTTAATCCCCTTTCTTACAATATATATATATACTTATCCAAATTAGTACGATAACTCGAGCAAAAATGATCAGATTTTGATGAAATTTGGTACAAACGTATAAACTTACGTGTATTCGAACAAGTTAGCGAACTATCTTGATTGGACTGTGGGAAATGGGGTTTACGGGAAAACGGGAGGTTATATGGGGTAAAAAGTGCGAATTCCCAATTTTTCCTTTAAAAAAGCTTAAGTTCACAAAACCAATTTGTAGACCTTAAAAAAATAAATGATTTTGTATATTGAAGCGTTTTTGTATGCCTAACGATTAGATAATTCAAAAATTTTAAATTTAAAATTCCCATGTTATTCTTTATGGAGAATAAATAATCTGTTGTAGTTTGCTTGTTTATGTTTAGATTTTAATCAAATTAGACAATTTTGTTTATTTCATACTAAGCTATCAACATTTCAACAACAAAAAGCACCTCAATACCTTCCCTGTGTAGCAGCAAATAACATAAGTACACATTAAAATTCAAATGTATAGGAAATAAGTCTGAACATTTTAAGGGAATATTTTAGTAGAAATCCAGTCAGGGAAATGGAACTCCCCTCAAAGGTTAGGTTCGCTTAGTCTACAGATTTGCTGCAGCGGGGGTATTTTTTGGTTGTGACTGCTTAAAGGCAAAAGATAATAGTCCCCAGTCCTATGCCACTATGGATGCTTTTACGTGCTGGTGAAAGGTAGACTAGTTGCACTTGTAGAGTTGTTGCAATGTTGGTTGCAAGCATTAATTGAATGGCCTGTGCCAGGCAGACTCTTACACGTGAAGACCCCCTATATGGTTAAGTTTAGAACGATTCTTTATTCTTCATTTACTTTTTTAAGGAGAACTTGTCAAGTCCAGTTTTGATTGGGGACTTAGATAGTTTTAGCATCAACTTCTGTGCAACGATTATACACCTTACTTAAACACTTTGAATTAAGTTTGACGAAGATAAATTATTTCCCTACAACTAAAATTTATTGCTTTAGCCTTGATACTGCTATATTGTCTATCATATGTAACCTGTCATGCAGTTCCATATGGACAGTGTTACATGTTTCGGCGAAATGCCATTGTCAAATACGTCTTCAGTCAAGGAATAGTTATTTGTGCAACTAGTGAGAAAAGTGAGCAATTGACTCACTCGAGAGAAATCCTTACTCACGAGCCGTAGGCGAGTGAGGAATGGCTTCTCGAGTGAGGCAATTGTACTTTGAACTCGAGTTGCACATTATACTTTTCCTACAGTTACCATAAAACAAATAAATTTGTGAAGAAACATAACCTATTTTTACACAGAAGTGAACTTTTAATAAAACATTTAATGTGAAGAGACAAATACAACAGCTGACCAGCTGATTTACAGCCAGTGCTGCCAACGCATTTAGCGCGCATATGACGTTGCCTGCGTGTTACGCGCTCACTATTTCGTGCCTTCACGTTGCAAATCTGGAGTGAGACAAAGTAATTAGAGTGAGACAATGTTAACATTGTCTCACTGATGAGCGAATTGGCCACTTTGCTTTCTCAAATCAGTGAGAGAACATGTACATTGTTAGGTAACTGTAGGAAAAGTATTACATCCGCTTGGTTTTCTTTGTTGATGGTTTCATTACATACACTCAACGAACGACATAATCAACTAGGCTGTTCCTGCTCGCATAACTTTACCGGTGATGTGATATTTTTGTGATGGACCTATCGTAAATAAAATATAGTGATTATGTCACTAATGACTCACCCAGCTTGAAAGACGGTAGGACCGTAGGAGGTCATAGACTTAATAATTAATTCGAAGTGACTATTTCGCACGTCAAAATGACGTCACAACCAAGAGGTGTGTCGTTGGAGCTGGAGCTGTTTCAACGGAGCACTTAGCGCATGGAGCGGAGCTGGACCAGCTCCGACGATTCTCTCACTCCGACGACACACCCAAGGCCACATTTTTTTATTTTTTTTTTGTGTAGCCTTGACACACCTTACAAGTAAAACAGCCTCTACTGCTCCCGGAGCGGCCAGGAAGACTGACGTCATTGACAAAGTACGACGCTGGTAGCTCCCCACAATACCGCTCTAGTTCGGTGAATTATTATATTCTTATTAACCTGAAGCAAACGGAGTAACCAGAGCCGGAGCGGTAGCCGGAGCTGGAACCGTTTTTGGAGCGTGGAGCTAGCTCCTCAACAGGAGCTGGATCTATTGGAGCAACTCTGCTCCCGGAGCTACTAATAATAATAAATAGCATATCTTCGAATACTGAATGAAATGAATAGTCAGTCTGGCCAAAGGACAACCACATCCATGGTCTGTGTCTGACTCATTGAGGTAAACTCACTAAACTGATCTGAAAGTCTGATAGTCTGGCTGGGATCATCTGAATCAGATCAGATCAGACTCTGTCTCTGACAGAGATAGCTGAGCTCAGTGGTCTCTGATCATCTGCTCCTGCTGAAACCTGAAACTGAAACTGAAGGAGTGGACTGGAGATTGGGGATTGGCCGGATTGGGCAGTGTTTTAGGTTATGCTTGCTTCCTGATACGCCAGAGGTGTAAAATTTTGTGTGAATGTGATCTGTAATAAACAAGACAATATTTACCGATTGAAGTAAACTCAAATGTACGTAGCCTACTCTCTAACAAGGGATTAAATCAATAAGGGCTAATTTATTGACTAGGCTTATGTTACTAAACTAGTTTGGTTTACGTAGGCTACAACTTTCACTGGCTGCTTTGTCACCCCAGTTAATTATTAGATTATAGGTCAAAAGTCATTTGCTAATATTTACGTCAAACAAAATTTAGCCAACAACCGTCTTGAATGGTATATTAGTCTTATGTTTGATTATTATCCTAGAATATAATTTGTGTTCTAACTTAGTGTCACTTAGCCTAGGCTAACTAATATTTATTGGACCATTTGTTACCGATTTGACAAGTTAATTTGAATAATTCTCTGGGTTGCGATTAAAATATACCAACCTTTCTCCAAAGTAGATTTTACGGGTTTGTGTTGCTATGTTTGAAATTAAATTAAATCATTAAGTTGACATAGCCTAGCCTATGCCTTGCACATTTTCCCAGTGCTCGATTTGTGAAAAATGAGGTGCCGGAACTGTAACCTATTTCATTAGATTTGTACCAATAAGTTATATGTTAATATTTTCATCTTTTCGAAAGAGAGATACCGGAACTCCGTTCCGCCATGTTCCCCTGCAAATCGAGCATTGCATTTTCCCACGGCCAAAGGTCCTAGGCCTTCGTCTACAATCATTCGTTCATAATAAAATACTGTGGTAGCCTATTTGTAGAGTTACCATAAGTCCCGACAGTCCAGATTTGATGTCTGGATCTGATTAATAAATTAAACAGACAAGGTTACCCTTTGGCAGAGCTTTTGTTTACTCTTTTGAAGCTAAGTTTACCAAACAGCTGGTTAAAGTAAAGCAAGTATGAATAGGCTACATAGCCTCCTCTAATACAAGGCTGGGCAGCCTTACGGCGTTGGTGTACGTGGCAACGTCACAATGGAATAGGCCTAGAGGAAAATATGATAGGCTACAGCTGCTAGTAAAATATGATAGGCTACAGCTGCTAGTAAAAATGTGTAGGCCTAACTTATTTTATTTATCATAATGCTTAGGCCTACTTTAACTGAACAGCTTGTAGGGCTATATCAAGCTAGGTTAAAAGTTTACATCTAAAATAGCTTAAAACCGCTAAGTTAATTTCAGTTTAAGAATAGGCTATCTAATATTTTTATTAAGTTTCCTGGGGGAGGTCGCGATTTGGGCGATTTCCGGATCTAGGGTCAACAAAGTGTGGTAACCCTACTTATATCAAAAACACATGAGCTGTGAGGAAGGTAGGTCGGGTTTTATGCAGATTCGTGACTGTATTAAGTGTTTTGAAGTGAGGTTAGATTAGGAAGATAAAGGTTAGGGTATAATGAACCGACCCATTAATTTATGCTACTTCCAGACTGTTTTTGCACAATTAAAGTGGATGAAACACAATAAAATAACGTTATCAAAAAATATTAAAGCTCAGAATTTTAATGTTTTAATGACTTTTAACTGGGGGATATCCATAGTCCAAACAGTTCTACTTGTCATTGAACATTTAGTCAATGTTGTAGTACATGTCCTCGATAGTTCCATTGACAAATACAACTTACGGTTAACTCAACCTCTTTGGCTACAGTAGGCCTAAGTTTATTGTTGCATAAAACCAATGAATTTATAGGTGATTTTTTAATCTAGCCTACAATTTTTAATTATTGTTGTCTTTTATTCATAAATACCACCTAGACAATATTTCTTTATTTTGAAAAATTAAAATCGACTTGACCAAAGGACAAAAATCTTACAGGCCCTAACTTAGATGTCCCTGGGAGGTTCAAAGCACCCTTAATCGTTTAAACACCCTTATCAAATAATGTTTCTTTCATTCTGGTAACTAGGCTATGTTGTATTCTACACTGAAGCTTGAATTTATGGCAATTTTAGGTCAGACTAACTTATTCTTACACAGATTTTAAATAGCCTATATGTATGTTTTCATTTTTCAGTATGTCTTTGGTGATGGGTGGAGAGCAAAACTTACTTCAAAACACCAAAGTATCAAACTACGGTCCACAAAGACATGTATCAGATTTTGCATCGCAGAGTTCGCCTCTGAGAGGACGAAAAGCTAAACGTATTAGGTTCTTGTGTAATGGGGACAGATTTTACAAAGGTGTCGTGATGGCTGTAACGCCCGAGCGATACCGCTCCTTTGACAGCTTACTGTCCGATCTCACCCGTGCTCTCTCTGACAATGTGAATCTCCCAAGTGGAGTGAGAATGCTGTTCACTATGGACGGGCGAAAAGTGTCACAGCTAGAAGATTTAGAAGACGGTAAACTATATGTCTGTTCTGGCAACGGGGAGACTTTCAAACGGGTAGAGTATTCAGTGTCTTCTACAAGCATAACCAAAGTGAAACCTTCAAGATCTCTGACAAGACTAACTCCGTGTTCAAATAGTAGTTCCAGGTCTGCCAATCATTGTACCCGTCCAAGAATAATTGTTATCGTTAGAAATGGCACTAGGCCGAGGAAAGTGTTAAGACTATTGCTTAATAAAAGAAATGCCCCATCATTTGACCACGCTCTTTCCACAATAACTGAAGCTGCCAAACTTGACACAGGTGCTGTGAGAAAAGTTTTCACTTCATCTGGTGCACCGGTAAGTTAAAATATAAATAAAATATAATATAGGGAACTTAACCAGTGCCAACTGTGGACATAAATGTTCATGATTTCAGAATGATTGCAAGAGATTAATGTCCATTTTATAGGCTAAACTGACTGTAGTAAACAAATATTTTTTTTAATACTTATTATAGCAACCTGATTTTATCTGGAAACCAAAGGTCGACATATTTTACCTGGCCTGAAGTAAACAATTTTGGCCCGCAGACCCCTAATAATCATAAACCTTTTTCTTTACTGATAAGTGAACAACAAGTTTCAAGACTTATTAAATGTAAGTTAGTATCTCATCCTGACTTTAATGTGAAATAAAAGTTAAAGGCTGTTTATGGCAGGCTATTAAAAAAAAAGAACAGTTAGAATTTGAATGTGAAGTAACCAAGTATACAAAACCATCTAACAAAGAAAGACATAACCGTAACATATTTACATGGCTCACTGAATGGTGAAAAATTATGTTATTATAGACCAGTTAAACGGTTGAGGAGAAGGATGTACCTTATGATTAAACAGCTGGTTACTTCACAGCAAAGAGCTTATTTTCTACCAAACCTTAACCAGCTTAAATTGTAACACTAAGGTTGGTTACCAGATTTTATTTATTGTTTTATTATCTTTACGCCTCATTGATATTTTATCTGTTTTTTGCATGCAGGTGGTAACATTAGAGGAATTTTTTGGTGAAGAAGATGTTTTCTTTGTTTACGGCAGTGAACGCTTGAATCCTCCTGACGACTTTGATCTAGAGATCGAAGGTAAGTTGTACAGTTAATAAACAGAAAAAGTTTAAATGTGTTTTCTTTTAATAAATAGCCTATCAATGTTGCACCTCTTGTCAAGCAATATTTACAAACTTTAAGTTTGTTTTAAGAGCTTCTTAACTTCCTTGAAACTTCATGAACATTGCAAAAAAGAAACCAACAGTTTTGAATACCTCTCTACTCTAGTTATGATTAATGTTCTTGGAATTTAGCTAATTATCAATGGTCCAGAATTCAACATGATTGTCTGGTTTTGGTAGGATAATACTTTATTGTTCCTACTAAAATTATAGCCTATGCCAATAAACATATTTCTTCCTCATTTTAAAAATTCCTCTCACATTTTTATGTTTTACCATAAATTCTCATAAAAGAAATTTAATCAAGAGATACAAAGTACAGTAATAACAGAACGGAAAGGAATTCGTAGGGGGGGAAGTTGTAAGTTCATAAGAGAATAAGATTAAAAGGTCGTCTAAGCATATTGGCTTTCTAGCGTCTTGTCAATATAAGCATAGTCATTGTCTCTCTGTTTTTCAAAGTACACAGATAATTATTATTAAAGTCTTCTACACTTACCGTAGTAGAAGACTTTAGTTATTTGTTATTGGTTGATTACTTTAATTGATTGTTGGCCTTGTGGGCCTTATTTAAATTACTTTGACTGAAAAGTTGAATCCTTGTAGTAGTTAAACAATTTGTTCTCTTGTTTTTTACATTATCTAAATTTTCACTGTGGTATTATCAAATATAATTTTTCTTTTCTTTCAGAATTAAAAGCCATCCAAGCGCAGAGAAAAAGCCTGAGGCGAACTGGAGGGGAGTTAAAAACCGGAACACATTGTATTGACGAACTTGGTAATGGACGATTTATTTTGTCTCTAAGAAATAAATGTTTATGCAAAGTGTTTTTAAACAAAACTCTTGTGTGTATCTTTTTAAGTAGGAACTGTGTTGTAGTGAAGGATGACTACACCGTTTTTTTTTTCATTGCTTACTCAGATAAATAACTTCACAACATGGTGATTAAAAAAAAAATAAGATACTGAACATATCTTCCATGAGTTAGCAGAAGTTATTTAAATTGATTTGCAATGTTCGTCCTAAACATCAGAGATAACTAGAAAAAGCATTCAGCATTTTAACACAAAGTGCATGTGATGCAAACTACAAGAAATTGTCTGACATAAATCTTAGCTTGTTTATAAAGCTATTGTATTTACTAGAAATTTGCAACATTACATTGTCATTGGACCATTTTCCATTTGGTCCACACTAATGTCTCCTCACTTTTGATTGCCTGTATGGATCGTGTAAATCAGAGTGGCAAGTAAAATGAACATAAAATATCTGGTTTTACAATACCTTTATCAGTTCCAAAAGTAACTTTCGTCAACGTGTGTTACATGTTTCAGCGAGCTGCCATTGTCAAACACTTCAATACAGGAAGATGTAGATCCGCTTGAATAGCTTCGTTACAACACATTACACGACATACAACATTTTTACACGACACGTACGACATAAAAATAAAAATAAATACTTGTAGTTTGATAGGCCTATCATGAATATGCAACATTGCCGGTACACGAGCAGGAACAGACTCAATATATCTTACAATATATATTACATATCTGGGGCTACAACAATGAATTTTAATAAAATGAACATGCTCGGCTGAACCCTTCCCCCACCACTGTCATTTTTTGTACAGTAATCAACAGTAAATTGTCGTTTGATTAACTTAGTACCACCAGCGTGTAGTGGTCTGACTCCCACTGTTGTTGGGAGCCTTTACCGCATCCCTCCTCACAGTTATACAGCAACCCCATGAATATTAGAACAGAAACGGTATGGATCATAAACATAAACAAATGAATGGCACTTACACAAAAGTAAACATTATTTAACATTACATACTGGCTATAATTAATTAAAAGACGGACATTATTTGTTTGAGACTGGTGGCTCACCAATCAATCAATCAATCAATCAAATCAATAAAATCATTTATTGCCGTAAAACATAAAAACATATGTATGGCATCGTCATGTTTTACAATAAATTTCTATTTACTTAACTGGCCACCTTAAATAAGTGATAAATTTGTCAGCATCATATACACTCAATTCTATCAATAGAGATTTCAAATGCACTTTGAATTTTTTATCCTGTAAGCATTTTACATTATGTGGCAGCAAATTAAAGGTGGCTCCACTTACTTACCGATTTAACTTAAATCAAAACATTACTCCACTCTCTTTGGATAAACGCAGAGATTAGTTAGTCAAGGAACACATTGCTTGGTAAAGGCTAAAGAAAGCCTGCAGTCGTTTTTTTAAATAATTAAATTAGTTCAGGTTAAATACATATTTATGGAAAGACTTAATCACTTTATCACTTCATTTTAAATGGTGGATCGGTAAAAGCTTTTTCATAGCTTAAAATATCTTCTAGTAGGCCTATTATTTTATGTTTTACGATCACTAGTCGGTTTAGAAACACATGTTATTGTTCGATTTGTAGTTTTATCTTGCTGATAACTAATTGTTTTCACAACAGGAAGGGGTGTACCAAAGTTACCAAACAAAACAAAGCCAGTGAAGGGAGCGAGGAGACAAGACTCCAACCCCAACATTCCCAGCAAAGTACTCAGTAGGTATTCCGTCAGCCAAGTCATTGGGGACGGAAACTTTGCCGTTGTGCGTCGTTGTTTTGACAAGTAAGTTTGTATAGCAATTAATACATTCACCAAAAAAAAAAAAAAAAAAAAAAAAAAACAGAACAAAACAACTTATTAGTACAAACTGTTACCGTACTGAAAAAATAAAACATAAGATTTACATTTAGTTTTCAAACCAATGGATCTTGAGGACAGAAAATCAGGAAATAATCATGCACTTAAACTCGTTATTAAGCTTCTCCATAGGGCGTTGAAGGTGATTGCTTGTCTCATACTCAATCAACTTGTTTTTAAGTTCTAAAAGATATAATAGTAAATTCAATATGAAAATACAGTACAAAACATGTTACACTAATAGACATCCTGTGTCAATAACCTTTGTTCAGTTACTTTTACGGATGCTTTTATGTAAATACAGTATTTAATCACTGGTCTATTAACTTCACTGTAAACACCTTTAATACCATTTAAACCTGCGGTTGTTCACTTAATGATTTAATGAAACTGTGTACCCACTTTGTGTGAACTTTGTACCCAAAAAGCATAATGCAGACCATATTTTAAATATCTTTATACAGTAATTGACTAAATCATTTCTTTATTTTCATCCACAGGCTTCAGTCAGTTTGCGTAATTTTACTCAACCATAGAAAAATGGTTTAAACAGTTTTATTTAATGTGAAACTTGACATTATGTATTTTTCCTTTATTAGGCTATTTTTCTAATGAACTACCCTTTTAGTGAATTTCCCATATAGGGAATAAGATAATATAATAATAATAAGATAATATATAGGGTCATGGTAAGACCTGACCTGGAACGGATTTACATTTTTGTTTTCATGTCCCCAGAGGCCAAATCCGTCCAAATTCATGTGACTGTGTCCATTAGCTTTATAACTCAAAGTAAAATCATGAGATTCTGGTTTTGATTAAATTTGGTAGGCCTACACCTTTTTCTTAAGGGTTATCTGTAGGGATCCAGACCGTGAAAACAATATTTTTACGTATTCCGACAGATCTTGTCTCTCACGACTGAGATACAATAGAGTAAAGAGAGTTTTTGGGCATTTCCTTTTGTGAATTGCTTGTATAATATAGGCTTTACTCATTACTTATTCTTACTAATTTTACCAAATTAACTTGATTTTTAAACTTAATGTTTCTTTGTCAGAGTGAAGGGAATGGACTTTGCGTTGAAGATCATTGACAAGTCCAAATGTGCGGGGAAGGAACATATGATAGACAACGAGGTAGCTATCTTACGCAGCGTCCAACATCCTAACATCATCAGACTTGTGGCTGAACATGATACGCCTCCTGAACTCTACTTGATCATGGAGCTGGTCAAGGTAAGACAAGAATCCATGCGGGGGAGTTTTATTAAAGTTTAATGCTTACGCCCCAAAGACTGATATTAGTCATCAATATCCAACAACCACTTACAACACTGTGCATGCAATCAAACAAAATTGTTATAAAATTTGGTCTACATTGTGGAAGAAGGAATTGATACACAACTAACTTACCTAAGAAAATAGTTTCAGAGCTGTTGATGGCAAGCAATACGTTTGCATCCCAATTGATTTGAAAATTAATTGTTCATATTTTCAATATTTCGTTGAAGGCACTAATACGATTGTCAATTAAATTGACATTTCGTCCAAGCAACAGGGCTTCTTTAAAAGAGAGTAGTATTTCTACCACTAGTAAGTTAACTTTGTCTTTTCTTAGTTAGGCTAAATGTGTATCAATTTTTTCTTCCATCGTATATTCCTCAGCCAGGAATTTTTTTATCCAAAAACCAAACTCACAACTCATAGAAGTTTCAGTAACTTTTTTGTTTAACTGTGTTGGACATTTTAAAATCAATTATTGCCTCTCCAGCGACAATCATGTTTATCTTTTTCATTGTAAAAATTAGTGTTTTAAAAATGTATTTTTAAATTATACAACGATAATAATTCTTTTATGATAGTACTCTAATTGTGGAGCCAAAGGCAGGGTAAACCTGCTTTTCATATCCTTTGTATTGTTAATTCTTAGGTAATAAGCTTCCTTCCAATCAAAACTAATTAATCCAAATGATTGTTTGATGTAGGGAGGTGATTTGTTTGACGCTATCACGAAGGCTGTGAAGTTCCCGGAGAGTGACTCTCAGTTGATGACGCAACATCTCGCCTCGGCCCTCGCCTACCTTCACGAGCAGAGCATTGTTCATCGTGACATCAAACCTGAGAACTTGCTGGTATGCCCTTAAATACTTCAGCTGCTACAGAAAGTTTGATATTGTTAGATAATTCTCATTTCTACTAAATTTCACTTCAAAAATTTCACTTCGAAATTAATTTTTCATTCGGGCCGGATTCAGTTTGGGTATTCTAACCTTAATCCATTTTTATCCGAGTATCTAAACAGAACCCTAATTTCATATCCCACACCTTTTTATCTAAGCCGGGTTTTCCTAGGCGCGTAGTCGGCGAGCGGAGAGAGGAACGCGGAGAGCGGACTCCACTTGTCTTAGGCAATTTAATGTTACTGTTTTCCTAGAAGCGGAGCGGAATGCCATGTTAATTTCAATTCCGCTCTCCGCGTTCCTCTCTCCGCTCGCCGACTCCGCGCCTAGGAAAACCCAGCTTAAAAGAGGGTCTGAGATCTACCTGAAACCTGAGATCTGAGTCTAAAAGAGGGTCCTGATACCAGTAAATGGCGGCCTCTTTTAAACTTGCATTTGCCCATCCACATAGATTAACTGCCCGTGCGTGGAACGTACACTATCCGTAAAATAGACTGTGTATTATGACATTTTAGACTGTAAACAAAATCTTCATAAGTTAATCATAATTAGTTTATACTTTCCAAGGACATTATTTCAACATTATGTTTCCATCGACGTTCACAGCGTTTGACGATTAATGATTGTCTTCTATTTTGATAGGACAATTTGATTATAATCAAACTCAATAGGTGATTGTTGTGTGAATATATAATGTTTCATGTTCTTAGACGAATTGGATTTACTTTCTGTAAATGTTATTACATTAGTTAGAAGTTAATTGCAGTACGCCGGTGACAAACATCAAAACACCCTTTTGAGCGTCGTTACCGAGAAAAATAATCAAATCAACGAGCAAATGCTGTAACAATAGTCGATATACATATGGTGGTACTGCTGCATTCGGATGAATCAGAAACACAATGGTTATTTTAATGTCACTATCGGCATAATGAAAAGAGTCCATTTGAGCTAAATATTAATAATCAAAAGTAACACCAATCACTTAGTTTTAACCTTGTATTTTCTTTTTCAAGTTTTACTTTTGCATAGCCTAAAATATCAGTGAACTCTAAGACGATATATAATGCAGTACCAAGTTCTCATTCGGTCGTTTATCGATTGTTCGCTTGCTTATGCTTTACGATTAATCTAGAACGAAACTAAAATAAAGCAGAAAAGAACTACCAAATTTAAGTAAATGTAAATCTGTGTTCAAATCTCCTGTTACTTGGAGCGCTGTAACGCCATTTTGCAAAATGTTCTTTGTTCTTGGTATTCAATTAAACCAGCAATGAAAAGGATTCGTGCAGACATTTTTTATCATTTGGGTAGCACTGATTTCAAATATCTTGTTCTTTTTCAAGGTCGAGTTTGAAGGAGAGAGAGTGAGGTTGCTGAAGGTTGGTGATTTTGGTTTGGCCCAGAAGGTTGTAGAGCCGCTGTTCACTGTTTGTGGGACGCCAACTTACGTGGCTCCCGAGATCCTTACAGAAGTGGGATACGGACTCAAGGTAATTAAGGATTACATTTTCAAGATTTAATTTGGAGATGGGTTCTCACACTTGTATCAAATTAAAATAACATTGTACACTATCAGATAATCAAATCAAATACATATAGCTAATACATATTCTCTCATAAACGAAATATAATATGCAGACTTTAACCAAGTAAAACGTCATATCGACCATCTCAGAAACCAATAAAAAGTAGGAATTAGAATTTTAGACTCTAGTGCAATTTGTGACTGGCTCACAGAACTTTTTTAGTAAAAAATGAAGACAGCTGCTCCATAAAAGGAATATCTTAATAGTCAATGGTTGTACCAACCAGTTTTGGAATTCAGAGTTGGATGAACTGACTTCTATTCAGTTTAGAGGGTCTTAGTTAGCCTGTGTTGCCATTTTGATCAATTTATTCCAACATGATCACTCTCGGTTCTCAGATTGACGTGTGGGCTGCTGGAGTGATCCTGTATATCCTGCTGTGTGGGTTCCCTCCGTTTGTGAGCCCCAACAACGACCAAGAAGAATTGTTTGACGACATCCTCAGTGGACAGTACACATTCCCCTCCCCCTACTGGGACGATATCAGCGAGTTGGCGCGAGACCTCATCTCTCACACGCTGCAGAGCAATCCTGAGCTGCGCTTCTCTGCGGAAGATGTCCTGGACCATCCATGGTTCGAACGGAGACTCGAGGAATGATCCTTACAATTTTAGCTGAATTTCTGTTCAGCAAAAAATTTGACGTGTCATTTAGTTGATAATAAATTTGTTTTTATCTCTCGGTTTATTATTCCGTGTGGATCGGCCAAAGAAAGTAAGTTTTGTGCAGTATTTGTAATTGTGAACGTCTTAAATAGCCCAATTTTTTATTTTTGTTTAAAATTTAGAGTAATTGATTTTGTTTTTCCCTTTATACGTTTTCAGTTTTTATAAACATTCGCGTTTTGTCGCTAAATTAACACTTTTTTAGTTGAAACTTTTGTTTTTGGAGTCGGTTTCAATAATAATAACTTTATTTTGCAAATGCAATTTATTGAAACTATGGACAGATATGAAAACAGACATATGCTAATGTGAAAAATTAAACTGCAAAAGCTAAACTTTTAATTCAAAATTTAAAAAGTAAAATACTTTAAGTTAAACTCATTTATTTGTAATACTTGTTTGAGTAACTTAAATTCTCTCACCTTATGTGAAAAAAATTAATAATGTTCAATCTTTAATTTAAATAGTAGAGTTTACATTAAAAGAACATATTTTCAGGGACAATTAGTGAAATGCTAGTGTATAAGAATCAATCGGTAAGTGCTATATTTGTTGTTCGTCCCTATTAAATTGTGATTATTATGTAAATAAAAATACCAAATGTAAGCTTTAACTTTATTTAGTATTCAATGTTCACTTTTGTAATTTCTAAATAGTAGGCTTCCAAAATATTCTAGTTGTATTTTTATAACTTGAGTGCTCATAGATAAATAATGTTAACCAAAAAGCTGTTCTCATAAGCCTTGGTAGTTTTAGTAGAAATATCATTGAATACAAATTGTATAGCTGTAAATAATAGTAAATGCAATAAATAATTAGATTGAATTGAATATTTTGCTTAAGTTTATTTTCATTTCAGTTTATATTCAGTCCCTATTAAGAAAACATCAAATAATTTTAAATCAAAATATTTATTTGTCTTCCATTTTTGATCAGTATTAACATAAGTTTTACTGTATGTTTAATTACACATTATTATTGCGTGTCTTATTTTAGAATTTTTCTTTTGGGAGTAAACAATCCAAACCTTTTGTTTTACCCTCAATTGCCATAGATCTTTGTATCGTTGAAACTGGGTAAAAAATCAATCTTTTCTGGTATATTAGTTTACAAAAGTACAACGTATTTACAACATACACTATTAAATGTATACTCGTCTTTTACTTTGTAATCAAGTATACATTTTTAATATAAAATCTGGCAAAGGGATTATCATCTTAAGTGAATGAAATTACATAATTCTAGGATAATCTTAAGTCTAGATTATCTTACATAACATATCTTAAGTTGTTTATTTAATATTAGAACCCACTCAGAATACAATATTAAGTTAATAATCAAAATAAATAACTTGTTTTCTCCGTGGTATGGCTTATTCTACAAAGGTTGTGTTGTTTTAGAAAATTTCCCATATAGGGAATAAGTTGTTAGTACCATACGTCTGGTGGTAAGACCTAGACCCGGGACCGATTTACATTTTTGTTTTAGGTTCCCAGAGGCCAAAAACACCCTCCTTTCAAATTCATATATAAATATCCAAATTAAATATATATATGTCTGTTAGCGCGGTAACACACATAAAAAATGCAGCGTTCCCAACAGCAGCATTTGCAGCATAAAAAAAAAATAAAATACAGACAAACGAACGTCATTGCTGCTTTAATGAGTTGTTTCACAAACTCCAAATTTCATCAACTCCATTAGTAAATGTTAATTCATCAAGTCTAATAGCATAAATTTTAAATAATCTTTGTTTCATGAACTCCAAATTTCCCCAACTCTAATGGTATTAATTTAATAAGCGCGTTTCAAGAGGTCCAAAATTCACCAACTCCAAAAGTACAGTCCCAGCCAGAAGTTGCTGCAGGTTACTTTGCTAACAGATTATTTTGCAGCTATTATTTTAATGTGTTAAATGTTTTGATTGTAGTTTCCAAAACGTATACCTAAAACTAAAACCGATGATTTTCACGCAATAAATTTGTGATCACTCGTCAAGCTGGATCACAAACATATTTAAACTAGATTACCCTCAAAATTTAATTTTAAGTATTATCTAATATTATTCTGCTAATTTATTTATTTTTTGTTGTTGCTCAAACTATATTTTTAGCTTGTATTGTTTTATGGTTAGTTTTGCTGAATTAAAAAAATGTAATGAGTCGTAAATATTTTTAGTATTAATATAGAGGCAGTTTTAGCATATTTCCTTATTCCTTATTTTTTTAACTCAAAAATTTTGGACTGTTGCTCCTGGATTGTTGATGCATGGTTGATTCAATAATTTACGTATTACTGGATTTATATTATAGTTAACAAAATACAATATTGTGAATGTTTTATAAAAGAATATTGCTGGAATGTTCCTTTAAGCCTATTCAATGTGGCTATTGCCTTGCAATTTATGTACACATGTATTACTTTATCAATATTATTCATGCATTAAAAGATTTTAGTCGTATACATTAGCATAGTATGTGACATTGTGTTATTTGTATATTTTATAAATAGTTTACTATAAAACCAATAAATCACTAATTATAAAATATTCTCTATGTTTTATTACTTACTCAAACTTTTTAACGTTAACATTGCATATAAAGTTAGTCAGTTTTTGAAAACTTTTCATTAGAAAATATTTACAAGAAAAGCTGTACTATCCAAGCAGACCTCATTATGAAGGTCTTCATGTTGTTAAACTGGTAGGCCTACTCGCATTTACAAAACAATACATGACACGCATGACTAGAATAATCTGCGACACGGAGGGAGTTTAAGGTGTTCACAATGAAAGCTGGTCACAAGCGCTTGCAATTTGCAACCGGCGTGAGAAAAGTCTACATTGTATCAAGTGTGTGCGTTCACAGACAAAGCTTTCCCCGGCTAGCAAGCGCCTTCTACAAGTTCTGACAAGCGCGCAAGAACGTTTTGTACTTGTTTTCCGTCTCTTGTTGACCGAACCAGTCAATGACAAACAACGGTGCAGTATGGATATCGATGAACCGATATCTCAAGTCCTTAGAAGAGGGGCTATTTGGGACAAACACCTCAAACTACATGCTAATAGACTTTCCTGAGGATGTAACTAAACTTGGCTAACTCCATTCTCATATAAAAAAAACCTCACCCTGTCCAATGTCAATTGAGGAAATTGATGGCGGGATTCTGCAAACCTACCTCTTCCGGGGTTAAATGCATGAACACCAACTTTCCTTCTACAAATTTTTAATTTGATGTTTTCAAGCAAAAATAACTCTTCATCACTTGATGAAGACATTGTCTTAACAAATCACTGGCTTGAAATGCAAGCTTTTGTTGTGTACACACAAGATTCTCAAGCGCTGAAAATATGTAACTTGTAACCAGCTTTCTTTATGAGCACACCCTACTAAGTCTAGGGAATGGATGGATGGCAATCATACACCACCTATACAGTATGTTGCAGTAATTGGGATACTACTTACCGTGATTAATGTATGTATAGTAGTTTACGCAACGATTGCGTAAAGATGGTGTTAACAACACGAGTAGAAAATTTAAGGTACGGGCCTTACGTACTGATTATTTACGTGAGTTGCGTACACTACTTTACCTACAACATTGTTTTAGTTACTAAAAATCACTACTCATAACTTCTATAAGAGGTTATGTTTTCGTTTATAACCTCTAATTGCCACTGACAGTGATGCAATGAAACACACTAATTGCACCAATCAACAATTAAATTGGCCTGAACAGCTGATTAGTTGAATTTTGAATCATTACAATTTTACTTCTCCTCTCTCAATCCTTGAACCTCATTGGTCCGTTACCTGTGTTGTTATGAGTAAAACTAAGCTGTTATGAGATACCTTTCAATTCTAAGAACTGTACTGAAACGGCTACTTTAAAAACCGGTCGTAGGTAAAATTATTTTTCATAAAGATCAGGTGAAAAAACTCACAGTTTCCATAATAACCTCTATTGTTTTATTATACAGTATAAATACAAACAAGTGAAAAAAAAAACTTAAGGATACAATAATTTCAAACTGTGCTTTGCATTTTATTCCTTAGATTCTTTCACTCCATAAGAAGCCTCAAAGGCTTGCAAAATATTCTCCTTCTCTTCATTCAGTTTCTTAAGGTCTTCTTTGTGCTGGTGCTCCTGGGAAAAAATAACCAATAATTACTCCGTTGCAGCAAACATGCAGACAAAGCCAATTTTGTCTTAACGGGATTTTTTATAAACATTCCCTTCCTATTTAAATACTATAAAGATTTGATATTTTTATGTTTTTAAGGTAACAAATTTGAAAAAAAAAAACTATTTTAAAATCCCATAACACTCTGTTCCAATGACCCGATCTTGTTGGTCCTCATTTAAGTGTGTACAGCCCTACACTTCCATGCAAAATGTTACAAATCGTATTATTTTTCCAATAAGCTGATTAAATTGAAACAAACCAAAATAAACAGTGTCAGAAAACTGTCACCTACTTTTTCCATTGACCTTATTATAATGAGTAAGCAGAGGGAGTAGCTATGCGTTTTTATGGGAGAAAATCACAAAAGTTGCAATAACTTATTCCAATTGATCTTAAGTTATTAAATTAACTTATGTAATTTCTACAGCATTGCGGGTTGTGTCATTATATTCAGAGTTAACTGTAAGAGGTAATGCATGAGAGACCTTAAGCGGCTAGACCGAAAACCCCGTCATACAGAGCACGCAATCCAGTTGAATTACAGAGACTAATGGGAAATGTTGACAAAAACAATTCTTTCTTCGTATAGCCTACTATGTATAGGGGAGAAAGTAATAAATGCAAAGAGGTACAATTCATAAGGTGTGATCAGTAGTGTAGGGAAGCGTAACTGTATTCTACAGTAGTTCAATTTGTATTGAAATTATTCTGATTTCATGTGTAAAGATTATAAAATTTGTTGAAAGTCTTAGAACAAAAACGATCTTTCTTTACTATGAATATTGTTGAAAATATCATGACTGACAGACTTTACCATTATTTTCAGCACCCTTTGTTCAGTGAGTTGAATCATTTCTCTCACTGTCAGTTCAGCTTCTTTCTTCCTAAACTGTACAAAGAGGCAAGCGGAGCTGTGCTTCATATGCTCATCCCTGGAACAGCACAGGCCGGCATTAGACTTTGAACCATGTAACTTAACTTGAAAAAACAGCATGTGATGAATACAAATGTATCATTTAGTTAGGTTAACACTTAAGCAGTTAGTATTTTCATATGTCATGGTGATGTTATGTGCAGTTTTTACTAGTGATGGACGAGACTAGATTTTTCACTTCGAGACGAGACGTGACGAGATATTTTTAATTCTGACGGGACGAGATTTAATGAAAAGTTATACAAAAATTAATATCTAGCCTACTTTTTAAGTTCAGAAATATTTACAACTTTAAAAAACTTGACAAAAATTAGACGAAATTGTTTAAAATCTTTTATTGAAAAACATTAATAAAAACATCAGTATTTAAAAACAATATTAATAAGGTCTAATTTATTAAAAATACTGTTCGGCATAGAAAACATGGAGATATCAGTTAGTATATATAGTTCAACTTTTAAAAATACCAAAAACAACAGTGTTACTTGTTTAGAATCAAGTAACAATTTTCAAGTCTTGAGTTATTTTTAGAAAGATTTTGGAGTGACTTATTTTATTTTGGCTATGTTTACAGTAGTAAAACATGTCTCACACTGCTAACGCTAACAAAACTTCTCATTTGCTATGTAAAAAAAAATATAAAACGATTGAAGCAATATTTCCATGTAAAGAATAAATAATTAAATATAAGCGCCTTCGCAAAGTTTTTTGTTTATTTTTTTAATTTAAATTTTACGTTTTGCAAAAAAACGGTGGAACATTTTTTTAGCCAACATTTTTTTAAATAACAATTTTTAATTAAATTTTTTTTTTAATTTAAATTTTTGTTTAGATCTTAAATTTTTTTTATTGTAATAAAAACTTTTTTTTATCTTGTCTCAAAAATGTCTCGTTAGTATCTCAATCCTGCCCGAATCTTCGAGATAAAAAAAATCTTGAAAAAATAAAATACCCCCGCCGCAGCAAACCTGCAGACTAAGCGAATTTCCATTTGACTGATTGGATTTACACTGAAATGTCTACTTAAAAATATAACATTTATTCCCGATTTAAATAGAATTAGTTTAACAAGTACTTAGGTTTGCTGCACCAGGGAGGGTAAAACTTTTTTTTTGTAAAATGTTAATAGTTAGTAAGAAATAAAAACATTTTCCAAATTTGATCAAAATATGTTCATAAACAAGCAAACTACAACAGTTTACTCATTCTCCATAAGAATAACATGGGAATTTTTAATTTACAATTTTTTGGAATTTTCTCCGTAACCATTAGGCGCATAATAACGCTTCAATATACTAAATTATTTGTTTTTTGAAGCTCTACAAAATGGTTTGGAAATTAATTGCTAAATTTTATGTTTTTTGGGTCAAAATTGGGAAAAACCTATTTTTACCCCATAAAACCCCCCGTAAACACCCGTTCCCATGGTCCGATCATGCTGGATCGCGAACTCGTTCGAATAGACGTAGGTTTACACGTTTGTACCAAATTTCATCAAAATCGGATCATTTTTGCTCGAGTTATCGTGCTGACGGACACATATATATATATATATATATATATATATATATAAATATATATATATATATATATATGAATTTGAACGGATGGTGTTTTTGGCCTCTAGGGACCTCAAAACGAAAAAAAAAATCGGTCCCGCGTCCAGGTCTTACCATGAGTACTACGGTAATAGCTTATTCCCTATATGGGAAATTCGCTAAAATGGAACCTTTGAAGGCTCTTCCTAAAAGATTGCCCAGGGAGGCACTAACCGTCAGTTACTTGCATCATGGATTTAGTTGAGTCAAGCAGATGATTTTGTAACATTACAAAAATAAAATTAAGGAATGATATTGTCGTACTAGACATTTTTAGTTAAATTTAAACCCCTAATAGCTACTTTGTAGAACCTTAATCTGATAAGACTGGATTTTAGTTATTGATGAAAGACTGTTTTGTATTTAGCACTTATTTAAGTTTAGTACTTATTTAAGTTCAAAGTCATGTGTTAGTTTAGATTTGCGAAGAAGACGCTAATTTATTTGAGTAGTATTTAACCGTCCGTGATATTACTTCAAAGAGTAAATCGCACATTTATTTAGACGATGAAAATAGGCCTATACATTTTAAAGGTAGCCTATTAAATGTACTTTTGACGTTTGTCTTAATCTTACAAATATTAACAAAATTTTGCAAATTTTATCAACTTTATGATTATTAAAAAAATCTGTCATCTAGGCCTGTATACAATAATTTTATTTAAAAAATGAATACACTTTGAACATTCAACAAAAGAAGAAACATCCACATCTGGATGTGAAACCCCGGATATTCTTTATGCTTAGGCCTACATCAGGTACATTAGGTCTGCATCAGCAAAGAGAGAGAGAGTGGTTCTTGGATGAATCTCCACTTGCCACTCTAATTGACACAATCTATAACCTAGATTAATCTAATAGTTAATTTACGTACCAAGGATCATCTGTAGGTTCCCAGCCACTTAATTCTTTCAGACAAAAAGCACATCGAGCACTTGGATCATCCGGATCATGACTGGTGCAATACCACCCAGCTTGTGCCATCTGTGGAAAATTAAATTGAACCAAAATAATTCAATCACAAGTTGTTGACAAAAAATAGCCTCTACAAAAAATATTTTAAACATAGCTAATAAGCTATGGGATTAAATTAAGTAAGATTCTGGTATTACTATTGTAAGTTCAAAAGGAAATATAAACTAAACATTACAAACATTTAAAACAGTTGCTAAGTAGATGTCTCAAGATGGAATACAATGAGTAAAAAGACACTAACATAAACTTTTGAAAGCAATTTACTTAAAAGAATAATAGAGAATTCATTTTTTTTTAACTAAGTTTTAAGTTAGACACCTAGGGACAACATCCTTATGTTGGACAGTCCCTGTGACTTGATATTTTTTAAGTAGCCAGTAGGCCTGAGAGTGAATGGAGAAGACCTAGGTGTCCTAACACCCATTCAGGGCCGTCACATGGGTGGGGTGACAGATATGGGCGTCTGGGTAGCAGTGGCTTTGGATAGCACTGCGGCAAAGTATAAAATTTTGAAAAAAATTAAGTTAAATGTACACAATGTAGAGGTGTGAGAGCAGTTCCATTTTTGAGCCAGGTCGAGCCTAGCCTTCATGCTTGAGGGATCAAGCTCGATGTACGAAAATCAAGCTCAAACCAGCTTTTATGATAGCAATGTTTTGGCTATCACAAAACGAATCTGCATATATATCAGGCTTTGTAATTGACAAAAATAATAGATTGTAGATTTTTCCGGCTTGTCTTGTGATATTGGGATTTCTAATACAAAAAATGCCTAACACAATGCCTACATTTGACATCATAGGCTATGACAGATCAAAAACATTGGTTTCCTAAGTGTATTCTTCATTAGACTCTATTTCAAATGTAACCGAAATCAACTTACTTGAACTGCAGCACATCTGGATGAACTAGTAAAGGGCCATTTTTTGAAACTCTTGAACCTTCCAGCTTCCCACATGTACTCGTTTCTGTTAAATTCTCGATCTAGTAGTTTTGTGGCCTAGAAAATATAAAATGACAACAGGATTTTTTGTTCTTGCCTACTAGTTAGTAGTAATAATAGATTACTTTCACTATTAAAGGGAATATTCATTATTATCGATGATTTTTTTTTTGCTACTGATATACCTATCAATATTTATTTTTTTATCCGTTAGGCAACTTATATCATTATTAACGAATTGAAACATATCAGCTGAAAATGTTATAAATAAATACTGATCAGTATCAACAAACAATTAAACAAATATATATTGAAATGAAACTGTTTTAAGCTAACTTAGAAAGTATCTAGAACCAAACTTGCTGTAACACAAGTTATCAAAATTCCTTTTGATATTTCCCACATGCCTCTTCTGTTATTAACCGGAAATTTGAAATGGTAGTCCTATACAGTAAAACTTACAGCAGGTTTGGTTAGTTAACTTATGTTAGGTTGGTTTAGAATAGTTTGATTTCTTATCCTAAAATTATTGACTTATTTATTTATTATTTCATTTCAAATAGGCTATTATTTTGCCTAAACAAGATCAGTTGTCAATTTGTAATTTAAATGTGTTTGAAGATATTAAAACAGAAGGAATAGGTATGGATCGTGAAGGAAAACAAAAATATCGATATATCTAAAAAATTATCGATAATAATGAATGTTCCCTTTAAAAGGAAAGTACCTAGGTAGGCCTAGTAAAAAATAGTTCTGAGATCCATGAAACTAATAATAAGTTCCACTAGTTAACTTAGGTATTAACTTAATATTTCTCAAACCTAAGAAACATCTAGAAACTTTTTTAAACAAAAAAGTTATGGATCTTAGCAAGAAGGATAACGGGCATACCGGTACCTATAGATGAGTTTTGAATTTAGCCTCGTATGAGCCAATGGCTACTTAATTGGTTTTAAGATGGTTTAGGCCTAAAGCGTCTAAGCAGCTATTTTCAGATCAAAACTGTTAACTTAACTTAGGCCTAATTATATCTTTTGCTGTGAGAGGTTGTTCGGGAAAAGGAGCAAAAAATTGACTAGGCCTAACTGAAATCTCTTCAGTGTAACTTATGCGATGAGTTTCTTAGGAAACATGTTTCCAAACAACTGTGCCTTAAATTGAACTGTTTGTCGGATTATAAGGTAGCCTGATGTAAATAAACCTATTCATCACATTGAATATAACAGCTCAGGAGCTAGAATGGAAATTAATTATAGGAAGATGTGAAAGAGTGTCAGCTTCTAAAATTTCAGAACCTTTACGATAGATGATGTGGTAGTCATACGCAAAATTAGCCTATTGTCAAACGTTGAATGCGGGCAGCTGCAAGAACTGGCATAGCCTACTTTTTTTCTCTCCTAGGAGTGCTGTTGGAGGGGCATGATCCGTAATCAAAGTGAATGATAATGGCCATAAGTTAAAATAAGCCCCATTTGTGAAATTTCTTCAACTTAGACCTACTCTGAATAGGACTATGACTGCAAGGGCTTCTTTATCTAACTTCAAGCATGATACATTTCTGATTTTGTGTGACTCCTAGAAGCATACGCAGTTGGTCGGACATATCTATCCTGTATAGGGTAACCCTAAGTTAGTGCATAGTGTGAGACATAACACTGACTTCGTGGCGATCCCATAAAGCCGCGTTTACACCGGAGTTTGGAGTTGCAAACAGAAATTGCAAATATCTCTAGAAACGCACATTTTTAGACGAAACATTTTGCTGTTGCAAACAGTTTTCAGTGTTTGCAACAGAAATTTTTGTTTCCACTTGAAGTCGGTAAAGATCAAAGGGCGTTGCAAACTCTCTGTTTGTAACACTAGTTTCGGTCAATATGAGCCGTTGAAACACGAAACAGAAACATTTCTCCGTCATCCCCTACGCTACCACCTCCACTCTCACTCACGTGATCACTGCGACCCTGTGTCTCGACTCAGTGTTAAATTAATCGGAAAAATGCTGTTTGACTGTCAATGAATTAACACTAACCTCAAATGACAAGGTCGTCTAATTTAAAAATAGGTAACAATAACGTCTCATGTGAATTAAAAGGGTTATAATTAAGTCCTTGTAATTTTAAAAATGAATAATAGGCTAATTTTAATTTGATGATTTATACAATTACCGATGTTCACCCAGCATCGTCTCGGCCTACGTTTCTTTGACAACACGACACACGCCACCGTGGCTAAAATAACATCCTCGACACTTGAAATCCTCGGAAAGTCTGATCCGAGGAACCAGAACGAGGCGAGTCATAATCAAGGTCGAAATTATTTTAAACAATTTCATGAAACATGGAAACAAATCATGAAATTAAAATTGCAAACATTTATTTGAAACTACTGTTTGCAACTGCTGTTTGCAATAAAAGTTTGCAACTTTTTGTCTGAAACTCCGGTGTAAAAGCGGCTTAAGGGCTTGCTCCTCCGCTTGCATTGCATACCACTTGGGGTTGGATTTTCAACTTTCGATCATAAGTTAAGGTAGGCCCTACCAAAACAATACTTTGAGTTAAAAATCATTAAAAGCTTTAGAATATTATGAATTACATTACCAGGGTTTATTTTTATGTAGCAACTTATGCTACGGGGATAAATATTCAGAACTAACTAGGCAAAACTTACCATTGAGGTTAAATTTCTTAAAAATCAACTTGGAAGTCTTACGAGGTCGTTGTTCAGTTTCAAGCTGGAGCATAGGATCTAAAGGGAAAAGGAGAGCATGAGTGCGAACAACACGCCTAAATGAAACACTATTTGAAACAAAACTTAACTTGTATTAAATAAACTGAAACACAAACATAAACAACTAAGTTACGTTACGACTACTGAAACTGAACTGACTGACTGACTTTGTTTGACTACACCGAAATCCAATCTTGCCGCCTAAAATACAGGCTGGCCAGTTCCGAAAACTAAAATATCACTAAGCTACAGAATATTATACAAATGGATGTAGCATTGAAACTGAAAAATTAGGAGATGTTGATTGCCGAATAGCCTACTAGAAGCAAAGAACATATTATAGTACTCGTACGCCAGTTAGATTTTGTTTAACTATGTTATAAAATTGGAAATAGGGGCTTCAATTCAGGAGATTGTGATAAAGCCATTAGCGGATCTGGTTGATTATTTTAGTTTAAAAAAGTATTCAGGAGAGACATGAATTTCTCAACCATTTTACATGGATTCCCCAACTATATTACAGTACTCGAATTTCCCAACTATATTACAGGGATTTCCCAACTATACTGTATTAGACTACTCGAATTCCGCAACTATATTACTCCGATTTCCCAACTAATTAACATTGTTTTTAACAGTAAGAAGGATATTTTTACTATTAAAAAGGTTTAAATACCTGCTATTAAGCAATCCATTTAATTGCAGTTGCAACTAGTTTCGACTCCTATGTGGAGTCATCATCAGGCGGTACAAGGACTTCTTCTTTCTTCATATGAAGAGCGTCATATTTAACAAGTAAAAATAAATAAACATTTACACACGACACAAAACACGTTACGGACACGAAACATTTACTGATCAGTTACGACAACAGACGACGCTAACCCGACGGAGTTTAAGTCCAGACTGCGGGTGGTCATTGCAGTGGTGTACGTCCGTTATCTTATCATCTCAGGTTAGGTCCTAGTCCTGTCTAACACACTTCCACTCTCCAGTATCCTTATGGCAGTGTCATATATAAAATTTGACGAAAACGTTTGTTGGTCGTTTAGCACATTTTCGTGGTCGGATGTTACTGCCTTATAAATCTCAAACTCTTCTAAGGTGTTTAATTTAAATCTGTCTTTAGAGAAATGTAAAATATTCATGTTGTTACTAATGCTGGTATAATTATGGCCTTGAGAAATTAAATGTTCTGCAAAAGATGATGTCTGGTGTACTGTTGACGCTTTTGGGAGATGTTCCTTGAAACGTTTAGTAAAGGAGCGTGCCGTCTGGCCGATGTAAAATTTAGTACAATCGGTACAATTGATCTTGTATACGCCGGATCTGTCTAAGGGTTGCGTCAATGAAGGACTGCGCTCTTTTAACAATGCGCCAAGTTTGTTCTCTGTTCTGAAGGAAACTGTAATATTGTTTTTTGTCATAAGATTTTTAAATTTGTTACTCATGAAGGTGCCATATTTTGCAGAGATGTAGTTTTTCTGTTTTTTAGTTCCTGTTCTATTTTTATGTTTGAAGATGAGTTTATCAATAATAATGCTTAGATAACCATTTGCTACAGCTATGTATTTTATTGTATTTAATTCTTCATTATAATCCTGTTCATTCATTGGAATTGTGAGCAAACGGTGGACAAAACTGTTGTAGGCAGCTAGTTTTTGTGAGTAAGGATGATGGGATTCATAGTTAATGGTCTGGTCAGTGCATGTTGGTTTCCTGAATATTTTGAACTCCAACTTATTTTGATGTTTTATTATGGTGAGGTCTAAAAAATTTAGACGATTATGGCTTTCTTCCTCCAATGTAAATTTTATGTTGTTGTGAATATTGCATAAGTAGGAGTTGAGTAACGACAACTGTCTACTGTTGCCGTTGAACAAAACAATAGTATCATCTACATATCGGAAATAAAACAGAATTTTTTCCCTGTAACGGTTGGCATCAGAAAACAAGTGTTTATTTTCCAGGTTGTTGAGAAAAATTTCTGCCAAAATACTGGAGAGGGGGGAACCCATTGCCAGTCCTTCTTTCTGGGAATAATAGTCGTTGTTGAAACGGAAGTAATTCTGATTTAGTACCAATCTAGTGAGTGAAACTAATTCATTTATTGACTCTGTAGATAGATTTGAGTTTTTAATTAGGTTTTGGTGCAATAAAGTGATCGTTTCTTGGACGGGTACATTGGTGTACAAATTGACAATGTCAAATGATGCCAATTTGTAGTTGTCTTTGACAGCATGGTTCTTAATTTTATCAACAAGTTCTAGACTATTTTTTATGCTATGACTATTTTCTAAAACTATTTGTTCCTTTATTATTTGATCTAACTTCTTGGCTATTTTGTAAGCTGGACTTGGCATGAAATTCACAAGGGGCCTAATCGGGACATCAGTTTTGTGAATCTTGGGTAGGCCTCTGAGTATGGGGGCTTGTGGATTAGTAACTTTCAATGACGCAATATCGTTTTTTGATAATAGATTCTTACTTTCGGAAATGGCTCTATTTATCAACTTGCTGTAATTTAAGGTGGGATCTTTATTTAGAATATCTATTTTATTGGCGTTTAAGAAAGTTTTTACTTTATTTGTGTATTCTTCAATGTATAGGATGACAATTGAGTTGCCTTTATCGGCCTTAGTGATAAGAGCATTGTGGTCGGCAAGCTTGTGCTTGACGTTCGCTAGGACCCGCCTCATAGCATTGAACTTCCTGTGTTTTCCTGTGCGTGGGGCAGTTTTTGCAATGCATCTAGCTTTATTACCGATGATAATTCTAGTAGCTTCTCGTACTTCGTTGGTTCTAATTTGTTTGATTGAAGTCTCAGTATCCAACAGCTCAGTGACTAAACTGTTTTTCTTACTGTTAGGAAAATTGAAATTTAACCCTTTGTTTAATAAACTCATTTCCTCTTTATCAAAATCAATTTTTGTATAATTTACGACTCTCTTAAAGAATTTATGTGAGCATTTAATAATATCCTCTTTGTGTTGAGATTCCATTAAGCTTTGGACTTTTTTGTTTTGGGTTTTCTTTTTGAAACATATTTTTCTGCTGACCTGCAGTTCAATTTCGAGTAGAACATTGTTTTGTTGAACATAATGCAAATAATTCAATAGCTCTAGATGTTTTTTAAGTAATAACTTATTTAAAGCATCCTTCTTAAAGTAAAGATGTTTTATTTCATTTTTAATCCAATTTGTTTCAGCAGACTTTTTAGCTTTTAAAGCGGCCCTTGATTTTCCACTAACTTTGACATTTATGTATTTAGGGACCAAGTTGTTTTGTAGGCATGTTTTATTAAACTTTATGTTTTCAATAGTTTTGCAGAGTTTTAGTTTAATGTCCTTGTACTGAAAGGCTATTTTTGCTTGCTCAGCTGATAACTTCATTGTGGATGTAGCCTCCGGATTGCCAAATAATATTAAAAAGGTTTAAATACCTGCTATTAAGCAATCCATTTAATTGCAGTTGCAACTAGTTTCGACTCCTATGTGGAGTCATCATCAGGCGGTACAAGGACTTCTTCTTTCTTCATATGAAGAGCGTCATATTTAACAAGTAAAAATAAATAAACATTTACACACGACACAAAACACGTTACGGACACGAAACATTTACTGATCAGTTACGACAACAGACGACGCTAACCCGACGGAGTTTAAGTCCAGACTGCGGGTGGTCATTGCAGTGGTGTACGTCCGTTATCTTATCATCTCAGGTTAGGTCCTAGTCCTGTCTAACACACTTCCACTCTCCAGTATCCTTATGGCAGTGTCATATATAAAATTTGACGAAAACGTTTGTTGGTCGTTTAGCACATTTTCGTGGTCGGATGTTACTGCCTTATAAATCTCAAACTCTTCTAAGGTGTTTAATTTAAATCTGTCTTTAGAGAAATGTAAAATATTCATGTTGTTACTAATGCTGGTATAATTATGGCCTTGAGAAATTAAATGTTCTGCAAAAGATGATGTCTGGTGTACTGTTGACGCTTTTGGGAGATGTTCCTTGAAACGTTTAGTAAAGGAGCGTGCCGTCTGGCCGATGTAAAATTTAGTACAATCGGTACAATTGATCTTGTATACGCCGGATCTGTCTAAGGGTTGCGTCAATGAAGGACTGCGCTCTTTTAACAATGCGCCAAGTTTGTTCTCTGTTCTGAAGGAAACTGTAATATTGTTTTTTGTCATAAGATTTTTAAATTTGTTACTCATGAAGGTGCCATATTTTGCAGAGATGTAGTTTTTCTGTTTTTTAGTTCCTGTTCTATTTTTATGTTTGAAGATGAGTTTATCAATAATAATGCTTAGATAACCATTTGCTACAGCTATGTATTTTATTGTATTTAATTCTTCATTATAATCCTGTTCATTCATTGGAATTGTGAGCAAACGGTGGACAAAACTGTTGTAGGCAGCTAGTTTTTGTGAGTAAGGATGATGGGATTCATAGTTAATGGTCTGGTCAGTGCATGTTGGTTTCCTGAATATTTTGAACTCCAACTTATTTTGATGTTTTATTATGGTGAGGTCTAAAAAATTTAGACGATTATGGCTTTCTTCCTCCAATGTAAATTTTATGTTGTTGTGCAAAATATGGCACCTTCATGAGTAACAAATTTAAAAATCTTATGACAAAAAACAATATTACAGTTTCCTTCAGAACAGAGAACAAACTTGGCGCATTGTTAAAAGAGCGCAGTCCTTCATTGACGCAACCCTTAGACAGATCCGGCGTATACAAGATCAATTGTACCGATTGTACTAAATTTTACATCGGCCAGACGGCACGCTCCTTTACTAAACGTTTCAAGGAACATCTCCCAAAAGCGTCAACAGTACACCAGACATCATCTTTTGCAGAACATTTAATTTCTCAAGGCCATAATTATACCAGCATTAGTAACAACATGAATATTTTACATTTCTCTAAAGACAGATTTAAATTAAACACCTTAGAAGAGTTTGAGATTTATAAGGCAATAACATCCGACCACGAAAATGTGCTAAACGACCAACAAACGTTTTCGTCAAATTTTATATATGACACTGCCATAAGGATACTGGAGAGTGGAAGTGTGTTAGACAGGACTAGGACCTAACCTGAGATGATAAGATAACGGACGTACACCACTGCAATGACCACCCGCAGTCTGGACTTAA